TCTTTGTCTCACGCCTGGTGCAACGCGGCACTTAGGTGATGCCGGCGCGCATGCGGATGCCAGTACTGTGTATGTGGGCGCGCGATTTTGAGCTTTTGCTCAAAAGTCCGGCTGATTGAGGTCACGCTCTGCTTCGGACTCCAGTTCGGTACGGATCGGTTAGGATTCGATCGATTGCTTGGAATCGTCGTTAATGGATCCCTTCTCTTGTTCCGTCTGAGATAGGATATTAGGCGCGGACAAGAGTCGAGTGAACTTCATTCGCGTTGATTCCATCGATCGATAGTTTTCTTCCGTTTCGGACTTAACTCTTGTTCGGAGGTAAGATGCGTTGAATTCCCGACCTGTTGACTCGAAGATGACTCTTGTAAAAGTGAAACGGGATTTTCGCTCGTACCGAAACCGGAAGTGCCGTTTAAAGTATATATATATTAAATATATACATCGCGCGACAAAACAGAAAATTTTTAATCGTATCGAATAGTGCGGGACTGCTGTTCAGTATCGCGCGTAAAAATGCGAAAATAGCGATATAAAAATATCGCTCGTGAGTGCGGGAGTGCCGTTAAGTATCGCGCGTTTAACTGAGAGGAGGAGGAGGCCTAGGAGAGGCATCAGGCTCCGGCAGAGCAACCTTCTGGTAAGCAATTTATTTATTTGTAATTATATATTAAATATTAAATATATTTATTATAATTTAAATCAAACAATTAATCGCAACTTTTTCCGCAATCAATTAATTTGATTTGTTTATTTATATGATTTAAAGAAGAGAGAATTGTAGAAAAAGGTTTTTAAACTATAATCTTGTAAAAATATAAGCTTTTATAAAGTTATTGAAGAATTATTAATAATGCTTTTTCTTCTAAAATTTATAGATAATTATTTTATTAAAATGCTATTATTATATGGATCGAATATAAAATTCGATACATACAATAATAATTTTTTGAAAAATTAATTATTTTTTGAAAAATTAATTATTTTGGTCATTATTACAATTTAGATTTTTTTGTGTATGTTATAGATCGACGCAGCCTTGATGATCTGAGAGGAGGAGCAGGCCTAGGATAGGCATCCTGCACCGGCGGAACAACCTGATGGTGAGTATTATTATTTATATTGTTATCTGTAAATCGCGTACATATATTAATTTGATTCATTTATTTGCATGATTCAAACAAGAACAAAGTAGGAAATTTTTTATAAAAATTCTTTCTATAAAAGTTTCTACTTAAAAATTAACTATTTCTAAAATTATTTGATATTTATATGTTTATTTATAATTACGTATAAAATTCAATGCATATATAATAATAATTTCTTAAAATATTAATTATTTTAAGCGCTATTATAATTTGGATTTTATATTTGTATGTTACAGACAACGTAGCTTCAGTAGTAACAATTCCGCTGTTGCGCATCAATGCCGGTGAGTACTCGACGAAATTTTTATTTTGACGCAGTGGATTTATATAAATGCGTGTGGATTTAAATAAATCCGTTGTTTCTACCTCTTGGGCAGCTATTTTATTTTATATATATTTCATTTAAGTAAATAAAATTTTTAAAATATTATTATTTGTATAACAATACAAATTTCTTTTTCAAATTTACGAAATTTCAATCTATTTATGTATTAATACATTTTGAAATTAATGAATTAACTTTATTTTATTGTCTGGTAAAAATGTTGTGCCTTACTGTTTCTGAGCTTAACACATAGAGGAAGCAGCTGTACGGTTTGCGTATTAAAATTATTATGCTGAATAAAGTGTGCAAAAGTATTTTCTTATATTTTTACATAATATAATAACAAAATAATATAATATAATAATATGAAATATATATAATATGAAATAGTTACAGCTTTGATAGAACTTTCAAAAATATTAACAGACAAAAAATATAAAAAAGATTAGTATTAAGAAACCATAATACTTAAAGAATAAAAAATGTTAACGTAAAAGTATTAATGATTTTTGATGTTTATATTTTAACGTCATTTATAAATATAATCATGTATTAGTGCATATATACACATACATATAATATATTATTAAAAAAAAAAAAATATATATATATATATATATATATATATATATTAGATAAATTATATACATTTTGTTACTTTATTTGTATATGACGTTAATACTTATTACTTTATTAAGTATTTATACATTTATGCATCAACAAAATTTATTGTTTTTATTATTATCTTTAATTTTATCTTTGGAGTTCAAATTTTTTTTATATTTGTTGAATAATTTTAGCTTAGTAAAACATTTCTTGCTATTTTTGAAATTAGATTAATTATTAATACTTTTATGTATGTATATGTGCGGATACGGGCGTGCACTCTTAATTACAAATAACAAATACAAAATAATTCTTTTAAAGTATGGGAATATCAGGTAAAAATAATGAATACAAATAAAAGAGGCAGTAATAATGGATATAATAAATATTAAATTAAAGATGCAATTTTGATTTTTTATTAATGTATATTTTAAATTTGATTAAATTTTAATTCTATTAAAATGTATCTGCAGTTGCATGATCAATATAATATGTTATCGTTTTTCTAATTTTATTAATAAGAAGAAATAAAATAACATAATAAAAATAATATATCCCAATATTACTTTTATCTATTTTTTGAGAAAAACTAAATTAAAAACGAATTAAAGTAAAATTAATATATAAAAAAATATTTAAACAAAAAAGCGGACATATGTATATATCTATATGTATCTTGAAAACAATGAATTGAAACAATATTTAACACACTATCCCAATATAATAAAATAATCAAATAAAATGTATAAAACACAATTTCTTCTTTTGAAAATGAAATCGATCAATCATATTTTCATTTTTATATCCATTATTACTGTCTCTTTTATTTATAACTTCATCATGTATACAACCTTATTAAAATTAAATATTTTAACATTTTCAAGAAAAATTTCTGTCGAGACTACCGTTCTTATTGTTCCGAAATATTATTTTTCTCGCGACTAACTTTGCGATATCCAATCATTTTAGGAGTAAATTTTTTCTTAACGAACGGCAGCCTGCTTTCACAGTTCTCAAACGGAATGAAAATAATAATCAGAAGGCAGATATTATTCGCCTGAGAAACCGCGCGCACTACACGCGCGCGTTCATAGAAATGTTCAAAATAATAATAAAAATAATAAAAATAATAAAAATGTTTAAAATAATAAAAACTCGACTTGTGTTCGCAGTAAGAGCGGGGATACCAATTTCAAAGTTCGCTAGCCGATAAAAATAATGATCAGATCGGGCGACCATCAATCACAGGGATATTTAAATTTCACGCGTGGCGGCAAATAACGAAAAGTCACCGTCGATCTGCGATTTTAACGATTGTGATGAGAAAACGTAAAAATTAAATGATAATGATATATCTTAACATGTTATTCCCGGTCTCGAAACAAGATATTTTTTATACCGCGTCTCCTTTTTTTCTGTTTCTTTCGTTTCTCCATATCTTCAATGCTTTTATATTAAATTAAATTCATCAATTAAAAATATTCACAGTTTCAATCAATTTTTTTCTGTTCAATGTCCATTCAATATCCATTCTTTTGAAGGAGCAATGAATTATACAGTTCAAATGCATTTAATATATTAGAAGTGATAAGATGTAGATTAGAAGATTAGAAGTGATATAATAAGTAATTGATTAAAAGCATAACAAATAATCTTCCTTTAAATTATATACAATTATAATTCTCTCTCTCTCTTTCTTATTCAATACATGATAATAAAGAAGCGACCAAAATGTCATGTTTTAAGAAAATTACTTTAAATTTTGCTTCTAAAAGGGGAAACGAAAAAGTATAATACATTATTATAAAAAGAGAGTCAATATAAAAATACAAAATATATGATAAAAGTAATTCGATTACAAACATATATACAATATATATAAATATATAAACGATTGCAATCTGTCTTAGAAATAATTAACGTATCATTTTTCTCAATAATTATAAGCATTAAATTAATTGACTACAAAAATTCTTTTCCGAAAATTAAAACTTTAACATATGTTGTAAAGAATAATAAGTAATCAAGACAATTCAAATGTATGATACAACAAGATCCGTTAGTAGAATCGTGAGAAATCGTTGCAGCTGAAAATTGCGCACACGCTACCAGTAATAATAAATCCTTGGTCGTTAGAGCTTCGAATTCACATCGAGGGATCCCCTAATACGACTTAACAACTTAACACCATTACCTTGTTAAATAAATATCACACTGCGAAGGGTGCCCAGGGGGTAGAATACTGGACCTATGGTGGATTACCCTTCGAAAATTGTACAGCGCTCGTATCGTTCAAAATGGTGAACGTTGACAATACAAATTATACATGAAACAACAATAAAGAAAGAGAGAATAAAGAGAAAAAAAGAATAAAAAATGTTAACGTAAAACCATAATACTTAAAGAATAAAAAATGTTAACGTAAAAGTATTAATGATTTTTGATGTTTATATACGATTATCTTTCTGTAAAAAAGTCGATGTACAAGATAAAAGTATATTGGATATCTCAAATTAATCTTAAATTAATCTTAACTTACGTATTATTTTATTGAAAGGATAATTTAAAGATCATAACAAATATATGTATATATTTATGCTTATGTATCAAATGTTAATTACGTTACGTAGTAAATATTTTTTGTAAGAAAAAAAGTATAACTTTTTTTTACATGTTATACTTATTTACTATGTTTTACGGATTAAAATATTAATTTTGACAGATAAAAGACAAATAAATCTTTTAATTTATGATTATATAAAGTATAAATATATAAGATTATTTAAAAAAATAAACAGTATAAATATATGTATATAAGAATATACGATTACATTTGCATGATAATTTTTAACAAGTGGATTTTTATTACAACATTGTGGTTTTATAACACAATCATCGTTTTATAAAAATACAACTCACAATCAGAGGTTTTTATTATAGATCTGTGATTCTCTTCTTTTACTCCTGACCCATTATGATACGCACAGACGCCATGTATGAAAAAACGGTCGATACATACTGAAAAATAGAAAAAAGGCTATATTATTAACGATTTCGTATTTTAAATAATATTAAGTTTTATGATTGCTATAATAATTTATGTTCAGGAACGTCTATTTATACGTTTACGTATTAAACGTATTAAAAGTACACACATTTTCTCTTTTTACGATAAATAAACAAAAAATCAAAAAATTAAAAATGATAATAATAGTAATATATAAAATATAATACATAATATTCGTAAAAAGAAGATCATCGTTAAATAATACTCTTATCACTAAATAATAGGTTCTTACCGACGCGTAATAACTCATAGACAAACTTGGTAATGCACATGGGACTGAAACAGTGACTGGATGTTGACCTCTCAATATAACATTTATTAAAAGTTTTCGCATGACCAAATCATCATTGTACCATAATGAATCGTAGACGGCTGACGCGATGTCGCTGCTCTAATTTTTGCAGAACACATTAAAATTAAAACATTATGAATTCATTACATTATCTGTATAATGTATAATACAATTTATTTATTAAATAACGAACCGTGCTAATTACATGATCAGCTGGCCAGGCGTACATGTAGAGTTCTACAAAAGCGCCGAAAGATATCATAAGAAACGTCAGTTTCACTGACCATGGTTGACGCTACATATATTAGAAAACGATATTACTATGTACATACACACACACACATACACACACACACACACACACACATATATACACAGAGTGTCTGATTCGTGAGGGACCAAACGAAAAGTGATGATAGATTGAGTCAAACTAAGAAGAATAGTTCTCTACCATTTTGCAAAATTTTTCCCTCACGAATCGGACACCCTGTATATATATGCATAAATATATATAATCCGACACCCTGTATATATATGCATAAATATATAATATGTTAAATGAAAGAAATGAATATTTTTAATAAATTTCCTGAGTTAGAATTTGAGGAAGTACTTGACTCTCCGGAAACAATACATAAAATGAACATAAAATGAACTTATTATATAATTGCGATATATAAAATATACAACTTTCATCTGAGAGAGAGAATTACATATATTATACTTACACTTATAACAGTAAGATAACCGAATATTACAGCGCCAATACTAAAGGTTACGCATAACAACGCTACATAACGAATTGCATGAGTCACTTCTTTTGCATACCTATAAATATGCATTGTCAAAATAATACATTACACAAAATACTTGATTATTATAATACTTGTTGTATATAAAATTAATGCGCGATTAATTAATCGTTATACTTTATCTTAACATGCTGCTAACTAAAAATTATTTTTTGTCACTTAAAAATATTTTATTATATTTTAATGTTTTTTCAAAAAATTTTATATATTACATCCAATTTTCCTAAAATTTGATAAGAGTTCTAATGAATACACGTAAAAGAATTTTTGGTACAAATAAAATTTAGTAAAAAGAATCCTGCAGCAATAATTATTTACAAAAATGTACATTTTAATTAAAGAAAATACAAATGTTATGTGTAAATGTACCTGAGTAGTGAATAGTGTTCTTGTGTATTTTTTATGAGTTCTTCCATACTCGTCATCGTACGAAAACGAATGGACAAAATGTGAAATCTGGCAGCTACAAACCAAAGTAAAAGAGCAGGAAAGCTATTGGCACTAACTTGTGTCATACTTTGGTAAACAGTCAATATTTGATGTACGAAGATAATAGTTTTCAATGGTTGATTGTGTACATCAAATGGATACTTTGTCGCACATGGAAACGGTTGTGGTGAAAACAAGGGTGTAGTTATCATACTAAGAGCTGTCATTATTACCAAGCAAAAAACGCAACCTATTGACATTTAATATTAAATTTAAAAAAAATTTCTTGATATATATAATAACATCTCATTTAAAGATTTAAAATTACTATATTTAATATCTTTAATAATTATTTTGATATATTTATTTTGTTAATTCCATAAAAATAATAATTTAATATAAATTTAACATTTTCTCTCTCTCTCTCTTTCTTTCTCATTCATTCATTCTATCTTTTCTTTTCTTTCGTTAATTTTTTTTAGAAAAAAAGGAATTCTATTGGATCAATTCTATTGGATCAGTAGAAACTCATTTTATTTAAAGAAGTATAAAAATTATATATATATATATATATATATATATATATATCAAAATTTCATAAAAAATCAAAATATTTATTAAATGATATATGTTTATGTAAGTATGTTTTTAAGTATGAACATACCATAAAACAATTTGCATTTGTCAACATAGAGTTGTAAAATTTCTTTTTCATATTTTTGGGCTCGTTGGTAATAATCCTCCATTTCCGAAACAATAAACTGTGAAATTAAAAAAATTACAGAATTTTTTAATTAATTTTAAATAAAAAATTTATTTTAATAGAATTTTAATTCTTGACATTTTCGTTCCAATTATTCGAGAAATAATCAACTTTAATTGTTCTATTATTATAAGAACATCTAGTATAATTTTTTAAAATATTTTACATACTATAAATTTTGTTAAGTTTTTAGAATAAAAAATTTACATGACTGCTCATAAAATATCGTTATATAATTAAAAAATTTTGAAAATTTAAATAATTTTATTTATATTTTAAAGTTATACATTTTTCATGTTAATATTAGTTTATATATATATCACTTTTGAGAAAACTGTACTGCTTTTAATTTTTAGAATACGATTTTTTCACGTAAAAAATCAATACAAATGAAAATCTTACCTGCAAACGTTTATCCTGTATTATGAAGAGTATCAATTGTAATATAATTTGCAAGGCGGCGCTCAATTCACATCCTAGTTTCATCATAAACATGTATTCGTTATGCTGACAGAATGTCCATATCACCGTAATGATAAATATCGTCGTGTTCGTACAGCAGAAATATCGTAAAGCACCGTAAAAAAGTCTCTGAAGCTTTGTCGCGTTCGGTGATAGTGGCCAACAGCAAGCGAACATTAAGTATATTCTTAGGAAAGCAATTACTCTATCCAGTGTTACCTTTCCCTTCATAATACACGGAAATGCTTCGTACTAATTCACGATGGAAACTCGAGCTGGCACAACATGGACTTTAATCAATAATGCTGAGATTATTTATTCGAACACTATAATGACTTTGTTGCGTGAATTGCCGAGTACGCGCGGTGCATAAGATAAAACGTTGCACACCCTATATTGAGAATAGAATGCATCGAGGGCTTCCAATATGCGCGCTATTAAAAGATATCAGGCTAACATTTTACTCTAATATTGCTTATTTATTGCCACTGATTTTATAAACTAATCAGTTAAATGAAATTTGCAGTTTGCTGAAATAAAATTATTAAAAAACATTTTTTTTTTAAATGTAGTTTTAATATTATAAACTTTTTTATAGTTTAAGAAGAATTGCTTAATTTAATAATAAATTGTATGTTATATATAAATTGAAACTGATATTTTGCGAAGTTTGTAGAAGTTGTTTTACTTTGTGAAATGTGGGAGATTATTTGTAGGATATGATTCTCTTGGATTGTTTCATTATTTCATTAAGAATATATTCAAGGGAAATTTTGCGTATAATGTTAAAGCGTGTAAAACTGGCAAGAGATGTTCTTAAGATATATTAGATTTGATTGTTACCTGGAAAATTGTTTGCAGCGAAATAATTTTTATCGATACTAACTAAATATCTTGTCTTAGAGTGCAATTCCAACTATATAAGTAGGTAATGGTCATTAATTAATCATATATCAAACATTACGTTATATCTTCTTTCTATACCTATAAACACTTTTAGTCTTTACATTGCATTTATGTAATTTCTGACGGCAATTGTCTAGTAATAATTAATAATAATTCAGTATGTAATAAAGTACAATTAGTAATGAAAATCAATTGTAGACTCTTCCTAGCAATTAATTATATGATTTTTAAGATTCTTTAAAATAGTATAGATAAGAGATGTGTATGTATATGTATGTGTATAGGTTAAATTCAGTTTGATTTTGGATTTAATAATGATACAATATAGACTTGTAAAGAAATATCTTACATAAATTGTTGATTAATATATCTTTATTTAATGGCCACAAATTTTATATATTAACTGATTTTGTTTTGCCTTTAATTTGTAAACTTTAATTATTATTCATTTGTTGTTTATTTTAACAAATGATCGAATATTTAATAAAAATTTAATTACAAAAGATGAAATTTTAAGAATATTAATTTTAAAAAAATGCAGTTGCATCAACATATACAATTATAGTTATATAAGTATGTATTATATATACAGGATGTCCGGTAATAATCATATCATTTGTCATGTACAAGTAGAATGAGTTAAACTAACAATAAATAGGAAAAAGACTTCTACCATTTTATGATTTTTGTAAAAATTAATAATTTTAAAATATTAGCCAATTCGCCATTAAATAAACGCGCGGCAAGAAGAAAATGGAAATTATAAAGTTATCTTCAGAATACCTTTATGTGCAAGTTTTATTATAATTCTGCAATTCTATAATATAGCAGATATTTCATAAAAATACAGTTGCGTAAATTTTTACTATAGTTAAGACTTTTTTTCTTTTACTCCTGACCCATTATAAGGCGGACAGATGCCATGTATGAAAAAACAGTTGAGATATACTAAAAGGATAAAAAAGAAAATCTAATTATTAACGATTAAAAATCCCAAGTATGCCTAATGTATTGTAATTTTTTTATTTATCTAGAAAATCTAAAAATAAATCACTTTTTCAGGGCAATTCTTATAGATAAAATACAATATTAATAAATAGAATAAAATAGATAATAATAACCGAGGAAGAACGAAACAAGGAACGAGGAACAGGAGGAAGTAACCAGAGGGGAAGAAGGTGAAGAGGAAGAGACGTTCGGAACATTCTTTCTGTTAGTGGAAAGAGTGAAAAGAGCGAACTCATTCACTGCGGGGGAGGGAAGTGCAAGAAGAAGGGGGAGACCGAGAAAGGGGGCAGAACACACGGGATATTGGTGAGTTTTTGAATAGGAGTTCAAGCAAAAGGAAAATACTGGAAAGTCCGGAAGGGAATAAGGACCTGCGGAAAAAAAAGTGTAAAAAGGAAGAGAAGCTCAGGCATTAATAAAAAAAAGTGGACAAAAGATGGGAGGAAATGGAGAAGAGGATGCAGGACACGGAGGAGAAGATTAAAGAATTAATAGAGAGGATAGAGGAAAAGAGAAAAAGAAAGAGGAGGCAAGGGAGAGAGAAGGCAAGGGAGGAGAAGGCAAGGGAAGAGAAGGCAAGGGAAAAAGAAGAAGGGAAGAACAAAAAAAAGGAAGAAGAGGTGGCAGAAGAAGAGTTGCTGAGGGAGTTTGAAAATAGGAAAAAATTAAACAGATTACTAAGAAGAGACAGAATAGTTCAAGCAGAAAGAGAAAATCCTGTGACAGCACAGGAAATCAATGCACTAAACGAAGAATGGGGAGAGAAAACAGAGTTGAATTCAGAGAAGGAGCGGTCTGAGGGAGAGAGCTTTGCATATAAAAATTCAAATATAAAAAATAAAAATATAGCATAAAACGCCAAGTGCTTGATTAAAATTATTATAAACATTTATATTTATAATCTATTCTTACATATTTTGTTCTCTAAGTATTATATATAATTTTTTAATAAATAAATAAATGTATGACACACAATATATAAAAATGTAATAAACATATGATACAACTATACGATACATAAAATATATAATATACATAAAAAGTAATTACAAAAAAATATGTTCTTACCGACGCGTAATAATTCATAGATAGATCCGGTAATGCACATGGAACTGAAATAGTGACCGGATGTTGACTTCTTCGTATAACATGTACTAAAATCTTTCGTATAGCCAAATCGTCATTGTACCATAATGAATCGTAGACGGCTGATGCAATGTCGCTACTCTAATAAAACCGCTCAATAGTTATAGATACATAATTATATATAGATATACAGGATTCAAAATAACCTGCTGTTCTTAAATTACATATTCCTGATTCAATTCTGAAACGATTTTTTCTTTTGAAAAATTTTATCTAAAGTTTAGTTCTTAAATTATAAAAGGAAATAATTATTATAGGTAACTTATTACAGGCTGACAATGAATACAAAAGGCAAGCAAGAATGATTCAGACGCGAGCGCTTATGTAGGGCACCTGCTGTGATCAGCTGACACACGATAGTATGCACGGACACATACATACATGCAAACACACACACACATGCAAACACACACACACACACACACACACACACTCTCTCTCTCTCTCTCTCTCTCTCTCTCTCTCTCTCTCTCTCTCTCTTTCACCTACTCATAGTTATTATTATCATTAGTTGATTGCAGTAGACGTAATATGTCATTTTAAGAACAATAGGTTATTTTGAATCACTCTGTATAATTATATCTATAATATACAATTATATAATCCATTTTTCATATAAATAACTAACCGTGCTTATTACATGATCAGCTGGCCAGGCATACATGTAGAGTTCCACAAAGCCGCAGAAAGCTATCATGAGAAACGTCCATTTCACTGACCATGGTTGACGCTATTATGTACAAATATTCGAGGAAAAGATAATATTTTATATATATATATATATATATATATATATATATATATAATATAATATATATTATGTAACTTATATCAAATAGATTTTATTTTAACAAACATTCTGTAAACATGTAATTAGAAGAAGTATGTGCATATAATTAGAAGAAGTAATTTGCTTTCCGTAGAATAAGTAATGCAATTTTGTAAAACGGGAATTTTTTTATGCAGAATAAAATAAATATAAAATAAAATAATTTTCACATTAAAGATACATATTACTTACGCTCATAAAAGTAAGATAACCGAATATTACAGCGCCAGTACTGAAAGTTACGCATAATAGTGCTATATAACGTACTGCGAGCGACACTTCTTTTGCATATCTGTAAAAGAATATTCATTTTTAGAAAAAATATAATTATATCAATTCTTAATTGACATTATTGTGGAATACAATTAATATATACAATTAATGTATGTGCAATATTTCGTCTTATACATTATATCTTTAATAAAAATGTAATAAGACTAATAAAAATGATCTATTATACTATATAAAAAACTATAAAAATTATCTAATAAATTATTACAAGGTATAATTAAAAAAAAATTTTTTTATCTTCGAGTTTTATCAAATATCAGAATATCTTAAATAAATACCCAAATATATATATGTAGTAAAATTTAGCGCAAATAAAATTTAGTTTAAAATATTGTTTAAAAAATTAAAATATTGAAATTGTATAATTTGTAACCTTTTTATACATTATTGCATTCTTAATAATCGCAGCACTCTCAATCCATTCCTTGTATAGTGTTCTTACAAATTAATGTATCATATTTTCTAATTGTCACAATTAACTCGATTGTCTTTTAATTCTATATTTTCTTTTATATATAATCTTATGTACCTGAGTAATATATAATGTTCTCTCGTATAGTTTATAAGCTCTTTCATGTTCGTCATCGTACGAAATCGGGTGGACAAAATTTGGAATCTGGCGGCTACAAACCAAAGTAGAAGAGCAGGAAAAGTATTGGCGCTAACTTGTATCACACTTTGATAAGCAGTCAATATATGATGTGCATAGATGAGAGTTTTTAATGGTTGATGTTGTACATCGAATGGGTATTCTGCTTCACTCGGAAACGATTGGGATGAGAACAGTGGTGCGGTTATCACGCTAACACCTGTCATTGCCAGCCAACCAAGAATGATACCTATTGCAAATATGCATACACGTACATAAATGTATGTGAATATAATGTATATACACAAGATGTGAGCAAAAGTTGGAACATTATTCTAATGTTGTAAACATATGATTAAAAGTTTTAATATTTTATTTAATGTATTTTTAACTCATTTTAACGCGAGAAAGATATATATAATTAATTAATTTATACATGTTCATATATATAAATATAAATAATTATACATACCATAAAATGGCATGCATTTATCAACATATTGTTGAAAAATTTCCTTTTCATATTTTTGCGCTTGTTTGTAATAATTCTCCATTTCTAAAACAATAAACTACACATTTGTCAAAATTAATATTAATCATTTCATTATTGCTTTTTTTCACTCTCATATGTTTGATTATATTAAAACTGCAAAAGATAATGCACAGAAGATAAAAAATGCAATAATTATGTTTACAAAATATTTATTTTGTGATGAATAAATTTAATTATACTTTTAAATTTAATTACACACATCATTTTACGATTTAACTTATACATATTTTAAGAATAAAAATGATTAAAATTAGAAATAAAGTAATGATAAAAAAATAATTTTAACTATTGAAAATTTTAACTATTTTGTTTTTTATCTTACTACTTATTAGCATCTTTTAAAAATTATTATTAATAATTTATGAAGAATGTAACTTTTGTCTTGCAAGAGATGTATATATATATAAAGATCTTATACCTGCAAACGTTTGTCCTGGAATGCAAAAAATATTATCTGCAATGGGACTTGCGAAACGGCGCTGAATTGGCATCCTAGTTTCATCACAAGTAGTGCATCATCACTGTGTTTGTAGAGCGTCCATGCCGCCGCAACGCAAAGTATCACTGAGTTCGCGCAACAAAAATATTGAAAGGCAATACGAAGAAATCTTTGAAGCTTTGTCGCGTTCGATGGCAAAGGCCAACAACATGCGAACGTCAAGTATATTTTCAAAAACACGATTATTTTACCCAGCGTTACCTTATCCTCCATAATAGCACACGGAAGTGCTTGGGCGACTCACGATGGACATGCAAGAATAGGCATAGTACGAACTTTAATCACAAGATTATTTATTCGTGTAAATACTCTGTAATGACACCGTCGTGAGGTGCTAAGCGTTCTGCATAGGATATTAGCATTACCTGTTACATCTTATATTCGCAGCAGATTGCATCGATTTTCGAGGGATTTTCAATGTACGTGATACGCTATTAAGAAACATTAGGCTATTTGGATGAGACTGATTACAATTCTACAAACTAGTCTATTAACAATTTATTTATTGGAAAAATATTAATATATAGTGAAAATAATATAAAAATGTTATAAATAAAATAATATAATATAAAAATATGAAATAATAAAAATGATAGAAAAATGATAAAATAATATAAAATCTAAATAAAATGTAAATATAAAATATAAATAATAATATGTAATTAAATATAATATTTAAGTGGTAAATTGATAAATTTTGTTTCACCGCAAGCTTCTTTAATTTCGATATTTTTGCGCAATGTTTTCATATAAGTCTTATATGTTAACACTGATACCTTTCGAAGTTGCAAAAGTTGATTTACTTTGAGAAATACCGAAGTCTATTTGTAGAGCACTTTAATTGTTCACTATTTTATTATTCATTAAGATTATCGAGAGACTTTGAGAGAAATTTCATTTCATTATAAAATTATGTAAAACATTTATGAGAAACTGCTGACGATTTTATTAAATTGCTACGATCAATTATTACTTGGAAAATTATGTTCAAAAGAATAATTTTCACCGATATTGATTAAATACCTCATCTTGAACTGTCTTTCCACCACATAAGAAGGCAAACATCGTTAATTAATCATATATATCGAACCTAAAGTTGGTTCAACTTAAAAGCACTTCCAGAAACGTTACGTTTCTGTAATTGCAGTCTATTAGTGTATCATTAGTAATAATTAAATCCACCACAATGTAGTATAATTAGCAATGTAGTATAATGAGGCGGAATTATAGAGTCTCTTATGGTAATTAACGACAAGCTATTATAACAAACGTAGTGTACGACGTAGGTAAAGTGAAGCAAATTCAAGTCATCACCAACAGTGATATCATGTATGTATATGGAACTATGGAATTATTTTTAATTTATTGATATTTATGAAATTTGATTTTTTATAAATTGTAGGTATCACATATTACACAGACACAAATCGATTTTTGTTTTTTTCTTTAATTTATTTTGACTCTTATTACTAATGTGGACAAGACAAGACAAGACAAATCTTAAATAAAAATTATACTATATTACAATATTAGATTTTAAGAATAAAATTGATAAAAAATTGCATTATTTTTATACACAATTACAAATATGTATTATATATATTATACATCTTAAAAAATACTTTGTAGGAATGACTCATCATTATTTATTTTTTTTCTGGAAAGTAACTTATTACTATTACTTATTAATTTAAAAAATTGTTATTCTTATACAAAGTTATTCTTATTCAAAGTTACAAATCGTTATAATTGTCGTTTTTTATTCTACTAGATAAACAAATTTTATATTTTTAAATTATATTTTTATTAAATTATTAAATAATCATATGGATATCGTTATTAATATTAATTATAATATAATCATATGGATATCGTTATTAATATTAATATATTATATACATATAAAAACGTATATACACATATAAGTTTCTATATTAATATAAATATAAGTTTATTCTTGTATCATTTTAAAATTTATTGCAATTTGAGTTTATTTAACAAACATATAAAAAGAATTTTCAAATTTTGTTACAAAAGAGATTTTATATTAATCATATATTATTTTTAAAATAATTTTTTAAAATTTATTATCTAATTTTTACATAATTTTTCCATTTATAATATCAAAGGCCTGCAAGAATAAAGTTTGTTTAAAATTAAATTAAGAATATATGAGTTTGTTATATTTATTCACTAAAAAAAAAATCTATTATAAAATGCAAAGTATACTGTAATATATAACAAATCCCATAATACGCAAATTACTTTTATTCAGAAATCTATGTTTTGATAATTGATAGATATTTATATAAAATTCTATATGAAAGAAATATTCATTTAATCAATCATCATCTTCTTCAAGTATAACTCGAAACGTGGCTAGATAGGAGAAAGCAGTCGAGACGTACTAAAAATGTTTTAAAAATTATGAATATTTGATTTTGATAAGTTAGGTAATTAATTGTGTTATTAATGGCAGTAAAAATGATAAATATTATCACAAACAAACTAGTATATAAATATAGACTTATATATTTATATTATAAATAAATATAGATTTATTTATTTTTGTATTATATTTGTTAAAAAAATAAAATATATTATTTATATAATTAACAAAACTACGTATGAGAATAGCTGTCTCTAAACAATTATCTTATGTCTATTTTTAAAATAAAAGCAAAAAATTGAGAAAATATTTGTGCTGGGTAATTTAATACAACAATATCTAAAGCATGTATCTCATCAATAATACAAAAATAATATATTCATAAGCACAAAAATATGATAACAAAAATTATAATAAAGTCAGTGACTCACTGAGGCATAATAATTTAACGAAACAGTCGGTAGCATGCAGGGTATATTTACAGCTATAGGTTGTTGGCTACGTAATAAAGTGTGTACAAAATTCTTCTGAAAATTAACTTTCCCGTTATACCATATTGAATCATATGCAGCGTGTGCAATATTAGTGCTCTAAAATATTAAATTAGAAACATATTATAATATCACATTTTTTCGCGTATCTCTACATTTATAAATATAGCTTACTGCACTTAGCAGGTGGTCAGCTGGCCAAGCGGTTAAGTATACTTTTGCAAGAGATGATATAAAAAAAATTAAAAATGTTGATTTTACCGACATTGGTTGCCGCTAATAAAAGAGAAAATTATAATGAACAATAGCAATAGTAGACAGCTTCTACACTATTTATGTTTCATCAAACGATATATAAATGTTTTTTAAATTACACAATGCATACGATACAATATGTATGAGAGAGTTATTTTATATAAAAAAGTGAAATCATGAAAAAAAACTTTTTAAAATAATGTGAAATAATAATGTGTAATATCATAAATATAATATTATAAAAATTCTTGGTTTAATTCTTAATGAATGAAAAGAATACATTTTTATGAAATGTACAATGTTTCATCAACATACAGCTCAATATGACGGATTGTCTGCTCATAGGAGTGCAAGAAAAATAATTAAAAAAAAATTAAACTTAATATAACTCTTAACATTATATCAATAATCCTAATATATATATATATATATATATATATATATATATATATATATATGATTGCAATAATATTATAATATTATAATATTCTTTTAGATATATACTTTCAAATATTTATGTCACAAGTTCACTATTCTGTGCAATTTAATTTTTTCTTCCAACAGCTTATTACGCGTTGATAGTGTCACAGCTAGTATACTTCGAAAATGTACGCAAGTGATTTGTATTACCTATTCTTGCATTACCGGTTTTCCTATAAGCAGGCAACCTGTCGTATTGAGCTGTATGTTGGCGAAACATCTTGTACACTTGCATTTTATAAAGTAAGAATAATTTTACTCACGCTAAGAAAAGTACAACCAGTAAATATGATAACTATTGTACTAATAGTCAGCGATGCTAACATCACAAATCGAATAGAAAGAGTTACTTTTTTTCCATACCTGAAATAATATATCTATTTTAACCAAAATTTTGTAATTATGCCTGAAAATGTTTTATATTATTAAAGCAAATCAATAATATAATAAAATAAAAATTAGACAATTAGACTTATACATAAAAGTTTATATTATGTTTCTTTCACAGAAAATATCATATAAATAAAATTAAAAAAAAAATTGCTGAAAAAAATCATTTTTGTGAAGCTAATCTTATTTAAAAGAAAATAATTAGAAAATAATTCATTAACTAAAATCCGAGAAATTTAGTTATTTGTGTAAAGATTGTAGTGTTTCTCTCAAAGCTTTATTATATTCCATATTATTCTATATATTTATAATCAGTACAAAATACTACTGTTTCTCTTTTTACTTGACGAGCTTATTTCTTATATTTTTAATATTAAATAAAACAAAAAAGGTAATATAAAAAAACAATGTATTTAATATATATATATATATATATATATATATATATATAATATAATATAATATTGATTATTATTTACCAGAGTAATTCTTGATGTTCTTCTATACATGCACGTAATTCTGCAAATTCTGTGACTGCTCGAAATTTGCTGGATAAGATATCACATCTCGCTGACACGAACCACAACAGAAGCGCGACGAAAATGTTTGCGCATACTTGTGTGTAACTTTGATATATAATTAACATATGATGTAAATAAATGATAGTCTTCAAGGGTTGATAATCCACGGAAAATGGATATTCTGTGTCAATGGGAAAAGGATGCGATTCTATAATAGGACTAAGAAGAAGCAGCAGACCGGTAACAGTGAAGGCGGATATTGAATATATATAAATTGATTTACAACTATCAATATATTGATGAAAAACATTCCTCTCTTTTGGTTTTGCATGCTTGCAATAATCCTCCAATTCATAAATCACATACTGCAATAGAATGACGATATTAAATAAACAACAACGTTTATGACATAAATATGATTGCGTTCTTTTATAATAATATAATTTAAATTTTATATTAATTAGTCTTTCATTTTACAAAAATATATATCTATATATTTCTATGAATCAGAATCAATAATTTCAAAATATATAATTTTTACAAAAAAAGAAAAACAATGATATAAACAATCGAATAGTAAATAACGCATTTTTTCAATTCAAAAGATAGTAATAGATAAATAAATGTATGTTTATAATTCTATTTTTATTATTATCATGTTTGTCAATTAAAATAAATAATATCGTTTATTTCTTACCTGGAGATAATCATATTGCATCGAGAAGCAAATTATTTGTAGTGGAATCTCTAAAGTGGTACACAACTCGCAGCATAATTTCATTATTAAAAATAAATCTGACCGGTTAGCATAAATTGTATATATTATTGCAATTATCATAATCAATCCGTGCAAGACAGAAAAACAACGGAATATTTTGTTACGTATTTTTTCCCATTTTGTAGCAGTTGGTGGTAATGGCCAACAACAAGCAAATAACAAATCGGCTTTCAAAAACGCCAAGAGTTTCTCTATTGTCAATGTATCTGTCATTACAAATATTAGGATAATATAATTTTATTATTCTGAAATATTATTTTCTTATTCTGCTATTGTTACACGTGTACATATGATTCTGATATATGAACTGACTTTATCAATGGAGAGCTTCAAGCATTTCGCACAAGATTATGTTAGGTATTTAATGTACGTATTTCAACCATAAGCACATAAAACTTATATAATGCACTTATATATCTCTCCTTTCTTTGATGCACATTTCCTGTTATAATTTTGCTTTTGATAGAATCATGTGTAAGTTTACAAATTATATAATTAGCAAATGATATATCGACGTTGAGTGCAATTGTACAATTATCTTCTTACTTCCCTAGACGTAGTCAATTAATATAAACATAGAGTAGGGGATGTTAGAGGGCAACGAAGGAAGGTGCAACGTCGTCACAAATAATACTATGATAAAATAAAATAAAATAAATAATACTATGTTAAAATAAAATAAAATAAAATGAAAGGATTGCGATTATGAATATATATATATATATATATATATATATATATATATATATATATATATATGATGAACAGAATAAAGATCGTGGTAAATCGATAAGTCAATTATCTTCTAACTTCCCTAGAATCTCAATTAATGTGGAAAGCAGAATGGGAGATGTTAGAGGGCAACAATGGAAAGTACAACGTCGTTACAAATAATACCGTCAGTACACACACAATACTGGTAGAAAGCTAGTATTATATACATATGTACATAGTTTCTTTTGAAAAGATTATCTGATATATGCTTAATGTACTTTATTGTGGATATGTATGTGAGTTTATTAATAATTGTTCGATTCACACAAAAGTTTGAATCTTATATTTACTTATATTTACTAAATAAATTTCACAACCTGATTATGAGATAAATTAATTAATTATATGTTATTATAGAAATTAGAAATAGGGATAAAGAATATATTTAGTTTCTTTTTTACTTAAGCTTGAAAAAAAAACAGAAAAAATTATCCATATTTTATTATATATAAAATTATATATGATTATGTATAACAATGCACTTCGATACTTTTCGAGTATCGACATTACATACCATATTTAAGAATCAACGATATTATATTTTCTTGCTAACTTATCTAATACACAATCGTAGAAGAAAATAATAGCAAGAAAACTTATAATTACTTTTATTGATATACGAAATTATATAATTGTTTTCATTAATATACTAGATTTTATTACTATATACAACATTAATGCTTCGTTTTATTTTTTATATAATCAAAAAATCTAAAAAAATTAATTTTTTTCATATTATCCTGTATTATCAGAAAGAATTATTCGAAATGTTGTCAGAAAAGAGAATGCTGTTGAGATGTACTGCAAAGTTATTAAAACAACTTCTTTAAATGCTTCTTTAAAAGTAAAATACACATAGCAAAATTATTATACAATACTTATAGAAAGAAAAATAAAATATAAGAAGTTTAATATTCACAGAAGAAATATATACGAAGAATTAAATAAAGTTAAATAATCAAAATCATATTAAACCAAGCTAAAAGATAACTACTGTAATACTGAAATGTTTTCTCTTACAGAAGTATAATGTTGAAATGTTAAAGCTGCTAGTAAACCAGGAACTGTTATAATTATAGGTCGTTGACAGCGTAACAAAATGTATAACATCATTTTCTGGGAATCAATTCCATGTTTATACCATAATGAATCATATGCAGCATCCCCGATATCGGAACTCTGCAAATATTTTTCACACCTTTGAATATACTACAGTATCTTGTTGATTTGTTTTGTCGAAACTTACTATGGTCATTAAATAATCAGCCGGCCAAGCGCATAAAAGTACCTTCAGCAATGATGAAACACATACGATAAAGAACTTTGCTTTCACAGATAACGGTATCCGCTATTTAAAAAAGTTAATTATTTAAAATTTAAAACTATTGATAAAACTATTAATAAAACTAATAAAAATATGTCTTCGATATATAATGTTGTTCTTGAAATATATAGGATAAAATATTACTATCTGATTATTGTTTGAACATTTTATTGTTTCTTCTATATTTGTTTCGTTTTTACTTTTATTTAGAATTTTTTTATTTCTTTAAACATTTAGTTTTCTTCTACATTTTAGTTGTTCTTCAAGAATACATATATGTTAGCGAAGAATAAAAGGGGAGATTTTATTACTTAAATTTGTTAATAATTTTTGTTATTAAAAAAAAATTATATCATAATAAGGAATATACACACACGCTGAGAATGCTAACACCGCCAAATACCAACGAATAAGTGCTAATACCAAGAGACAATAATATTATGTACGAAATTGATAAACTTATTTCTTGCGCAAACCTGTAACAATATATTGTATGATAGTATTTCTTTGTAACTAATTAATTAAATATGACAAGTAAACATATTCTCTAATATTTCATATAATATAAAGGTGTGTAATATATAAGCATCATATAATTATATATGGTTTCATATATATGGTTTCATATAGTCTATTGCTATTAATTATACTATGATTTTTCGAGTTTGAAATAATATTAGATATATATCTTTGTAAAAAAGAATTTAATAATTATATAATAACAAATTCAATAATTAATATTAAATATTAAGCATAAAATTCAATAAGCAGAATTCAATAATTATATATTAACAAGCATTAAGCATAAACTTAATAAACGTTAATAAAAAATTTTAATTGATTGGATTAATTGTTTAATTTTGATATGACTATCGACATACCTTAAGAGTTCTTGATGCTCACTAATACATCTTTTCCAGTCGGAATATTTCGTAGTTGTACGAAACTTGTTGGATATTTCAAATCGTGCTGATGTGAACCACAGTAAAAAGGCAAGAAAAACATTAGAGCTCACTTGACAATAAATTTGATATATTCCAAACATATGATGGCAATACACGATTGCTCGCAATAGTTGCCGATCAATTGGAAATGGATACTTTATTACGAGCGGAAATGTATCAAATCCACGAAGTAGTGGATCCAAAAATGAAATAAATAGCCCTACGGTAATTAAGCCTAAGGTCGTTGCATATAAATATATGTATCTATCAATGTATTTCTGAAATACATTTCTTTCTTCTGTTTTCGCCTGGTGATAATAATTTTCTATTTGAAAAATTACTACCTACACAGTTAGGAAGACGATATTTAATTTAAACTACATGTTTCGTTGAAATTAGATTTTATATAAGAGAAATGTAAAAATAATTTTCAATTAATATTCTAGGAATTAATAATACGCAATTTTAACGGTATTTTTTGATATAACATTGACATTTCTTGATTGCAATATATGAATAAAATTAATAAACTCGGTTCCGAAATCTCGAAATATGAAAAATGTCAAAAATTTTGAAAAATATTTCCATTTCACATACTTATATACATACATTCATATACGCAAAATGATCATAAGTTGCACAATTAAATAAATTAGACAATTGTTGTATACGTTTTTTCATCTCTTGTCAGTTAAACAATGAAAAATAAATCTTCAACTGCATTAAAGCTGTGACACAATATTAGTTGTAATAAATATATGTTATATTAATCATAATTTATAAGCATTATAATAATATTATTATAATATAAACAGTTAAAACTTAACATAGTAAACATTAAAAATAAAAATAGATTAATTGTTTTATCTATATTCTTATTAAACTTTCGTATTTGTATTTCTATCGTCATTTGACATAATAAAGGTCGAATAATAGTAAAATATAAGTAATTATTATTTGGAACATATAGCACATATACAACATATTTTGATGACTTTTTAAAAATTTGCTTTTCCTTTAGATTTAATTAAATTTTAATTAAACCTAATTAAACCCCTGCCATTTTTTACTATATCTCATAATTTCTAACATGAAATATTTTAATGATAAATTCAAAATTCTTAAATACGAGAAAGACTATTAAAAAATATTGAAATTTGAAGTTATTCAAATGTAACAGATATATATATTTTTCTATAAATTTAAATAATTATTTAATTACTAGTAACTATTAAATGATTTTCAATTTCTTACTTGCAAACGGTCATGTTGCAGAGTAAACAACAATATTTGCAGCGGAACTTCAGATAATATGCCCACTGCGCAGGTTGATTGCATAAGCATTTGAATACTTTCAGTCCGATAAATAATCGTATATATTAGCTCGATCATCAACAATATTGCGTGCAAGCTTGAGATTACACGAAATATTCTATCACAAACGATTTGAAATTTGGTTGCGTCTCGCGATACTGGCCAACAACAGGCAAATAATAAATCCACTTTCAGAAATGCAATGACTTTCTCTAACGTAATCTTCTTCATATTAACTGAGTTTGCCTTTGACGATAGACCACGAGTTCCGGTTGAATTGTTTCAAACGGAAGTATATACCCTTGCAGTATTCTTATGATTTTATAAAAAACTTCATATAATAGGTGAAAAAGATTCAAGAGAAATATAAGAAGCTATCATTAATACACTCCCTCATGTGTATACCAATAGTATAAAATATCTTAAAGCATATTATCGCATTTGGATAATTATACTTACTGATTATTACTTACTCTTATTTTCCTATCTTCGGAGCTCATGCGTGAACGTGTGGATTAATAAATTATGCGATGGCAAGAAATATACCAGCAACATGTTTTACACGCAGCAGTTTTCTCTCTATCTTGAATTATTATCATAATAATATTTCTTACTTTTATACGTTGATTGAATTAGTATAAATGGAAATACAAAAGAATGGTAAATATGTCTTTATTTGATTTTTGACAACATCTATTGATTTTAAGAGAATTGAATGATGTTAGAAATATTAGATAACTTAAAATTTATAACAAACAAAAAATGTGTATTTAAAACTTGACAATTATTACATCAAACTTTTTTTCTTTTATTATCTCTTCTTTAACTTATTTTTTTCTTTTTTTTCCATTCTAATAGAAATTTATTTGATATGATATGTCTTGTAGTTTTACACACTTCTTGTCTTAATCTACTTATGATGATTATCCGATTTTATAAAACGCGCAAAACGTGGAAAAATGTATAACAAAATCTGTATCCCTAAGACTTTTAAAAATAAATTTAAATATTTAAACGATAAAGATAATCGGAATACGAAATAAAAAAAGCCTTTAACATTTAAATAAAAATTAATAGATATAAAATCCGTTAAACATATTGTTTTATTTGCTATAAACGTAAAAAAACTAAAGTATATATAAAAAAAATATATAAAAAGATACAATAAAGTTAAACTAATGCTGGAATTTGCCATTTTTGTTCGAGATCGCGAATAAGATTAAGAAAATGATTATCACAGTTTATTTGCATAAGTATTAAATATATCTCATGTGAGTATATCAGTATTAATGCAGTATGATGCATTTTTTCTTATTTTAGATTATTTTAAAATAATTTTTTGTCCAGCACTGCAAAATTTATAATTTCTGCACATAAATTATTATTTTATTAAAATAATAAACATTATGTAAAATATTTCAATAACGAGATATGTAAAGTTCGAAATTTAAATCAAATTTACAAAGTTTTAGAAGATATTTTATTATATTTATTTTTTCTTCTATATAAAAAGTATTAGCATTGACGCATTTTTATTGCCTAGACATTTATTTTGAAATAAAGAGTGTTGATTATTTTCAATTAATCCACATCATTAGAAAGCATTGCTCTAAATGACGTCAGATAAGAAAATGCCATGGATACATACTGTAAAAATATTTAAAGATATTTGTAAATTTGCTATTTATTTAAATTAAAATATTTGATTTTTAGGAATAAAATGTTTTTTTTGTTACATATAATCATATATTATTAACTATAATTTTTATTAACTATAATATTTATTAACTATAATAGACTGCAAAATGCGCTATCTTACAGATGCGTAATGTTGCAAAGATAAAGCCGTGACCAAACCGGGAACAGATACAATAACAGGCCGTTGAGTTCGAAGTAAAGTATACAACATAATTTTTTGTGAAGCAATTTCATGTTCATACCACAATGAATTATATGCAGCATCTCCAGCATAACAACTCTATAATATTTTTTGAATATTTGAATGCTCCATAATATACATTTATATTTAATTTCATTTATTGAAACTTACCATACTCATTAAATGATCAGCTGGCCAAGTGCATAAAAATACTTTTGCCAATGATGAACAACATATGATGGAATACTGCATTTTGACAAACATTGGAAATCGCTGTTTTAAAAGACAATAGAACTATAGAATATAATGTTGTATATATATATATATATATATATATACAGGGTCTACCAAAAGTGTGGAAACCCCTAAATATCTCGGAAAATATACGTTTTACAGAAAAGTGTTTCGAACAAAAGTTGTAGGGTTTAAGAAGATCTATATACTGATTCTATCAGTTTGACCTTGGATGGCGTCGTCAAGGTCAGGTCAAGGTCACATTGACTTTTTTAAATGACACCCCCTACATTTGATTGCATATTCTTATAGCTTAATTCAAGAGCTTTCCAAAACACTATAATAATGTTCATTTTTATTAAGTACTTTGCGAGTTATGAGGGTTGAAATAATTTCTTAATTTTACATAAACCATAAAATATCTAGTAAACCATTCATTTTTCGATTATCTTACCTTCATACTTTTATGTACAAATTAATGAGAGGAATCAATTGGTGTAAAGAAAACACATAGTTGTTTCTAAGAAAAAATATGTAATTTGCAATTAACAATTCCATATTTTTTCTTAAAAACAACTGTATGTTTTCTTTACACCAATTGATTCCTTTCATTATTTTGTACATAAAAGTATGAAGGTAAGATAATCGAAAAATGAATGGTTTACTAGATATTTTATGGTTTATGTAAAATTAAGAAATTATTTCAACCCTCATAACTCGCAAAGTACTTAATAAAAATGAACATTATTATAGTGTTTTGGAAAGCTCTTGAATTAAGCTATAAGAATATGCAATCAAATGTAGGGGGTGTCATTTAAAAAAGTCAATGTGACCTTGACCTGACCTTGACGACGCCATCCAAGGTCAAACTGATAGAATCAGTATATAGATCTTCTTAAACCTTACAACTTTTGTTGGAAACACTTTTCTGTAAAACGTATATTTTCCGAGATATTTAGGGGTTTCCACACTTTTGGTAGACCCTGTATATATATATATATACATACACAATAATATAGATATAGCACGAAATTATATATACATATATGGAAAAATCTTCTTAAATCAATATTGACTTGCGTAAAGCAAATAATTTTCTAATTAATTTGTTTTTATAAGTAGCTGTGTTATGCAACAATAACAATAAAAAAAATTATAATTTTGCTTTTTAAAATGCATTTTATTATTAATACCAAGGCAAATTAAAAAGTAAATATATGAAATAAGTAAATGAACTTTTTTATTTTCCCGAATAAGTTGCTGAAAATCTTAACTTTTTTAATTTATCATAACTTCAAATCTTTACATGTTCTCTTTATATATTTAAAGTGGTTTGTTGTTAAGAGTTGTCTAAATCGCTGCCCGATCTACTGGTGGATAGATCATTTTAAAAATAGTTCATTTATAATAATAGTCATTTTAAAAATAGATTATTTTAAAAAATAGTAGTAACTTGTCGGATTTTTGTCATATTATGAAGAAAACATACTGCTCTCATTTTTTCTTTAGTGAAATTGGACAACTACTCTACTATTGGAAAAGTATTCATTTTAAATTGACATAAAATCATAATAAAAAGAGCTGAGTAACCACAACTCTAAATATACTTTGAAATTATGATAAATCATATATATATATATATATACAAGAATTGGTATTTATCAATCTGTTTAGGAAAACAGTTCCTCTACTTTTTGACTTGCTCTAGTAATTAATTAAAAAATAAGTTAATAAAATAAATAGATACACACACCAAGAAAGGTAAGACCACTGAATACTACCGTTATAGTGCTAACACCTAGCGATGATAATGTTATGTGTGAAATGGAAAAAGTTACTTGTCTCGTAAACCTATAATTATTTATTAAGCTATATAATAAATAATATAATTATATTTAATTATACACACATACATATACATATATAAAATAAGTAATATAAGGATACTTGATAATGCAGCATACTTGAAATTTTGTTGAAACTAATTTATATATAATTATAGATTATATATATATATCAAATTTACTTTAAAAGCTCTTGATGCTCTTGTATACATGCTTTCCAATCAGAGTATTCCGTAGCTATGCGAAATTTATTGGCCAAAATTTCAAATCTAGCGGTTGAGAACCAAAGCAAAAGAGCAAGAAAAACGGTGGCACACACTTGAACATATACTTGGTACAAAGCAAATGACTGATGTAAGTAAATAATTCCCCTCATCGGTTGATAATCAATGGAAAATGGATACTCTAATTCTAATACGGGACGAGCCAATATCAATGGCACTAAAATCATGGCAACTAAAGCTACTGTCATCAATGTCAGTGTTATGCCATAAATTACTATATGTTTATTTATATATTCCTGTATTACATTCCTTTCCGTTGAATTTGCATGTTTACTGTAATTTTCCATCTTCAAAATTATAGTCTGCAATATTATTAACAATTATTTTAATTCAATTATATTGTTTAACTTTATGCTCATAAAATAATTTTGTTTAATTGAAAAATAAGAATTATAATGAAGTATATTAAAAAATTTTTCGTAACTCTTATACTTCATTTTAAATCCAATTAATTGGATATATCTCTACGTCTTTGTACACCTAAAGTTCCAGATCGATTTTTCTAAAAAAGTATAGCGCACACGTATCACACGTAGCATATTTTGAAAGCAACATTTTTAATATCTCAAATATCTATATTTATATTTTATATATCAATATAAATATTTATATTTATATTATATTGCTAAAATATCTACTTTATAATTACGCCCGTTACATTCATAATGATTAATTTATAATAATTAATATGATTAATATTAATGATTAATACATATATAAAAATATATAGCAATATAAAGATGTATAAAATTCACTTTTCTTACTTGCAAACTATCGTGCTGTTGAGTAAACAGATATATCTGCAATGGAACTTCACATAAAGTACCTAAGACGCAACCTAGTTGCATTATCACCAACGTATTGTTGTACTGAGAAATAATCCTATATGCTACCGCATAGATCATCAGCATCGAATGCAAACCATTGAACAAACGAAAAAATTTATCATACGTGATTTGCATTTTAGTTGCTGTGGGTGGTAGCGGCCAACAACAAGCAAAAGCCAAATGCATTCTCAAGAAAACGATGAGTTTTTCGAATGTTACAGAGCATGCCATAATATACTTTCGGTAAGTCTCCCCGATTCATAAAATGCACGTACTATCGTGTACTTTGAACACAGCTGTCTCGTGATTATTTTCACCTGTACGAGTAAAACTTGGGGAAGGGCGATAAATAAAAAAGAAAATACTACCACATTTTGTTATAGATATAATCTCTCTTTCTCAACATTGTTCCAATAAATCGATCATTATATAAAAAGCGATGTACGCAATCCTACGAATAAATACTACGAGCAGCAAATGTTCTTTCTTGCTGAAAGCACTAAATACATACTTGAATAAATAATAAAGATTCACAGGCAAAGCAGAAACAAGCTGTACAGAGACGCGTCTATAACATTTCTCTCTTATTATTTTTTATAATCTTAGAAACTGTACGGAATAGCGAAATGCGCAATAAATAAAGCATATTCTCTCGATACATTTGCTATTATTAGTCATTACTTCCGCTTAGTAACAATTTTATAGAATGGTGCTACATAAATACAATGATTATCTTTTCTCGATATTACAACATACTTATATGTATAATAGTTATTAGAAAGAAAATGCGATGTTTTACTTCTTCTTGACTATTACATTATTCTTCTTGATCAGTACAGAGAAAAAATTTATAATATATTATAAATATTTATTTTAAAATATTTGAATTCGAAAGATTCGTATTGTAACAGACGTATTCGAAAGTGCGTGCCATAATTGTTAAAAAATGACATCAATCTTATTGTTAAAATAAATTGGCAAATTCTAATAATAATACCATTCTAATAATACCATTTTAGAGAATAATGAAAAGAATTATTATGCTATGTTCCTATCAACATTATGGTAATATTTATTTAATTTTATGTATATTGTTATTTATATTTCCAATATAAGAATATTCTCTGAATTAAGTTCTAAATATTAATATTTTCAAATTAATATGTAAGCGTTAACACTTTCTAAATTAAAAAAAAAAATTAAATATATATATACATATTACATAAAAATGTGTACGTACATATGTGTAACAATAAATAATAATAAAGTAAGAGAAAATTATTAGTTATATAATTATATTTTAAAAATTATGAATTACATAACCTTTGATTTTGTAACTCGTATTTAATGCAAACAAATATATGGTAATAAAATAAATTTAAATATCTAAATTAAATGTTTTTCTGTACATAATTTATATTTATTAATTAATTAATGTAATATTTCAATATTTTTAAACTTTTATTCAACTTTTATTTAATACGTACGTATATTTAATAATTATAACTCTTTTAATTATTAACATAATAAAAATAAATTTTACAAAAATTTCATCTTTAGGATTGTTTTACACATATGTTAAAGATAAAATTACGCTATCAAGAAACGTATATAAAATATTACAAATGTATTATGCATGCAATATAGCTTGTAATGCCATAAAATATGAGAATGTAGCGTAAAGAACCTAAAAGTAAAAAGATCAAATATAAAGATCATAATTTTTCGAATGTTAATAAGAATTTTACACACTTGTGTGATATTAACACTCACCGATCCGCAAAATTTTATTGAAACTACGGGTATAAAATTAGTGCCGCTAATCGCAACTGGTTTCTGACACCTTTGAATAATCATAAAGATTGTTCGGCGTACATTTGATGATGCACTTATCCATGAAGAATCATAAATTTGCCAAGAAATATTGTAAGCCTGTAAGAAAAATTATAAAAAATTTATCAATCTCTCAGTTGTATGTGTATGTGTTTTCCAAGTTAAATAAAGCAATATAATTAATGAATATTTGTTTTTATAAGTTAAATATATTTTAGCATTTTGAATATATAAGCTTGAAAATTATACCTTTCAAAATATTATTTATATATTTAATGTATCATTTAATTAATACATAATACACAATTTATATTATACTACCTTTTTTTAAAACAAACATTTTATATCTTTATTGTTTTTATCATAAATATGGAAATATTTGTTTTACTAGCACGATTTATATTACATAAGATTAAAAGATTAACCATATCGGTTATTGCTTGCGCTGACCAGCAGCAAACAAAGAGCCTCCAAATTGCAGTAGAAGTAACCATCAAAAATAGACTTATGTCCACAATAGATGCATTCTGCAATTTATATAAAATTATAATAGTAGAGTTTACGATAACTAAAATTACAATTAAAATTTAAATTACAGAATAAATACAAAAAAAAACTTTAATTAAAGTATGTATATATTACATTCAAAATTTAAAATGTACTCTTTTACAAATTGACTGGATTTTTCGCATAAATTTTTTGAATAAATTGAAAAATAATAATTTACAAGCGTTCTCTTGCTAATAACTTAAATACTGTTTTAATTCAGGTTTATAATATAAGAAGTCTTGAGATATAACTTAACTTAATTTAATAATAAATATTAATATAGATTCTCTTTCCGTTCCATAATACTTTTGATATTGATATATACATAGATAAGATCACAATTTTTAATAACCTTCAAAAAGTTTTAACCATTCATTATTTATTAAAAAATTATTGATAAATAAAAGTTCCGCTGCTTAATTATAAAACAATTTATATTAATTTGAGAGCACATGGAATACTCACATTTAAAATCAGGAGACCGCAAGTGATTACGTACATAGAAGCAACAATCGTCAATTTGAAAAGTATATAACTAGCAATACAATCGATTTCTCGTATATAACTAAATTAAAAAATTATAAAATATTTATAAATTTATAAGTAATAACAATTAAATTAAATGTTATTATTTAATTTAAATTCAAAAATTGTGATTTTGATTAAAAAGATTTATTGACTGTAATATATTTTTTTTTCCTTATGATACAAAAAAATATTTTAAAAAATCGTTATGAAATAATCTTACTTGAATATATTTTGATACATTATGATGGAGGCTCGGAGTTTATTAATAGTAAATGGCATAGAACGCATTTGAATACCCAACAAATTAAATTTAAAGGTAGCATGCCACATTGTAGAGATTATCATCAAATCGAGAATTATTGTAACTGATGCCTGTTTAATTGAAAATATGTGATGAAGATAAGCTGCACAATAAATCCAAGGCTTGGATATCGGAAAAGAATACACGACATTGAGCGGTAAAAATCTGTCCGAAATCATTGGCGAAAGAATGAGTATACACGCAGAAATAATATATATTATCGCTAAAGAAAAGTATTTTATACGTGTGTGATGCATAAATTTTAACCATACAATTTTTTCATATGGCATCCATATTTTATCAGGTTGTTCTATCTCATACAACAATTTCTGCAAAACCACAAATTACAATTCATATCACATATATTATAAATTAATATAAATTCGAATTAATATTCGGGATGTTAACCTGCAATCGTTTTCTTTGCATTTTACAATAAAGAAAATTAAATATTACTTCTGTGTTATATATCAATTCCACTAGTGTCTTCATTATATTGATAAAATTTTTTCGATATGCAGGAAGTATGCTTTTAGTCACTAAATAATATTGAATTATCATATTCAACGTATAAATAAACCACAAAACATTATAAGACAAAATTTTAAATTTTCCAGCTTTAGAGTTTAATGGCCAAACAGTAGTAAATAACCCACATATATGCAATACATGTAACAATTTGTCGTATTTCATGAAGATATGTTATTCAAGTGTTGCTTTTAATGAAACCGTGTAGTAAATTATGCACGACACAACATATAGCAATAATTGCGGAAATATGACAATTTTAATTTAGCAGAATTTATACAGATACTTTTTGCAAAAACAAAAATTTCACGAAGAAATGCACACAATATATGATTCACATAGCGCATTGGCAACAAAGTATTTGCACGTCATCTGTGTATATAGATAATATAAAGCAAATTATCATTAACGCTACTAATGAAACGATTATTTTAACGAGTCTAAAAAGAAAAACGTACATTTATAATAATTATATCTCAAATGACAAAGTCATTTATTTTATGATTCGCATTAATTCTGTTTTATCATAATAGTCCTTAATCGCACATATAAAAGTAACATCAATTTAACTCATCATTTAAAACGCTTTTCATTGTTTTTTAGAAAAAAGTCAATATAAGGAAAAATAAGTAGTTTATATTATATTTTTTTATATGTATATATGTATATATCAAATTATAAAAAATAATTATATACTTACCTATAATTATATACTTATATTTATATTCAACTTCAAAGGTGGGATCTAATAAAGTCAGTACTAGGGCTCTTCGAGTTCTTCTATTTTGATAATATGCCGATATGTTTAATCCGTGATTTTAATTGTTTGCGAGAAAGAATTTCCATTTAAGAAACAAGATATTAAAATCAAATAAAAAATCAAAAAATTTTCTTTCTCGTGTCGCGTAAAACTGTCTTTTTCAATTGCAACATATTACAAGAGTAAAAAGAGAAATATTGATATTAATTATATTAATGATAATTATAATAATAGAAAAAGAATAATTATTATTATAAAGGAAAGAATAATTAGATTAGGTAGGAAAGTTATATTAACAGAGCAAGAGAAAAAAATGTGTAAGTCTTGATTTAAATATATATACTATACATATAGTGAAAAATAAAAAAATGACATTAATCATGATAAAATCATAAACAATCAGTTTATTATCAACTTCTATTGTTGCACGTTTATTATTTAAAAGTCAATACGGATTACATGACATGACATAAAAATATTCTTTTATAGCATCTTATATATAAACTTATTCATTTATATAGAATTTTTAACGATACAGAAAAATAAATATGTTTATATTTATAGAAGAATATTTTGTCGTATCATATCACAATTGCGTAAGATGAATTTAATAATCCTAACAGTATTGTACACACTAAATATTTACAGTGCATCATATATTTTTTTCACATTAAAAAACCATAATACGTACAATCCATCATATTTCTAGCCCATCAATCATCTTCGAAAATTACTCGGAAAGTTGTTAAATAGGAAAATGCAGTTGATAAATACTGTCAGATACAAATATTTAATTTCGATTATTACATATGTCTCTCTCTCTCACTAAAACTATAATTTATTAACAATTTTAAATTTAAATAAGTGTATATATATATATATATATATATATATATATATATATACATACATATAAACCATTGACTATTTACTTTAAATGTGCGTATATAAATGTATATATTAATATACTCAAGAAAAGTACTAATTGTAAGTAACACTACAGGAGGAACTTTGACAATTTTGACGATATGATATCATGTTTTTTGAAAGTATTTAAATATTGCAATAAAAACAAAAAGTCATTGCAACTATTTATTTTTCAATTATTAATGAAAGATATATATATATATATATATATATATATATATATATATATAATTGTCTTTTTTATTCATATTATGTACAATTAACAAAATTAAAAATTTAATAAAAATTAAATTGCGTTAAATTAAATAACGAGGAAATGTGCAGGAAAAGAAATTCTCACCTTCACCAACACATTTATTTTTGATTGAATATGAATTTAAGAAATACTAATTATAAATATAGAGAGAATTTCAATTTGATAAAACAAAAATTCATACATATTATTTCCATAAAATTTATTATAGTTAAATTTAGATTTTTATATTGTGTGAAAATACATAGATTAACTAATTAATTATTTTCCCCAATATATAAATAATTTTAATTTTATAATTTAAGTAACAAATATTTCTATAATAAACAGAAATTTATTTGTTTTTAAATATATAAATAATAATATTTATAATTCGTAGAGAAACTAGTATTTACTAGAAATTTTTGCATTGCGTTTTGTTGCAAACAGAAATGGCTAGAAATATTTGTTAAATTATCGCCAAAGTTATCCCAGGATTATGTCACAATAAATTATCCATAAATGTTATAGGATGCGATATAACTTACAGAAGCATAATAATTAAGTGAAAGAGTCGGTAGCATGCACGGTACAGTTACGGATACAGGCTGCTGACATCGCGATTTAACATATATTAAATCTTTCTGTAAAGATACTTCTTTCTTATACCATAACGATTCGTATGCAGCATAACCAACATTATTGCTCTGAAATATTAAAATAAAGTTATATTTTAATTATAATGTTATAACAGTGCTTTTCTTTTAAATTTGAGTGAAAATAAGAATCAGTGGCATAACAATATATTTTTCTATAATAGAGCTGATCATTGTAATTTTTATTTTGGATAAAAAAATATGCATATTTATATATATTATTTATATATATTATTTAAATTTTGTATGTTTTGCTGTATATTTGATGTCAATTTTATATACGACAATTTCTTTAAATGTATATATGTAAAATTTAAATTTGTATATTTTCTTTTATATTTGTTATATATCTTACCGTACTCAAGACATAATCAGCTGGCCACGCGCAAACAAAAACTTCTATAAGTGAAGATGCACCAACAGTCAAAAATTGGGCCTTTATAGTTAATGGTTGTCGCTATATAAAATAATATTATAATATCAATAATACAATTCTGCTAATATGCGATATAAAAGAAAATTATTAAATTTACAATATAAGAAGGAAAGAGAGAAAATTATTTAGTGTCTGTAAACAATTGTAGTTTAAAACGAGCTAATTTTCATATTTATAAATAAATTATATGTACAAATAGTATTTAAATTATATGTGTGTTACATGTGCAAATTTTATTATTAATTAATGTATTTATAAAATAAAAAGCTTGCATCTTGAATTTTATATCTTCAATCAGATTTTTGCGCAATCTGTTCGATATTATGTAAACAGAATACGATAAATAAATGAAATAAACATAACTTACGCTTAAAAAGGTAAGACCGCTAAATACTACTGCTACAGTACTGAATCCTATTGTTGATAATGTTATATATCGGACTGCTTTAGTAACCTCTTTCGCATATCTGCAATCGATTTTTAGTTTTTTTATTGTAGTTATTCGTTTTAAAATTGATAATGAATAATAATGAAATAAAATAGTACGAAATTTTAATAAAATAGTACGACATTTCAAAATAAAGAAAGAGAAATTTGATCAGATAATTAATTTTTACTATTATTAATGTCATTTTTTATTTTTAAAACTTTTATTTCCTTTCATTACAATCGTATTGAATTATGACCTTAGAAAGATGATAATTTACTCTACCATAATATTTTATGTCTCACCGTAAGAGCTGTTGATGCAATTGTATGCAGATTTTAAATTCTGAAAAACTTCTAACTTTCCGAAATTGGTGAGATAAAATTTCAAATCTTGCAGCTATAAACCAAAGTAAAACAGCTACGAAGACATTGCTACATACTTGTACATAACTTTGATATACGTTCACCGCATGATGCAGGTAAATGATAGTTTTTAACGGTTGCTGGCTCACATAAAATGGATACTTTACTTCAATTGGAAAAGGTTGAGGTAGCAAAAATGGTCCAAAAATAATAGCGATAGCAGTTATAGCTATCCAGCTTATTGTTAATCCATAAAATAATTTGCATTTATCAATATATTTTTGAAATACATTCTTCTCTTCTGATTTTGCTTGTTGAATATAATTTTCCATTTCGTATATTATAACCTGCATAAATATGTAAGATGAAGGAAAAAACTAATTCGAAATTACGTATTCAATAAATTCAATATGTTAAAGTATTTTTCAAATAAAAAATTCATAGAAAATTTAATAATTTAAGAATTAATTTTAAGAAATTTTATTTTGATTAAATTTCTTTTCGGGAAATTTATTTTTAATTGTTTATTCTTTCTGTCGATATAAATTAAAAGATATAAATTAAAATTATCAATCAAATAAAGGTATATATTTTTTGTTTCTTACTTGCAAACGATCACTCTGAAGCGTAAATAAAGTAATCTGTATCGGAACTTGTAGAAAGGCAGTCAGCGCGCAACCCCCTTTCATAAGAAGAAGCATATTATCATGTTCGAGATATAATGTATATATTAACGATATCGACATTAGCATACCATTCATGCAACAACACCATCGAAATATCTTGTGTCGGATTTTTTGAGATTTTGTGGCTCTTACTGGGAGTGGCCAGCAGAAAGCAAACGTTAGATCTACTTTTAGAAAAGCAAGAACTTTTTCTAGTGTCAATATCTCTGTCATAATAAAATCTCGCAAATTATTTTATAGACAGAAAATAATGTATCTTATTACGACTTGAACTCAACTATCTCTTTACAGTATTTTTCCGAGAATTTATGGAAAGAAAAATCGCGCGAGCGGTTGAGGAAACATATATTGAACACTTAAGTAACATCTGTATTGCATTCATTTATATTTTATAGACGTAAAATGTACAATATTTCCTCTTATAAGAGGAATGCGCGTAAAACTATAACGTGGAAATTATGAGACGGCACAAAAAGAAATAATAAGTTACACAAGATATATGTATATACATATGTAGATCTTGTAATTCTCTTTCTCAATACATGATGAAGAATTGAATTAAATTAAAAAAAAAATATCTCTTTTGCAAGTTGAAATGATTACATCTATCTAACCAAATAAAAAAAAGTATAAAGAGAAAAGATTTGAACATAGGCGTGCATATCAAGATTTTAGAAATCGATTTATATCTGAGAAATCGGTTAAAAGTCATAGTCATCTAAATAGTAAGTTCAAAGATTTATGTTTTTGCATTATATTATTATAATATATACAAAAATATAAAATGTATGTATTCATTAATAAACGTATTAATTCATTTAATAAATAATATTAACAATTAATAATGGTAACATGAAAAATAATATTTTAACTTGAATTTAAATTATTATAGTGTAATATTTTCAATACATGAGTATATATAATCATTACAATGGATATATTTCATGAATGTAAGTGTTCGAATGACGAAAAGATTTAACAGGAAATGTGATAATATAGCAAATCTTTTTTTAGGAAAAATAAATTTATACAATTTTGAAAAGATTAAATTTTTGCTCAAATAAGAAATACATGGTTTTATTAAGAAATTCTCTCTAATAAAAGAATAATATTATTTAATATTATTTATAAAGCGTTCTTTAACAAAAACTCGAGTCTAAGTATACGTTTCAGTTATCATTTTTTTTTTAAGTTAGGATGTAACAAATTTAAAATTTTCATTATAATTGTGAAATTGTCAATAATTATGAAAAATGTAATTATAATTTATCCTTTTGCTTTAAAATTAATTTCTTAGCCATAGCTCTTAATTCTTTCTTCGCAATTTTTCCTGAATTTGTACGTGGTAATGCATTCAGAAATATCACTCCAGCACGAAGTTTGTATTGATCCATCATGTTATCTGCCACTAAGTCTATTAATTCTTGTTCTGTCACCTACATATAAACAATTTGATTATTGTAACATGGTATATTTGATAAAGCATTTTATAAAAATAAAGCATTTTATAAAGCATTTGCATTAAAAAACAATCTATAAAAGTCTATAAATTATCACAACACGTATATGAAATTAATTATGCAATTAATTAAATTATAATCTGTAATTTATTATTTGAAGGAAATAGAAATTTACAAGTTCAATAATAGTTTAAAGAATTGAGTAATCTTGATAGGAATATTAAAAAACTTTAAAACTTTAAAAATTTTATCATATAAAAATTTTTAAAGTTTCACGCAACATTCTTAAAATTTCGATACAATTGATAAATAATGAATTAAAAAATTTATATCTTATAAATATACTCGCGCTTTGTATCCTTATCATGTCTGTAATAAGATTTTACCTCGCCTCCCGGTATCTTAGTGACGAAAGCAATAGGATGTTCATCGTTTGTTGCATGAGGCACCCCTATTACTGCAACTTCCAATACTGCTGGATGTGACATTAAAACATTCTCGATTTCTCCAGGTGAGATTTGATATCCTCTGTATTTTATAAGATCCTTTATTCTGTCTATAACAAAAAGTTCTCCATCTTCATCGATATAACCAATGTCACCGGAATGCAACCATCCTAAAAAAAATATGAACTTATTTTCATGATATATTACATTATTATTATACTATATTATTATTAGATATTTTATTAGATTACTTTTTGTTAGAAATTACTCAGAATAATAACTTTGATAATATATGTCAAAATCAAAGTCATTTAGGAAAAAAGGAAAGTACACTAATATAAGGATTTAATATCATTTTTTACCTTCGTTATCAATTGTACTTTTTGTGACTTCCGAATTTCTATAGTAACCATTCATTAAAGTCGGTGTTTTTATCCACAATTCTCCCAAGTTATTTGGGCCAAGAGTTTTTCCATTTTCTACATCCACGATTTTTAATTGTGCATCCTGAAGTACTGTTCCACAAGATCCATTCTTATGATTTGAACATTGCATTGCGCAGAATCCGAATTCTGTCATTCCTAGATACGAAAGATGAATGATTGAATTTTCACTACATATTCTATTGCTAAATATTGTCTTATTTTATATATATATATATATATATATATATATATATATATATTATATTTATTACCAAACACTTGTAATATTTGAACATGTGATAAAATACATCTTATCTCTTCATGCACTTTCGATTTAATTACAGCACCACCGAAGAGTATGACTTTTAAAGTTGATAATGAAAATTTCTTTATATGATCCGTTCTGAGAAGTCGGTTAATCATATTTGTACTTAGAAAAGCCATAGTTATCTAAAGAACAAAGCAAAGATGTTTAGCATTATTATTATCATATATGCAAAAATATAAAATGCATGCATTCATTAAATCATTTAATAAACAATATTAACTATTAACAATGGTAACATAAAAAATAATATGATATTCTTTAGTAACTTGAGTTTATTTAAATTATTATAATGTAATATTTTAGTAATAATTAATCATTATAATAGATATATTCCACGTAAGTTTTCACATGATGTAAAGTTTTAACAGGAAATATGATAGCAAATATTTTCCTAGGAGAGATAAATAAATTTAAATAAATTTACACAATATTGAAAATATTAAATTTTTTGCTTAAATAAGAAATACATTATCTTATTAGAAAGTTCTCTCTAATAAGAATAATATCATTATTATTATTTAGAAAACATTCTTTAACAAAAACTCTAGCTCATGCTAATATATCTCAATTATCATTTTTTTTACAGGGAAACAAATTTAAAATTATACGCGCGTATTTATGCATAAAAAAAGTTTTTTATCCTTTATATAAAGAATTGTTCATCTTTTACATTAAATGAAAATTCAATCTTATTGTAAACAGCGTTAATGTAATCTCATCTTTACGACTTTTACCTTATATTTTTCGATTAATGGACATATCGCTTCTTCTTCAAATTCCGGATAAAGGATTATTTTGGCACCTTGTGCGATTGCCATCAAATTCATCATTATCCCGGTTATCCAATATAGTGATGAAAACCAAATCGCTACTGCATCGGTCAAATATATATTTTTATCCTCACTGATGTGCAATAAACAGTAATTAGATAATTCAACGCCCTTCGGCATTCCCGTAGTGCCTGACGAATGCATGATGCACATTGTCTTTCGCATATCGTTGCACTCGACATATTGAAAAGTCGCCACTTTATCATCACTGTACATGCTCAAAATATCAGAAAACGAAATTGCATTGAAGTGATCGCCGAAAATTACAACGGTAGGATTGTGATCGCTCTCTTTTATCGCGCTCAAGATAACGTTTACGGATTTCTCACTGCAGAATATTACTTTCGGAGTAGTAAGCTGCATGACATGCAATATGTTTTCTAATATAACAAAAAAAGCGCAATTAAGAAAAGTTATATAAAATAAAAAAAAACATTGAGTAAAATAAATAATACATATAACATATTATAGATATTACTATACAACTGAATGATAAATAAGATCTAAGTAATTCAAGATAAATACTTATATTTGCTGCCATTGGAATTCTTTGATTATTAATCGAATATAATGTAACAACGTTTATTTTTAATTTTTATCGCAGCAAAACTCACGCAAGTCCATGTTTTCGTTCCACGGATTAAAGATTGCGTTGACATAAATTGCTGCCAAACAGGGCACGAAGGTATTAAAATGATTACTTGTGCATACAGTGACAACATCCTTAGATTCGATTCCTTGTTCTTGTAGCCACAACGCACATCTTATGACTTTGTCTTGTAATTCCGCATATGTAACTACTTGTTCAGTGCATGCATCCAACTATAACATTATTGTTATGTTTGTACAATGTCTTTAAATTACCAAATGTGCGTTTCATATTAAATCATTTAATTAAAATGACATTAAACGTATTTTAATTTCTCAAAAGTGTTTACTTGTTATAAAATTGATATTTAAATAATATCAATTTAATTATATAACTATTTAATTATATTTAATTATATAACCATAATATTCAATAATATTTAAAAAATAAACTAATATTTATTAACTGTTTTGTTATTTGTGAGTTTATATGTTCTGTAAACATATTACAGAATCTCAAACACAGATACACATATGTATAATGTTTTATCGATAACAATAAAGTTAAATAAAAAATGTAAAAATCCTATAAAACCAAAGTTGCAATTATACTAACAAGTAAATTTAATCAAATTTAATAATACAAATAATGATACGTAAAATAATAGATAATACAATATAAATTAAATACAAATATCAAATTAAGAAATAAAAGCCGAGTGCAAAAACAGCAAAACAAAGTATCATTTTTAAGAAAGTTTGATTATATATATATATAAAATTTTTAAATCTTTTAAATCTTTTGTGCATCATTTTCTGTAATGATCAAAATTAAGAAAATAATATATGTCAAAGTAAAAATTAATTGTTTAGGAGAGCATATTTTAGTAAGACACACAATATATATCTATTACACAATACAAATCTATGGTAATAATATCTTATAAAGACATTGGGTAAAAGATCCATTAATGATATGGCATATAGATCCCACTATTATCATAATTATTTATATATCTCTCCACCAAGAAGTGTAATTGTATTATACTATAATACAATTTTTAAAAACATTTTCTGTTTTATTTTATATTAACACACTTAACTATAAAAATTGATTTTTCGTGAAACATTCGATATTGACAATATAAGTGATTGACTTACATGCACGATTTTATCTCTATGACTTTTAATTTTATTCCACATCATTTCTCCAATACTCTTGCGGTTAGATGTAGTTATTTCTCCTTTATAAACGTTATTTTTCACAGTAAAAGACTGAAAATAATAGATAAATCTATATAAAACATAATAAATAATGAAAAATAGTATAAATCTTTGAATGTCTTTATTGCAAATTTGCGTTTCGTATTTTTAATCTACATATATCTTAACGCTATATTAAAGTAACTTTTTTAAATATTATGTAAAAATATTAATCATAATATATATGTACGATTGTGTGATTTTTGTACTTACCCTTGAATCATTTGTAGTCATTTTACTGGAGAAATTGGAGAGTTTTAAATTTTAAATATAAAATATTTTTGAACACAATTAAACGACGATGTAATTCCCTTTTTCATACACTAAAATATTTGAAGAATTAAGTATCACTAATTTTTATTTATATAATACGATATCAATTTATTTCTTAAATTAATCGTATATTACTCACGAAAATTTCTTCATTACCGCTGTAATAAGAGAATGTTAAAAAGACTTTGTACTGATATATCGTGACACTGCGTGTATTCTCAATGTTCTATCATTCACGGTTTATTCGGAGTCATATCTCATGACATTATGCACTATCTCAAGTTAACAAGCAACAAAAATTTCTCTATTTTTATAAGGAAACTGGATAAGATTATATGAACAAATATAATCTTGCAATACATATAGTGTTGCAAAACATGTTGAGCAAAAGAAAATAGTAATATAAGATAAGATAAGATAATATAAGATAATATAAGATAAGATAAGATAATAGTAATAATATGACACTAATAAGATAGTAGTAATATGATAATATGTAAAATATTTTTTAACTAATTATTTTTAATTATTTTTAATTACTTTTTAATTATTTTTATTAATCAAAATAAACTTTAATTACGCGTTTGTTTGTTGATTTAACAAGATGTTAATATAGATTTTAACTGAAAAACAATTTTTATAATTATTTTATAATTATAATTATTTTAATATTTATAATTCTTCTTTTTTATAATTATTTTTATTTTTCTTTTCGTTCATATTTTATAGAAGAAAATATAATTTAATTGTTAACGATAATTTGATCGTTACTTCAAAAGAGAGAGCAAAAATTATTAAGAATTTGTAATATGAAATTCTCTTATCTTTTCGAAAATGATATTTCATAATGTTGAAATTCGCTTATCTTTTCGAAAATGATATTTCATAATTCGCTTATTTTTTCGAAAATGATATTTCATAATTTGATCGTTACTTCAAAAGAGAGAGCGAAAATTATTAAGAATTTGTGATATAAAATTCGCTTATCTTTTCGAAAATGATATTTCATAATGATTTTCATCAAATGATATTCCTATTAAATAAACAAATAAATGCGTTGCGAGACAGTACAATTACATATTGTGTTCAAGCATTCGATAATATTAATCAAATTCTTTTGCCCATGAATTACCTTTAGAAAAGATAGAATAGATATTATTATTTCTTTATATAACTATACAATACAATCTTTTGAACATGATGTTAACATATATTTAAATATGACGTATTATATAACTATCTCATTATGCATATATTATTATTTTCTTATAACTTTTATCTTCCTATGCATAATGATTTTGCTGCCAACATGTTTATCTCTCTTTTAATCAATGTATGTGCGCGTGTATTATTATCTAACGGTTATAAATATACTTCTTATTTTAGTCAAGCAAAACTTTTAAATATATGCGTATGTTGGAAAAAAAATATTGAATTATATTTATGAAACTCATTGCTGATTTATATATTGTTGATCATAGCTAAAGCGGAACTTATCAGAAGAAACGCAAGCTGATTTCTCGCGGGAATGTGAATCAATCGAATATCATAGGTCTTTTTCGAATCTCAATCAAAATGAGATTATTGTTTGAGATGTAAAATGAGTCATTTATTTCATCTGCCACAGTAATTATTCTTGATTGCCATTTTTTTGTTTCATTTTCTAATAATTATTCTCTAATACGATATTGTTACTATATTGCTAAACATGTTTTCTAACTCTAATCGACTTAATGCAATAATTAATTTTACACTAGTAGAAAAAGAGACGACACAATATCGTTAATATCGTATTCATATCATTGGAATAAAAATATTTCACACAATAGTCTTAAATCGAATTATTATTTTATATTTTTCTCAGATGTTTATTACAGCTTAAATATTTATAATTTTTTTAATATAAAAATTTTCAAATATTTGTAAATTCTGCACTCCTTTGACGAAAAAAGGATAACACTTTATAATTATCTAATAATTATATAATTGAAATAAAAATTAATATCTTATAATTACCAATACAAATTAGTAATTTCATGTAATAATTTTATTAATGAATATAACAATTTTTAATTAGAAATATAATAATAGTTAAATAATTAAATATAAATATAATTCATTATTTTATCCAAATGCTAGCTTTTTTGCCATTGCTTTCAATTCTTTTTTGGCGATTTTTCCGGAACCTGTATATGGAAAAGTATCCAAAAATATCACTCCATCACGAAGTTGATATTGATCCGTCATGTTATTCGCTACTAGGTCTATCAATTCTTGCTCCGTCACCTACGTATATAATAAAAATCGTATATTCTACTCGACGCAGACATATATAAAAAATCATACAAGAAAAATGGAAGTGAATCCATATGCAATTGTAAGTCGATTCTTGTTGTTAATTATGTAAGTACACATAAAAATCAAGTGCGCGCAAAAAAATCTTTAAGAATGATTTTATCGAACATGAATAATGCCTTGTAAAAAGTTTTATATTTCCAATTTTAATTTACATAATGATCATCTCTTTTATTTATACCACGATTTTTAATAAATCTTGTATATACATAATATTTAAATTAAATACATGTTACATATCTATTAATCTAAAACATATTTATTTTGATAAAAGAAATTTATACACATGCCTATTTCTAAATTGTATTATAAATGTGTATGTGTGTAAATTTTTAAAGAAGTTATTCAAATTTTCAAAACTTCTCAACATATGATTGGTAAATTATTATTTGACAGAATTTCGCTCTGTAATTTTATTATAATTGCAAAAAGATTGTACCTGGGCTCCGGGCATTTTAGTGACATAAGCGATAGGATGTTCATCATCCATTGCATGAGGTACCCCGATTACTGCAGCATCTAGCACTGCTGGATGTGACATTAAAACAGCTTCTATTTCTGCAGGTGAGATTTGATATCCTCTATATTTTATAAGCTCTTTTATTCTATCAATAATAAAGAGTTCTCCGTCTTCATCGAAATAACCGATGTCACCCGAATGCAGCCATCCTAAAAAAATTGAAACATACTTTTAAGATATATATGTGTTACTTTATATATTACTTTTAAGATATTGTTATATTTAATCAAATTAAAACGTTACTTAATTTATTGACGTAAATAAAAATATATTTGTACGTAAATGATATTAGTTTAATTCAATTTAATTATATATTATATATATATATATATATATATATGTACATTATTAATATTATTAACCTGTGTGCGCATAAAAGGAAACGAAATTGTTTACCTTCTTCATCAATAATGCTTTTTGTCGCTTCAGGATTCCTGTAGTAACCATTCATTAAGGTCATTGTTTTTATGCACAATTCTCCTGGATTATTCGGGCCAAGAACCTTTCCACTTTCTGGATCTACAATCTTTATTTGCGTATTTTCGGCTACTGTCCCGCAAGACCCGTTCTTATGATTCGAAAGCTGCAAAGTTCCAATTCTACATATTTCTGTCATTCCTATATAGAAATACAAAATAAATAATTAAAGTTGTATGATAAATTTTATTTATTATATATATTGTCTTGTTTCTTATATATTTTTTGATATTGTATTTATAATATTTTATTACATTAAGATGATATTTACCGTAACCTTGTAATATTTGAACATGCGGTAAAATACATTTTATTTCTTCCTGTGTTTTTGACTTCAATATGGAACCAATACAGATTAGAAATTTTAAAGATGATAAGGAATACTTCTTTATGTAACCCGCTTGAAGAAACCGATTAACCATACTCGTGTTTAAGATCATCATTGTTATCTAAATAACAAAATAAAAAAAAGTCAGGTAATTATGCATAAAGGGGTCCTCCTCTCCGATTTGCTTTATTTTTAAATATGTTATGGGAGATCTTCCCCAATAATTCCGTATACATATATTCATTACAAATACGTATATTCCATTAAAATTATTTTTGTATTTATTATTTTTATCCTTTTTGAGCCTATATCTCCAAAACTATTTGAATCCGATCCTTATATATATACATAAAATTACTCGGGAAGATTTTCTCTATAACATATTTAAAAATAAAGCAAATCGAAAAGGAGGCTCCTTTTACGCATAAATTTTTACCAAAAATCTTATTTGTATTGCAATACGCTGGTCATGTGAAAATGTAAAAATATGTTATATAATTTATCGAAATATATAAATACGTCAAATAAGACGATATTTCCAATATTTTAAAAAATCTTGTATGTAACTTAAATCGTGAAGTATTATCACACATACATGATTTGTTGTAAAAATAGACATTTCATATACTGCATATAATGCAAATCTCCAGATAAATGAGTTTTAACGATTAAAGTTAAAGGCTCCACTCAATAAGTTTATGTAACATTAAAAGATACAACATTAAATTACTTGTTTAAAAAAGTACTCAATTTTACTACAGAATAAGAGTAAATAAAAGAAACATTATTATTATAACTTATAAAGAGATTTTGGAGCAACCAATGTAATAATTCTGATATACCTCATTTATTATTCACTTATATGTTTTTAAATCGCAGAAAGAGACAGAGATTTAAAAATATTCATTCTTAAGATTTTAGAGAAAAACAGAATCTTATAAATGAAATAAATCCTGTCGCACAAACAATATTATCAATTCAATATTATTATTTACAAGCAATTTCAACTAACTTACTTTATACTTAACTTTTACCTTATATTTCTCGATCAGCCGACATGTCATTTCTTCATCGAATTCCGGATATAGAATAACTTTGGCACCCTGTGCGATCGCTGTTAGATTCATTATTATTCCGCTTATCCAATAAAGCGATGTGAACCAAATTAACACCTCATTAATTTGACACACCTTACGTTTAACCTCGCTGATGTGTAAGAGACAGTAATTGGATATTTCGACTCCTTTCGGCATCCCCGTAGTACCTGACGAATGCATGATACATACCGTTTGCTTGATGTCTTCCGGCTCGATATATCGAAAATTCGCCACTTCTGAATCCATATACATATTCAAAATATCAGAAAATGAAATTGCGTCGGAATGATTGCCAAAAACCACAACAGTGGGGTTGTAATCAATTTCATTTATCGTACTCAAGATAACGTTTACGGATTTCTCGCTGCAGAATATTATTTTCGGAGTAGTTAGGCGCATGACATGCAGCGAGGTTTCTAATAACAAATAGCACATAATTAATAAAAGCTTTCTAAAATAAAGAAGATCAAAACACATAAATAATACATAAATATTATTATACAATTAAATAAATGAGATCAGATTTAATTAATTCCAAAATAAATAAAATTTAATAATTTGCTTTCATAGAAATTATATAATCTTTGCTTATTAATCGAATCTAATGTAACAATTTTTAAAAAGTTTTATAAATTGTCATTGTTAGAAAACTCACTCAAATTCATATTTTCATCCCATGGATTAAAGATCGCATTAACATAAATTGCCGCTAAGCAGGGCACGATAGAATTCAGATGATTATTTGTGCACACGCTAACAACATCGCCAGATTTGATTCCTTGTTTTTGAAGCCACAATGCGCATCTCACGATTTTGTCTTGTAGCTTTGCGTACGTAACTACTTTCTCAGTACATGCATCCAACTATGATATTATTATTATTATAAGGAATGTTTTAAAATCACCGAATGTGTGTTTTTTTATACATTATTTAGTCATAATTAAAACAGTATTGAATACGTCTGGAATATCTTGTGTAATTTCTTGAAAATATTTAGTTGAAGTATGAAATTAACATGCAATTTATATTTAATATATATTCAATAATATTAATATATTAATATATATTTAATAATATTAAAAATAAATGGTTTAAACTAATATTATTTAATTGTTTATAATTTGTATTATATAATACAATATAATCTTGAGAAATATTTTTTTATTTTAAGTTTATTTTCCTAACTTGCTTAAATAGTCTATTCTTGAAAACAATTTTTTTATTTACTTATTCTATATTTACGTCATGTGTAAAGATTAACTTACGTGTGCAATTTTATCTGCATTGCTATTAATTTTTGACCATATTATTTCTCCAAGATTCTTATAATTAGGAATATAAGACGATATTCTACCTTTATAAACATTATTTTCCACAGTAAAATTCTAAAAATAATAGATGTTTATTTTCTTAATTAATTACAAAATTTTTACAAACCTAGTAAATTTGCATTTCATATCTTTAATGCTCTGTGCATATCTCACTTTATATTGACAGTTTGTTATTTAAATATTATATAAAAGATCATATTCGTTTTTGCATTTACCTTTGAGTTATCCATTTCGCCGGAAATATTTAAATTTTAAATCCTAGATATGTAACATTGAATTCAATTAAAAATCAATTTAGCGATTAATTAATAGCACTGCACCCTAAATAATTGCACTAAATAAATTTTATTTTGGTCGTCTCAATTAATTAAACGAAAGTTGACTATTAGTGAAGTGGATATAATACATTGTCATTAACAAAAATCTTCTTTTAAATGAGTATTGCATAGCTTAAATCAAGAATGATTAGGATATAATTAGTAAAAAGCATAATTTAAAGCATTTTTATGATTTTAAAATTAGTACATAGAAAGTATAGTATTGAGACACTGGCGCATATTTTATATTATGATATTGATTTTATATTATGAATTTTGTTAATAAAATTATGAAACTAACAAATTAAAATTTATAATTTTTATAACAATTAATAAATTAAAATTTATAATTTTTAAAATAGTACATAATTATACAAATTGATAAAATATTTTGTTGTTAAGATATTAAATATACAATGTAAGTTTACCATCTTTAATAATATTCAAAAATATATTATATTTGAATTGCATAGATTCTAAATGTGTGTCTAAATTAAAATTAAAAAACCATTTAATTCAAGTCTGAGCTGTATATTTTATTCCATTTTTAACACAATTCCTTAATTCATTTCTTATTTCAGTTTCTCCAAAACAAAGAGTTTTGAACAATTCCATAGTAATCGAGGCATTTTGAGAAAATCAAATATCATTCGTTCCTATTTACATGACGACAATAATGCTGACTTGTTTTTCTTTTTTTTTAATTAATCGTATACTGCTTGCAAAAAGTTTTTATAACGAATGAATACATTTAATATGCTAAAAATTATACTCACTGGTACAATATTATGTAATGATCACTATAGTGAATACTGACGTTGTCCTATCATCAACGTAATGAAAGATATTATTCCATAAAGTTACTGTATCATGCAGTAGAAATATATCATCCCTACTTTTATCGTATGCTTTTATAAGAGAGCTTTTAGGAGAGAAAATATAATTGTATTGTATTATTAAGAAGATAAGAAGATAAGAAGATAAAATTTGAATAAACATCAAATAAGAATAAACTCAAACAAGAGAGAGGAAACTGAAGTAAAATAGATGTACATATGCGTAAGATATTTTTTTTTAAAAACGCAAAAAGTTAAAAACTAATTAAAAAGAAATGTCTGCGCATTCTAACATTCTATTCTATCAAACAATAAACGTATTTGCCTAAACTACATATTTCACATAACAATTCGGATAGCGTAATAATTTTTCCAACATTTTATGATTTTAATTAAATTTCATTGCCCATAAATTATTTTTAATATAAGATTTATTACATATTATTTTATAATTCATTATTATTTATTTGTTATAATTATGTCATTTCTTGAATATTAATACTTATACTTATACATATACTTCAACATGACATATACTTCATTATGTCATTTCTTGAATATTAATACATATACTTCCAACATGACATATTCAATAATTGCTTGATTATATTTCATTAATTTTTTGTGATTTCCTTAAAAATATTACGTGACTGATATAAATATAGAACTTTTTTATTTCAATTAGACAAAAATTATACATGTGTGTGCTAAAGAGATAGATTATTGATTTCATATTCTCTTTTTTGGTTATAAAACTTATGGTTAACGTCCATCATATAATAAAGCGGAACATATAAAAAAAAATGGAAACTAATTTTTCAACAAAATCGAAATGCAAATCGATCGATTGCTATCAATTTTTTATTTAATACACTGTGCTTAAATGCAGTGTAAAAGAATACACATGCAGTTATTAATAATTATTAATAGATTCGCAGAATTCCTTCTTAATTTTTTGCCTTTCCATCTACTCCTATATTTCTACTCCTTCTTTTCATTTTTACTGTGTTATTATGTGATGGCTATAAATATACTTATTATCTTAGTCATGCAAAAATTTTAAATATGCGTGCGTTGGAAAAAGAATATTAATTTACATTTATGAAATTTATTGCTAACTTATATTGATGCTCATCACAGCTAAAGTAGAATTTATCAAAAGACACGCAAGCTGACTTCTCGCGGGACATGTAAATCAATTAAATAATTTTTTTTTCGAATCTCAATAATCAAGATTATTTGAGAATATGCCTTACAAAGGTAAAGTGAAAACTATAGTATATGTAATGAGTATATGTAATGAGAAAACTATTTATTTCAGATAGTGCAGTACTTATTCTTGATTGCCATTTCTCTGTTTCCTTTTTAATTGTTTTCTAATACGACATGTTACTACTATTACTAAACATATTTTATTATATCTAATTGACTTAATGCAATAATTAATTTTACATTAATAAAAAAGCATACGAAAAATATTGTTACGTGGAATTAAAAACATTTCCCATAATAGTCCTAAATCATTTTTTTAATAAGCCATAATTTCTTATTACATTCATATCGTGTTTGAATTATTATTTTATATTTTTCTCACAAATATTTTTTTTCTTCTTAAATATTTATGATTATTTTTTAATATAAAAATTTTGAAATACATTTATAAATTCTGTATTTCTCTTTTGCAAAAAACACAAAACATTGTAATTATATAATTGTAATAAAAATTAATGTCTTATAATTACTAATACAAATTAGTAATTTAAAGTAATAATTATATTAATGAATATAACAATTTTTAATTAAAAATATAATAATAATTAAATAATAGAATTTAAAAATATAATAATAATTAAATATAAATGTAATTCATTATTTTATCCAAATGCTAGTTTTTTTGCAATTGCTCTCAATTCTTTTCTGGCGATTTTTCCGGAACCTGTATAGGGAAAAGTATCCAAAAATATCACGCCAGCACGAAGCTTATATTGATCCATCATATTATTCGCCACTAAATCAATCAATTCTTGCTCCGTCACCTACGAATATAATCAAAATTATATATTCTACTCACCATATATTTAAAAAATCGTCATACATCAAAGATGGAATCTATATATGCAAATGCAAGCCAAGATGAATCGATTCTCGTTGTTAATTAAGTACGCATAAAAATCAAGTACGCGCAAAAAATCTTTAAAATTGACTTTTTTCAAACACATAATACTTTGTAAGCAAATTTACACACATGTCTATTTCTAAATTATTTGAAGAAATCAAAAGAATCAAAAATAAAAATCTTGGAAATAAGTTTATTAAAAATTATATATATATATATATATATATATATATATATATGTGTACGTAAATTTTTAAAAATTAATCGAATTTCCAAAATTATTCAACTTGCAATTATTAAATTACTATTTTATATAATTTCCTTTTGCAATTTTATTATAATTGCAATAAGATTATACCTCGGCTCCGGGCAATTTAGTGACATAAGCAATAGGGTGTTCATCATCCATTGCATGAGGTACCCCGATTACTGCAGCTTCTAGCACTGCTGGATGTGACATTAAAACAGCTTCAATTTCTCCAGGTGAGATTTGATATCCTCTACATTTTATAAGCTCTTTTATTCTTTCAATAATAAAGAGTTCTCCGCCTTCATCGAAATAACCGATGTCACCCGAATGCAGCCATCCTAAAAAAATTGAAACTTACTTTTAAGATATATATATTACTTTACATATTACTTTTAAGATATTATTATATTTAAGAAAATGTATAAACGTTACCTAATTTATTGACATAAATAAATAAATAAATAAATATATATATATATATATATATATATATATACGTAAATAATTCGATTAATTGAATTTAATTATATATATTATATATATATATTAATTTAATATTATTAACATGCGTGCGCATAAAAGAAAACAAGATTTTTACCTTCTTCATCAATAGTGCTTTTTGTCGCTTCAGGATTCCTGTAATAACCATTCATTAAGGTCATTGTTTTTATGCACAATTCTCCTGGATTATTCGGGCCAAGAACCTTTCCACTTTCTGGATCTACAATCTTTATTTGCATATTTTCGGCTACTGTCCCGCAAGACCCGTTCTTATGATTCGAAAGCTGCAAAGTTCCAATTCCACAGATTTCTGTCAGTGCTAGAAATACAAAATAAATAATCAAATTTGTACGATATATTTTATTTATATATTGTCTTGTTTCTTATATATTGGTATTGTATTTATAATATTTTATTACATTAAGATGATACTTACCGTAACCTTGTAATATTTGAACATGCGGTAAAACACATTTTATTTCTTCCTGTATTTTTGACTTTAATATTGCACCACCACAGATTATAACTTCTAAAGATGATAAGGAATACTTCTTTATGTAACCCGCTTTAAGAAACCGACCAATCATGCTCGTGCTCAAGAAAATGAATGTTATCTGCATAATAAAATAAAAGAAAATTTGTATTGCAATATGCTGGTCACGTGAAAATGTAAAAATGTATTACATAACTTATCGAAATATATAATTATGTAAAAAAAGATGATATTTCCAATGTTTTAAAAACTCCTGTATATAATTTAAATTGTGAAATGAATTAACACACATATGTGATTTGTTGTGGAAATAAACATTTCATATATTAACACAAATCTCCAGATGATAAATAAGTTTTAACAAGAATTAAAAACTTCTTTTTATAAGTTTACGTAATATTAACATAAAAGTATAACATATTAATTTTAATATGTCTCTTTATATGTCTCATTTATTGTTCACATATATGTTTTTAAATCATAAAAAGACAGAGATTTAAAAATATTCATTTTTAAGATTTCAGAGAAAAAAAGAATTTTATAAATGAAATAAATCTTGCCACATAAGGAATTATTATCAATTTAATATTATTATTTACAAGAAATTTCTACTAACGTACTATATACTTAACTTTTACCTTATATTTCTCGATCAGTCGACATGTCATTTCTTCATCGAATTCCGGATATAGAATAACTTTGGCACCCTGTGCGATCGCTGTTAGATTCATTAATATTCCGCTTAACCAATAAAGCGATGAGAACCAAAGTGATACCGCATTAATCATATAAATATTTCTATCCTCACAAATGCATAATAGAGAGTAATTAGACATTTCGACTCCCTTCGGCATTCCCGTGGTGCCTGACGAGTACATGATACATGTCGTTTGCTTGATATCTTTCGGATCGATATATCGAAAATTCGCCACTTCTGAATCCATATACATATTCAAAATATCAGAAAATGAAATTGCGTTGGGATGATTGCCAAAAACCACAACAGTGGGGTTGTAATCGATTTCATTTATCGTACTCAAGATAACGTTTACGGATTTCTCGCTGCAGAATATTATTTTCGGAGTAGTTAGGCGCATGACATGCAGCGAGGTTTCTAATAACAAATAGCACATAATTAATAAAGCCTTTCCAAATAAATAATACCAAAACACATAAATAATACATAAATATTATTACACAATTAAATAAATGAGATAAGATTTAATTAATTCAAGATAAATAAAATTTAATAATTTACTTTCATAGAAATTATACAATCTTTGCTTATTAATCGAATCTAATGTAATAATTTTTAAAAAGTTTTTAAACTTTCATCGTTAGAAAACTCACTCAAATCCATATTTTCGTCCCATGGATTAAAGATCACATTAATATAAACTGACGCCATACAAGGCACGATAGAATTCAGTTGATTATTTGTGCACACGCTGACGACATCGCCAGATTTGATTCCTTGTTTTTGAAGCCACAATGCGCATCTCACGATTTTGTCTTGTAGCTCTGCATATGTAACTGCTTTCTCAGTACATGCATCTAACTATGATATTATTGTGATTATAAGGAGTGAAAATTCTCAAAATTATCAAATGTTTGTTTTATTGTATATTATTTAGTCGTAATTAAAATGATAATGAAGAAATTTAAAGTATCTTGTGCAGTTTTTCGAAAATATTTATTCGATATGAAATTAATATACAAATTTTATTTATTTAATAATATTAAAACTAAGCGGTTTTTAATCAATATTTAGCTATTTTGCCTGTTTATATAACGAAAATTATAAATTAAATGCAGATATATTTTGTATCTTCTATTGTATATTCTATTGATGTTAAGATAGAATTAAATATAAAAGAATGAAAATCTTATAAAAATGAACTTTGCAATGAAATTTTAAACAAACTTAACAAAAATTATTTTATGTTTCATTCAGAATTAATTTTTTTTTTAATGATAAAAAGAAATATGTGATATTTTATAAACATAATAAGCGCGATTAATAGTAAATAGATCCTCGTCATTATTTATATCTCTCAACAAGTATTATACAATCTTGAAAAATATTTTTTTGTTTTAAAATTGTTTCTCTAACTTCCTTAAATACTACATTACATTCTTAAAAAAATCTTTTTTCCTTAATAATTCTATATTGATATCATGTCTAAAAGTAACTTACGTGTGCGATTTTATCTGCATTACTCTTAATTTTAGACCATATTATTTCTCCAAGGTTTTTATAATTAGTACAAGATATTCTTCCTCTATAAACATTTTTTTCCACAGTAAAATTCTAAAATAAGTAGATGTCTATTTTTTTAATTAATTACAAAATTTTTACAAACTTTTATAGTAAATTTGCATTTCACATTTTTAATGCTTTGTGCATTTCTCACATCATATTGACAGTTTATTATTTAAATATTATATAAAAGATCATATTCGTTTTCACATTTACCTTTGAGTCATCCATTTCGCCAGAAATATTTGAATTTTAAATCCTAGATATGAAACATTGAATTCAATTAAAAATCGATTTAGCGATTAATTAATAGCACTGCATCCTAAATAATTGCACTAAATAAATTTTATTTTGGTCGTCAGAATTAATTAAGTGAAAATTGATTATTAGTGAAATGAATATAATATACATTTTCATTAAAATAAGAACCTTTTTTTAAATCAATATTGCATAGCTTACAGTTAAATCAAGAATGATTGGGATATAATTGATAAAAAGCATAATTTGAAGCATTTTTACGATTTTAAAATTAGTGCATAGAAAGCTATAGTGTTGAGACACTGTCACATATTTCATATTATGATAATAATTTTATTAATAAAATTATAAAACTGACAAATTAAAATTTATAATTTTTATAACAATTAACTAATTAAAATTTATAATTTTTAGGATAGTTCTACATAATCAAACAAATTTAAAAAATGCATATTTTGTTGTTAAGATATTAAATATACAATGTGAGTTTACAATCTTTAATAACATTCAAAAATATATTATATTTAAATTGCATAAGTTCTAAATCGAAGCTCGCGTCTATATTAAAATTAAAAAATCATTTACCAAGTCTGAGTTGTATATTTCATTTCGTTCTTAACATGATTCCTTATTTCAGTTTCTCCAAAACAAAGAGTTTTGAATAATTGAGCTATCTTAAAAAAACTAAATATCACTCGTTCCTATTTACACGTCGATAACAATGTTGACTTGTTTTTCCTTTTTTTTTTAATTAGGCGTAATGCTTGCAAAAAGTTTTTGTAACAAATGAATACACTTAATAAGCTAAAAATTATACTCACTGGTACAATATTATGTAGTGACCACTATAGTGAATACTGACGATGTCCCATTATCAACGTATTGGAAGATATTATTTCATAAAGTTACTGTACCATACAGTAAAAATATATTACTTCTACTTTTATTATATGCGTAAGAGAGAAGATGTGATTGTTTTGTAATGTTAACAAGATGGGAAGATAAGAAGATAAGATTTGAATAAGTAAATCAAACAAGGCTGCGTTCCATTTCACGCATATGCGCGCATTATTTATAGTATGCGTAACGTATACTATAGATAAATGCGCGCATATGCGTGAAACGGAATGCAGCCCAAGAGAGAGAAGTAGCATATAAATGATATTGAAATAATATATAAATGTACATATATAACATATTTTTTTTGTAAAACGCAGGAAGTTAAAAATTAATTAGAAAGAAATTGCTCCGCATCCTAACATTCTATTTTGTCAAAGAATAAGCGTATTTGCCTAAACTACATATTCCACATAACAATTCGGATAGCGTAATAATTTTTTCAACATTTTATGATTTTAATTAAATTTTTTGGTCATAAATTATTTTTAATAAAAGATTTATTACATATTATTTAATTATTCATTATTATATATTTTTTAATAATTATGTAATTTTTTGAATATGATATTAGCATACTTCAATATAACATATTTAATAATTGCTTGATTATATTTCATTAATTTTTTGTGATTTCCTTAAAAATATTACGTGACTGATATAAATATGGAACTTTTTTATTTCAGTTAGATAAAATTTATACATATATGTGCTAAAGAGATAGATTATTGATTTCATATTTTCTTTTTTGCTTATAAAACTTATTGGTAATGTCTATCATAAACTTAATAAAGCGGATAAGAAAAAATGGAAACTAATTTTTCAAAGAAATCGAAATGCAACTCGATCAAATGCTATCAATTTTTTATTTAATACACTGTGCTTAAATGCAATATGAAAGAATACACATTCAGTTATTAAAAAAATCTAATAGATCTGCGGAATTCCTTTCTTAATTTTTTGTCTTTTTATCTATTATATCTCTACTCCTTCTTTTCATTTTTGCTATCTTATCTTATTTTTTTATTACTTATTTATGCAATATTACAAACGAATTAATAAAGATTCGCAAAATATACGATGAATTATCAAAACAGATAAATAAAATTTGTAGTTTGAGTTTATATATAACGGATTCATTTTATTTAATTTCAAACGCCTCGGCAATGAAGTCTACATAATTCAAATTTTAATTTTAATTTAACACATGCGAGTAGTAAGTTTTACATTTCTGTTCTTATAATATACATGTATTTTTATCTACTTATATGTTTTAATTTTATGTTACTTATTTTACTTTCACTTTCGCTTATGCATTTATTTTTGATCGAATATGAATTTAATATATACTAATTGTAGATATAGAGAGAATTTCAGTTTAATGAAACAAAGATTTATACATATTATTTCAACAAAATTTATTATAATTAAATTAGGATTTATATTGTATAGTTTCTTGAACATATATAGATTATTAATTAATTAACTAATATATAGAATAATATTAATTAATATATAGATTATTAATTAATTAACTAATTATATTTCCCAATACATAAATAATTTATAATTTTATAATTTTATAATTTAATTTAAGTAACAAATATTTTTATAAACAAAAATTTATTTGTATTGATGTTTATCACAACTAAAGTAGAATTTACCAGAACAAGCGCAAGCTGACTTCTCGCGGATCGTAAATCAATTGAATACGTTACCATAATATAGGATAATTTTTTTACGAATCTCAAGATTATTATTTGAGAATGTGTCTTACAAATGTAAAATGAGACAACTATTTATTTTAGATTCCACTTATTCTTGATTGCCATTTATCCGTTTTCCTTTTTAATAATTATTCTCTAATACAACATGTTACTACTATTATCAAACATGATTTGTTAACTCTAATCGACTTAATGCAATAATAAATTTTACATTAATAAAAAAACATACGATAAAATATTGTTACGTGGAATTAAAAACATTTCCCATAATAGTTCTAAATCATTTTTTTTATGAGCTGTAATTTCTTATTACATTCATATCGTGTTTGAATTATTATTTTATATTTTTCTCACAAATATTTTTTTTCTTCTTAAATATTTATGATTATTTTTTAATATAAAAATTTTGAAATATATTTATAAATTCTGTATTTCTCTTTTGCGAAAAACACAAAACATTGTAATTATATAATTGTAATAAAAATTAATGTCTTATAATTACTAATACAAATTAGTAATTTAATGTAATAATTATATTAATGAATATAACAATTTTTAATTAAAAATATAATAATAATTAAATAATAGAATTTAAAAATATAATAATAATTAAATATAAATGTTATTCATTATTTTATTCAAGTGCTAGTTTTTTTGCAATTGCTCTCAATTCTTTTCTGGCGACTTTTCCGGAACCTGTATAGGGAAAAGTATCCAAAAATATCACTCCAGCACGAAGCTTATATTGATCTATCATATTATTTGCCACTAAATCAATCAATTCTTGCTCCGTCACCTACGAATATAATCAAAATTATATATTCTACTCAACATATATTTAAAAAATCGTCATACATCAAAGATGGAATCTATATATGCAAATGCAAGCCGAGATGAATCAATTCTCGTTGTTAATTAAGTACGAATAAAAATCAAGTACGCGCAAAAAATCTTTAAAATTGACTTTTTTCAAACACATGATACTTTGTAAGCAAATTTACACACATGTCTATTTCTAAATTATTTGAAGAAATCAAAAGAATCAAAAATAAAAATTTTGGAAATAAGTTTATTAAAAATTATATATATGTGTACGTAAATTTTTAAAAATTATTCGAATTTCCAAAATTATTCAACTTGCAATTATTAAATTACTATTTTATATAATTTCGTTCTGCAATTTTATTATAATTGTAATAAGATTATACCTCGGCTCCGGGCAATTTCATGACATAAGCAATAGGGTGTTCATCATCCATTGCATGAGGTACCCCGATTACTGCAGCTTCTAGCACTGCTGGATGTGACATTAAAACAGCTTCAATTTCTCCAGGTGAGATTTGATATCCTCTATATTTTATAAGCTCTTTCATTCTATCAATAATAAAGAGTTCTCCGTCTTCATCGAAATAACCGATGTCACCCGAATGCAGCCATCCTAAAAAAATTGAAGCTTACTTTTAAGACATATATGTGTTACTTTACATATTACTTTTAAGATATTATTATATTTAATAAAATTTATAAACGTTACCTAATTTATTGACATAAATGAAAATATATATTTGCACGTAAATAATTAGTTTAATTGAATTTAATTATATATTATATATGTATATTATTTTAATATTATCAACATGCGTTTGCATAAAAGAAAAAAAGATTTTTACCTTCTTCATCAATAGTGTTTTTTGTCGCTTCAGGATTCCTGTAGTAACCATTCGTTAAAGTCTCCGTTTTTATCCACAATTCTCCTGAATTATTCGGACCGAGGATTTTTCCGTTTTCTGGATTTACGACCTTTATTTGTATATTTTCGGTTACTGTCCCGCAAGACCCGTTCTTATGATTCGAAAGCTGCAAAGTTCCAATTCCACAGATTTCTGTCATTGCTAGAAATACAAAATAAATAATCAAATTTGTATGATATATTTTATTTATTACATATATTGTCCTGTTTCTTATATATTGGTATTGTATTTATAATATTTTATTACATTAAGATGATACTTACCGTAACCTTGTAATATTTGAACATGCGGTAAAATACATTTTATTTCTTCCTGTATTTTTGACTTCAATGTTGCACCACTACACAGTATAACTTCTAAAGATGATAAGGAATACTTCTTTATGTAACCCGTTTTAAGAAACCGACCAATCGAGCTCGTGCTCAAGAAAATCAATGTTATCTGCATAGTAAAATAAAAAAAAATTTATATTGCAATATGCTGGTCACGTGAAAATGTAAAAATGTATTACATAACTTATCGAAATATATAAATATGTAAAAAAGATGATATTTCCAATGTTTTAAAAACTCCTGTATAATTTAAATTGTGAAATGAATTAACACACAAATGTGATTTGTTGTGGAAATAGACATTTCATATATTAACACAAATCTCCAGATGATAAATAAGTTTTAACAAGAATTAAAAACTCCTTTTAATTAAAGTTTACGTAATATTAACATAAAAGTATAACATTTTAATCTTAATATGTCTTATTTATTGTTCACATATATGTTTTTAAATCATAAAAAGACAGAGATTTAAAAATATTCATTTTTAAGATTTCAGAGAAAAAAAGAATCTTATAAATGAAATAAATCTTGCCACATAAGGAATTATTATCAATTTAATATTATTATTTACAAGAAATTTCTACTAATGTACTATATACTTAACTTTTACCTTATATTTCTCGATCAGTCGACATGTCATTTCTTCATCGAATTCCGGATATAAAATAACTTTGGCACCCTGTGCGATCGCTGTTAGATTCATTATTATTCCGCTTAACCAATAAAGCGATGAGAACCAAAGTGATACTGCATTAGTCATATAAATATTTTTATCCTCACAAATGTGTAATAGAGAGTAATTAGACATTTCGACTGCCTTCGGCATCCCCGTGGTGCCTGATGAGTGCATAATACATGTCGTTTGCTTGTTGTCTTTTGGCTCGATATATCGAAAATTCGCCACTTCTGAATCCATATACATATTCAAAATATCAGAAAATGAAATTGCGTTGGGATGATTGCCAAAAACCACAACAGTACGGTTGTAGTCGATTTCATTTATCGTACTCAAGATAACGTTTACGGATTTCTCGCTGCAGAATATTATTTTCGGAGTAGTTAGGCGCATGACATGGAGCGAGATTTCTAATAACAAATATATAAATAAAATTTAATAATTTACTTTCATAGAAATTATATAATCTTTGCTTATTAATCGAATCTAATGTAACAATTTTTAAAAAGTTTTATAAATTGTCATTGTTAGAAAACTCACTCAAATTCATATTTTCATCCCATGGATTAAAGATCGCATTAACATAAATTGCCGCTAAGCAGGGCACGATAGAATTCAGATGATTATTTGTGCACACGCTGACGACATCACCAGATTTGATTCCTTGTTTTTGAAGCCACAATGCACATTTCACGATTTTGTCTTGTAGCTCTGCATACGTAACTGCTTTCTCAGTACATGCATCCAACTATGATATTATTGCGATTAAAAGGAGTGTCTCAAAATTATCATATGTGTGTTTTATTGTATATTATTTAGTCGTAATTAAAATGGCATTGAATAAATTTGAAGTATCTTGTGCAGTTTTTCGAAAATATTTATTTGATTTGAAATTAATATACAAATTTTATTTATTCAATAATATTAAAACTAAGCGGTGTTTAATCAATATTATTTAGCTATTTTGCCTGTTTGTATAACGAAAGCTATAAAATTAAATGCGGATACAATTTGTCTCTTCTATTGTATATTCTATCGATATTAAAATAAAATTAAATATAAAAGAATGAAAATCTTATAAAAATAAACTTTGCAATGAAATTTTAAGCAAACAAAATTTATTTTATGTTTCTTTCAGAATTAATTTTTTTTTTTAAATGATAAAAAGAAATATGTGATATTTTATAAACATAATAATAGAAGCGTGATTAATAGTAAATAGATCTTATTATTCTCGTCGTTATTTATATCTCTCAACAAGTATTATACAATCTTGAAAAATATTTTTTTTTTAAATGATAAAAAGAAATATGTGATATTTTATAAACATAATAATAGAAGCGTGATTAATAGTAAATAGATCTTATTATTCTCGTCGTTATTTATATCTCTCAACAAGTATTATACAATCTTGAAAAATATTTTTTTGTTTTAAAATTGTTTCCCTAACTTCCTTAAATACTACATTCTTAAAAAAATCTTTTTTACTTAATAATTCTATATTGATATCATGTCTAAAAGTTAACTTACGTGTGCAATTTTATCTGCATTGCTCTTAAGTTTAGACCATATTATTTCTCCAAGGTTCTTATAATTAGTATAAGATATTCTTCCTTTATAAACATTATTTTCCACAGTAAAATTCTAAAAATAATAGATGTCTATTTTTTTAATTAATTACAAAATTTTTACAAACTTTTATAGTAAATTTGCATTTCACATTCTTAATGCTCTGTGCATTTCTTACTTCATATTGACAGTAGTTTTTTATTTAAATATTATTAAAAGATCATATTCGTTTTGCATACCTTTGAGGCATCCATTTTGCCGGAAATATTTGTATTTTAAATTCTAGGTATGAAGCGTTGAATACAATTAAAAAACGATGTTGTAATTCACTGTGTCAGAAATAATTTTTATTTTAATCGTCTCAATTAATTCAACGAAAATCGATTAGTAATGAAATGAGCATAAGATAAATTTTAAATTTTTCATTAAAATGAAGAATGTCTTTTTTTAAATAAATATTGTATTGTTTAATATCAAAGCAAGAATAATTGTGATAATTGTGTAATTGATATACTATAGATAGATAATAGGTATAACTTTAAGCAATTTAATTACTTTGAAATTATTACGTAGAAGGAACAGTACTGAGATACTTTCAGATATTTTATGCTATGATAATAATTTTGTCAATAAAATTATAAGACTAAAAAATTAAAATGTATAATTTTTATAATAGTTGTCCATAATCATATAAATTGCATATTTACTAAATGTAAATTTATGATCTTTAACATTCAAAAATATGTTATGTTACTATATTATATTATTTGAATTGCACAAAGGCTCCTAAGCATATGTCCAAGTTAAAGTTAACTAGCCGGATTTGTCAAATCTGAGTTACATATTTCATTTGTCTGTTCTTAATGATTCTTTAAATATTTCACATACGCGATTTTTTATTGATTCTTTTGTAATATTCCGTAAATAAATAATAAAAAATATAGTAATTAAATTTATAGATTTTATAACGTCAAGATATAAAATTTTTTGAGTAAAAACAGGCCGAGAAATCTTTCTCAGACGTAATGAGATATTTCAAGCCATCTGTCTTTTCCTTTAACTTAAAAAAAAAAAGGAAAACATATTTACCATAAAAACCTATTTGAAGTTTCTGGTAATACTATTTTCATTTTTGAAATTCGCGGAAATACCGGAAATCGCGTACAATTTTGAATGTTAACATGAGGCAACATGGGTATCGTTGGATAGAACTTTTAAAAAGAAATAATTTTTGCTTGAAAAAAAATTTGATATCACTTACCATAATCCAGAAATAATCGAAAAATGCTTGTAATTGTTATGACGTTCGAACTACACAACCTCTTCTCTCAAAATATCGAGTAAGACTCATGGTTTACGAGCCAAATATATTAAACATGAGTCAGATTCATACGAATTACAGGCCAAACATAGTCACGGATAATTTGTCCCACTGTATACTTACTCCTTATGGCATACGTATCTATCGCATAGAGTAACTGATATTTTTTTAAGTTACAGATGATTTGATACGTTTTTGATGAGAACTATGTATTTTTTAAATGAAGAAATACATTTGAAATGTTAATGATTTCGGGGGAGTGCTATCAAAATTATTTGACTACCGAGCGCCTTGAAAAATTCAAACAATTGCAAGTATTTTCTTTTAACTTATTTCTCTATAACAATAAGTGATATTAAATCCAAAGTCACGTGAAAGAAAGAAGTGGCGTAAATATATTCATAGACAAACATCCACACATAATTTGCATACTATGAGCAGGAATAATCCACGATTCTAACAGCAATTTTCTTATGAAATAATTTAACATTTACATGATTGTTGTAAATAGAAAACATGAGAAAACATGAGAAAAATATGAGAAAAAAAAGAGAAACGTATTTAATAAGAAATCTCTAAGGACTTATATCTTTGATGCTAAAGTTTTGCTTATATATCTTCTTTTATTACTAATGTTAAAATCTCATTGATATTTCAATTACAGTCTGGATACTGAAATAATAGATTTTTAAAAGCATAATATGCACAACAATTTTTATATTTTAACATTTTTAATTATAAAACAAGTATAAAAATTGAAACTAAAATAGCTTGTTGCAAAAGAATTTTATACTGTAATATCAATAAAAAATAATATATTGTTTAATGTTTCATAATAAATAGGAGCGCCAAGTTTCCTTAGTATTATAAGATTTTTTCTTATCCTAGTATTAAGCTTTTTTCTTATTTTTTAATAGCTACTTTTTACTTTTTCTCAAATAGATGCCTTGGATTTTACATCTTGTAATATCTTTGTTCATAAAGCACCTAGAGCAAAGGCATTCTTGTTATATAATAGAAATCAAAGAGTTGATTAAGTCTATTATTAGCACGATTGATTCAAGCATTTATTGCGATGTTATAAATGCACACATGCATACATGTGTGCATTTATAACATCGCAATAAATGCTTGAATCAATCGTGCTAATAATAGACTTAATCAACTCTTTGATTTCTATTATATAACAAGAATGCCTTTGCTCTAGGTGCTTTATGAACAAAGATATTACAAGATGTAAAATCCAAGGCATCTATTTGAGAAAAAGTAAAAAGTAGCTATTAAAAAATAAGAAAAAAGCTTAATACTAGGATAAGAAAAAATCTTATAATACTAAGGAAACTTGGCGCTCCTATTTATTATGAAACATTAAACAATATATTATTTTTTATTGATATTACAGTATAAAATTCTTTTGCAACAAGCTATTTTAGTTTCAATTTTTATACTTGTTTTATAATTAAAAATGTTAAAATATAAAAATTGTTGTGCATATTATGCTTTTAAAAATCTATTATTTCAGTATCCAGACTGTAATTGAAATATCAATGAGATTTTAACATTAGTAATAAAAGAAGATATATAAGCAAAACTTTAGCATCAAAGATATAAGTCCTTAGAGATTTCTTATTAAATACGTTTCTCTTTTTTTTCTCATATTTTTCTCATGTTTTCTCATGTTTTCTATTTACAACAATCATGTAAATGTTAAATTATTTCATAAGAAAATTGCTGTTAGAATCGTGGATTATTCCTGCTCATAGTATGCAAATTATGTAGATCATTATGTGCAACAGACTATATAAACGTTTGTATAAATTTGCAAGGACAACACTCTTGAAATAACGAAATAAATAATTATGTTACAAGTTTTATAGACAAAAAGATCGGATATCATATACAAAATTAAAAATTTTTACTTACTAAAGCTGTACGAATATGGTAAATATAGATATTTTACTGTCCTACAAGTTAAAATATAATATAGATAAAAAATATAGAATAAATAAAAATATTTTTGACATATAATATAAATATTTTTTGTGCATATATGTATGTGTCAATAATTATTAAAATGGAATTAAATATTTATTATCTTCGATAAATTGGATTACACAGAATGCAATGATATATTAGTGAATAAGTTTATATTAGTAAAAAGTTACAAAATAGAAAAAACGTACCAGTCTCTGCAAAACAAAGTTATGAATAATTTTTTAGGAATCTTGAGGCATCTTAAGAAGACCGAACATTATTTGTTCCTATTTACATATTGACAACAATGCTGACTTGCTTTTTTTTATAATATATTTTATAAGTATATAAAATATACTTTCAAAAAAAATTTTTGTAACGAATCAGTACACTTAATACGTTAAAAATTATGCTCATTAGTTGTACACTGTTATATACACTGAAGTGAATATTGGTTATGTCCTACTATCTGCGTCTGGAAGATTATTTATTGCGTAGAATAGAAATACATCATTCCCTCTACTTTTGTTGTTGCGTAAGATCGTGAAGAAAATTATTAAAAAGATTTGAATAAATATGTCAGAGAGACAAAAAAACGTAAAATGCCAGGGAGACAAAAAAACGTAAACCACGTATGTAAATGTATGTATATGCAATATGTAAATATATGTAAATATATAGGATATTTATTTTTCTTATCTTATTATAGGTATTTTTTCTGTAAAACTCAAGAAGTTCTTCTCTTTCTTCTCATTTTTGCTATTTTATTTTTTATTTATTTATTATTTTTTTATTATTTTTGCTATCTTATTTTTTACTTGTACAAAATCACAAAAAAATTAATAAAGGTTCGAAATATACCACGGATCGGAGGTTCATCATTACAAGAGGAACCATCATTACGAGAGGTCAAAATAGACAAATTAAATTTTTGGCTCGATTACTTCATATTATTTAATTTTAAATGCTCCGGCAATGAAGTCTAAGCGATTCTGAATTCTACAAAATTTTAATTTTAATTTAACACATATACGGTAAATTTTACATTTCTGATTGTTCATATAATATATACATATATTTTTATTCACTTGCATGTTTTAATTTTATTTTACTTATCTTATTTTATTATTTATTATAACAACAATCAGAACTAAAAAATTTAAGTATTTCCGCATTGTTCTAATTGATAACCTCTGAACTTAAGCAATATTCGCGATAAATAATTACTAACACACAAAAACATACACATCACATAATATATACTGAATGTATTAAATATTTGTCTCCATTTTCGTCGCCTATAGATATCATGACTAATATTCAAACAATATCGCATTAAAATTGATATAAATAAGCCATATCGATTATCATCAGCTCAAAAACTGATATAATAAATTACTTGTTTTGTACACAATTATGTTATAATAATAAAAGTTATATTATTTACAATTAATTTCTCTCTCTCTCTCTCTCTCTCTCTCTCTCTCTCTCTCTCTCTCTCTCTCTCTCTCTCTCTATAAACAACACATATGGTCTAAACACAAAATTGATATATTACTTAAAAAGACAATCAAATAAGAAATATCTTATCTATTAATCAATTATTTGCTATAAAGAAGTTGTTTTCCAAACGTGATTATCAAACGCAACTTTCCATCATATACATATGTTGCTTTACGTAAGACGCAAACTCATTCTTAAACTTACATAACTATTTTTACACGTTTGTTGAACGTAAAATGCGCAAACACTTTTTTGCAACACTTGTATTTTACGATTTATTAAGAATATTATTCAATATTAAAAGGTACGGTTATTTTGTGACATATGTATCTCTATTAGCAAAACTAATTGAACTAAGATTGCATATATTTTTTAGTAAATATCTGTTACAAGAACTTTTTGGTTATTTGATTTTTTGCTTATTTTTTCCATAAAGTACACGGTAAAAAACATTTTGTATTTCTGTTAAAATTTTCTCGTGTAAAAACTTTTTAAAATTTTTAACATACTCTTATGTTAATGTAACATATTATCATTGCGTTATTTTGACATTTCTGCATTCAGTTAATATGCACCATTTTTAAGAGTTAAAACAACACAATTAATATGTAAATGCACGGATTTTTGATGAAATATGTTATATGTTAAAATGAACAGATAAGTTGAGTTATTTTTCTTTCTATAACAGTTTCCATATATTAAATCAACTTATCTCTTCTATTATTTATCATAAAAATGTAAGAATAACATTTTCTTTTAATTAAATTTAACATTATAAATATGTTAATTTAACATAAACTTTATTTCCAGATAAAGTTTAAGTGTTACATTTTTGTGTTAATTTTTAAACATACTACTTGTGTTATTTATTTACTTAATTGCCTTTTGTTAAATTAACATTTGAATTAAAGTGAATAAATTGGGACATGTGAAATATGTTAAATTTAACATAAAATTTTTTACTGTGTATGAATTTTGTGTAATTATCGAGAAAAAATACAATTATATAAATTATTATATATAATTATAAATATATATAAAATATATATATATATATAAATATATATATATATATATATATATATATATATAATGTTATTCAACAGCTAGTTTTTTAGCCATTGCTTTCAATTCTTTCCTCGCGATTTTTCCTGAACCTGTATAGGGAAAAGCGTCCAAAAATACAACACCAGCACGAAGTCTATATTGATCCATCATATTATTTGCCACCAAATCTATTAATTCTTGCTCCGTCACCTATACATGTATATAATCAATTTAATTACTTCATTTTTTAAATGTTTTATATATATTTTATATTTTGAAAAATTAATTTATAAAGAAAATTAATTATAAAAAGAACTATATTTTTTCCTGACACACATACATGTATATAATCAATATTTAAGTTAATCCCCATATATATATTAAACTTTCCAAAATTTTGCATATGCGTATTGCATAAGAGAAAGCACAAAAATAATATCACAATGACCCAAATATCAAAATTAAATTTTATATAAATATATTTTGTATAAATTAAGTAAAAAATATATAATAAATTGAACAAATAAACTAACAGAAGAAAAATATGTCTACAGACTAAATAAATCAAGGCATGTAAATTTAAAATTACCTATTTCCGAGTCAGCGCAATTCCGTCTATTATAATTTAAAGTTCTAATAAAAGTTCTAATAAAGTTATAAAAACAATAGTGTTTGTTTATTTTTTTAATAAAACATTTAATAAAACATAGATTTATATAAACCTTTCTTACCTACTTGATCGCAACATTAACATTTTATATAAATTTAATCTTAACATTTATAGAGATTATACACTCTGTGTACAAACAAGGAAACAATCACATGTCTATCTATTGTTTAAAGAGACAAAATTTCGAAAGTAAATTTATTAATAATTTTATCACATGATAATATTTAAAAAGAATTTCTCGAATAATTTCCAAACTTTTTAACTCATAATTGATAAAATATTATTACATAATATCCTGTGATTTACCTTGGATCCGGGCATTTTAGTGACATAAGCAATAGGGTGTTCATCGTCTATTGCATGCGGCACTGCTAGTACTGCAACTTCCAATACTTCTGGATGTGACATTAAAACAGCTTCAATTTCTCCAGGTGAAATTTGATATCCTCTATATTTTATAAGCTCTTTTATCCTATCAATAATAAAGAGTTCTCCGTCTTCATCGAAATAACCGATGTCACCCGAATGCAACCATCCTAAAAAAATTAAAACTTACTTTTATGATATATTTTATCATATTTAATCAAATTTAAATTACCTAATTTATTTATGTCAATAAATTAGATAATTTAAATTTGATTTAAAGCTTTAATAAAATTATAAATACAATATTGCTCTTGTTTATTTTTAAAAACTTATAAATCTTTAATTAAACCTTTTGGGACATAGGTTTATATAAACTTAACATTAGTTTAATTTAATTTAATTTAATTACATATTATTATCAATATTGCATCTATGCGCATAAAAAGTTTGTTTACCTTCTTCATCAACAGTATTTTTTGTCGCTTCAGGATTCCTGTAGTAACCATTCATTATGGTGGCCGTCTTTATCCATAATTCTCCCGAGTTATTCGGGCCAAGGACATTTCTGTTTTCTGGATCTACGACCTTCATTTGCACATTGTTGACCACTGTTCCACAAGACCCATTTTTATGACGCGAAAGTTGCAATGCCGCGATTCCACTGATTTCCGTCATTCCTATATAATAATAAAATAAATAATCGAATTTCCGCGATAAAACTTGTTTAATTAAATATATTGTCTTGTTTATTATATAATGATATTTTATTTAATATTTTATTACATTAAAATGATACCTACCGTAACCTTGCAACACTTGAACATGCGGTAAAATAGATCTCATTTCTTTTTGTGCTTTTGGCTTGATTATTGCACCACCACAGATAATGACTTTCAAACATGATAATGAATACTTCTTTATATAACCCGTTCTAAGAAACCGATTAATCATACTCGTACTTAAAAAAATTACTGTTACCTAACAAGATAAGAAAAAGATGTTTTCGTGTTTTGGTATACAATATGCTAATCATGCACAAACGTATAAAACATAACATACAATTTACTAATAACTTACAATTTACTTATAATTAACATGCGTAATTAACATGCATTATAATAATACATAAGAAGATAAAATATTTTTGATTTTTTTAGATCTCATATGTATAACTTAAAGTTAATTATTTTATTATCATAAATTTTTTAGCATGTAATAATGTTTTGTCATAATAATAGACAATATTTGTTAAACGCGTCTTCGGATAATAAATAATAAATGAATATTAATGGTAAGTTAATGGTATTTTTCTGGGAGTGATAAGTTTATACAATGTTTAATTTTCTTGTAAAAAAGTACATTCAATTTTATTTCATGGAATTCATAAATATAAGAAGAATTATAGTATATTATATACTATTTATAAAATGACTTCTAGCAAAAATCAAATTATTTTGATATATTTTATTATTTTTTTTATAATCATGAGCGTAATTTTCAAATTAACTACTAACTATTCTTTACAACTTATTCTTTAATGAAAAATCTCTTAAAAATAAAGTTGTAGATAAATCTCGCCTCGAGCAATGTCATTGCAATTGTTTAGTTTATGATGCTTACTTTGTATTTCTCGATTAATTGACACGTCATCTCCTCATCAAATTCCGGATATATAATCACTTTGGCGCCTTGCACGATCGATTTTAAGTTCATCAATATCCCGCTGATCCAATAAAGTGAGGAAAACCAAATTGACACTGCGTTAGACATATCGAAGTTTTTATCCTCGCTGATGTATGAGAGACAGTAATTGGACATTTCGACTCCCTTCGGCATCCCCGTGGTGCCTGACGAATGCATGATGCACGTCGTTTTTTTAATATCATCTACTTCGGCAAATCGAAAATTCGCCACTTCTGCGTTGCTGTACATGTTTAAAATGTCAGAAAACGAGATCGCATTGGGATGATTGCCAAAAACTACAATCATGGCATTGCAATTACTCTCTTTCATCGCGCTCAAGATAACGTTCACGGGTTTTTCGCTACAGAAGATTACTTTCGGAGTAGTCAGTTGCATGACATGCAGCGCAGTTTCTAATGACAAATAGCACATAGTTAATAAAGGCTACATGAAATAAAAATCGTAAAAAAATAAATAATACATATATGTTATAACACGACATAATTAATTAATAAATAAAAAATGAAAATTCTAATTAATTCAAAATAGATAAAATTATATTCGCTATTGTTGAACTTATATTATTTCTGATTATTAATCAAATATAATGTAACAATGTTTTTAACTCAAAGGAACTTACGCAAATCCATATCCTCGTTCCACGGATTGAAGATTGCATTGATGTAAATTACAGCCAAACAGGGTACAATGGAATTTAGATGATTACATGTACACAGACTGACAACATCGCCAGACTTGATTCCTTGTTTTTGCAACCATAACGCACATCTCACGACTTTGTCTTGTAACTCCGCATATGAAACCACGTTTTCTGTGCGTGCATCTAACTACGATATTATTGCTGTTATACAGAGTGTTATATTTTGAATAATTGTCAAATTCTCATTACTATCAGATCAATTTTTTAACTAATATAAATGATACATTAAAGAATGATACATTAAACGTTTGATTTCGATATCTATAGTTTTTCCAAAGTGTTTATATTTATTATGAAATCAATTTGCAAATGAATTAATGATTTATTAGTTAACATTAATTTTTAAATATTATGACATCTATTTGTATAATTTTTTGTTTTAGCATATATAATGTATATAATCTATGTTTTGTTTATTGAGTTTGGTTATTGAGTTTGGAACAAAATTAAATTTAAAAAATTAAAATTTTATGAAATTTAATTTTTATTTAATTTTAAGGTAATGTATTAAGATTTATTCCAATTTTCTCAATATTAATTCTCTTTCTAAGGCGCCTATAATATTATGTGATTGCAGTTACGTAAATGAGATAACAATCTCTAAAGTATTTATTACTTTTTTTAACAAATATACACTTGCTTTGAGAAGTTGAGAACAAGAGATTGACAGTTTATTATAGATATTTAAGACAAGACATAAGAAAAAAGTTGCGTAGTTAGATAATTGTATTGGAATTATTTTAAAATCTTTATTTTTCTTTGATATTTTCATTTATATAATCAGGTATCTTCTTTGATATTTATGTTGTATGCTTTTGCAGTTCTTTTGTTTTCTCCAAGTAATTATTTAGAATGATTATAAAAAAAAAACAAATTGTAAATAATTATTTAGAAACAGAACATAAACTGTAAACTAAACAATATTATAGAGGAAATAAGAAACATTTTGATATAAAAGTGTATATGTTTTTATAAAAACAATTAGTTAAAAATGATTATTTAAAAAGAAAATTATATAAGTTTTTTTAATCTTAATTGCGCTTAGTTGATATAAATTTTTCATTTTACATTCAATTGTATTTTCTATTTAATTGCTTACGAAAATATGTATTAGTAAAAGATTTATATTGTCTTATTCATTTGATGTTTATAATCACGCTAATAAAAGAGAGATCATTAATGATACTTGCTCTATTTCTATATATCATTTATATCTCTCTTATTATATATATATATATATATATATATATATATATATATATTAATATTAAAATCCTTTTTTTATTTAAAGATTTTTTTATTTACTGAATAATAATTGGTTAAAAAGAACTTCCAAAATTTATTTCCAATTTTATTATTAAGTAAAACTGGAAATAAATCTTGGAAGTTTGTTTTACCCAACTATTACTTAAAGTAAGTTGAGTAAAAAAAGACTTTCAAGATTTATTTCCAGTTTTAGGTAATAGTAAAACTAGAAATAAATCTTGAAAATCTTTTACGTCTTTTACATCTTTTACGTTTTTGCCTTAATAGCAAAACTAGAAATAAATTTTGGAATTTTTTTTTACCCAATACTCTATATGTAAAAATTGACTTACATATGCAATTTTATCTCCATGGTTTTTAATTTTATTCCATATTAATTCATTAAGGCTCTTGTAATTAGAGCTATAAGACGACACTTTTCCTTTGTAAACGTTATTTTCGACAGTAAAATTCTGAAAATAATAGTAATAATAGAAATTTATTATTCTAAATAATTAGATTATGCATAAATATTTATTTTTTTTAAAATATACTTGTAAATTCGTATAGAAAATTTGCACTCTATACGTTTAATCTTTAAAGTTTTAATTTAATTTGTATCTAGTGCTACATATTAACAATTGTTTCTTGTTTATATATCATATAAATAAATAAATGATTGTAATTATAATAATATAAGTTATATATATATATATATATATGTGTGTGTGTGTGTGTGTGTGTGTATGTGCGTGTGTGTACGTTTAAATTTACCTTTAAATCAGTTGCAACCATTTTGCTGAAAATATCCAAATATCTCTTGAGTATAAAACACGAGTCAATAGCAGTATTACGATGATATCATTACATTACAAATAATTGCATTTAATAAACTATTCCATGACTTTGGTCGGTTAAATTAAAATATATGTATATCAATGCACATAAAAATTTTTCCTCCAACAAAAAAATATTTCAAAGTGAATATTAACTGAAATGTTAAATGAAGGCGAGATCAATATATTATTTAAACGATATGTTGATTTAACGACGACGTACATTTAGCATTCATTAAACAATTTTTGATATTTCGGTATTAAAGCCGAAAAGAACCAATTTGTGCTGACATATTTATAATATTTTGTCGGAGATTATATGACTTATAAATTAATAAATGTTAATTTCTTATGATAGTTGCATATTCTCTTACATATATTTTTATATAAATATAAGAAAATATTAAGAAAATAACAAAATATATTAAGAAAATAACAAAGAAGAAACATTTTTCCACTAGTTTTTTTTCTATTAGAAAGATTTTTTATTTTTTTTTTATTTTTTTTATAAAAAAGAAAAGGCTAAGGATCGTAGCGTAAGATGTTATTACGTAATTAAATTCAGATATAGATCTGAGACGGATGCTTTATATATTCTTTAATAATTAATAGTAAAAAAAGAAAAACATTATCCGTCGAAAAAGTAATGCAATGCAAAAAATCGACAGACGTACGTTTCAATCCAATGCGAATCTTTTTCAATGTCTTAACAACGAATAATCATGATCAAAACGCGAACGTTACAAAGGCGCGCATAGCACAAAATAATCAAGAGGTCAAACGTTCAAATAAAACGATCGACAGTCAAACGTTCAAATAAAACGATCGACAGTCTAATGTAACGCACAGATAATAAACGGATAATAACGGTCGAAAAAACAAAAAAACGCTTGTACACAATGATAAATAAATAAAATATATATACAGGGTAAAATATATATACAGGTAAAATATATACAGGGTTGGGCAAAAGTCCGGAAACGGTCAAATATCTCGAAAAGGATCAACTATAGCGAAAAATTGTAAATAGCAAAGTTGTAGGGCTTAAAAAAATGTACCTAATGATGACTAAAAATTTTACTTTGAATGGAGGACGAAGATCATATAAAAGTCAAATTGAATTTTTTAAATGGAACTGCCTACTTTTTATTGCATATTCTTGTAGCTTATCTCGAGAGCTTTCCAAAACACTATAATTAAGTACCTTTTTATTAAGTACTTTTTGAGTTATAAGGCTTGAAATAATTTCTTAATTTTACATAAACCATAAAATATCTAGTAAACCATTCATTTTTCGATTATCTTACCTTGATACTTTTATGTACAAAATAATGAGAGGAATCAATTGGTGTAAAGAAAACACATAGTTGTTTCTAAGAAAAAATATGTAATTTGCAATTAACAATTCCATATTTTTTCTTAAAAACAACTGTATATTTTCTTTACACCAATTGATTCCTCTCATTATTTTGTACATAAAAGTATCAAGGTAAGATAATCGAAAAATGAATGGTTTACTAGATATTTTATGGTTTATGTAAAATTAAGAAATTATTTCAAGCCTTATAACTCAAAAAGTACTTAATAAAAAGGTACTTAATTATAGTGTTTTGGAAAGCTCTCGAGATAAGCTACAAGAATATGCAATAAAAAGTAGGCAGTTCCATTTAAAAAATTCAATTTGACTTTTATATGATCTTCGTCCTCCATTCAAAGTAAAATTTTTAGTCATCATTAGGTACATTTTTTTAAGCCCTACAACTTTGCTATTTACAATTTTTCGCTATAGTTGATCCTTTTCGAGATATTTGACCGTTTCCGGACTTTTGCCCAACCCTGTATACATCCCAAAACTCATAATCAATCTTTCAAAGACAGATTCCTGGACACCCTACATATATATATATATATATATATATATATATATATATATATTCAATTAATTCGTTAAATATTTATATATATCGAACGAAAAGATGAATCGGAATGCAATCGTTCGGTTAATTAATTAAATATTTATATATATCGAATAAAAAAGCGAGTCGGAATGCAATCAGTCGAATAGTGAATTAAATATGTAAATAATTTAATGTCGCTAGTCGAGTAATCAAAGGATCAATAGAAAAACTGTAGTCGACCAAACTAGCCAAAAAATTTTAGTTTTAGTATTAATACGACGTTTCGACCATGTGGTTGTGGTCCTTATCAAGTATACACTAAAAAAGATTTATAAATACATAAATTAACGGTTTGATTACATAGCAACGCATAGGGAATTAAAGTGTGAAAGATTTTTACCGATGTAATAATAATCAGAAGGCACCATAACTGGTGAACATGTAAAACACGTAATCACATAATACAAAAAACGTTATTTAATTAAATTCAAATTTGAGAAAAGCTGATGTGTCCATGTGAGACTTCGTCATATAATAAACTAAACATAACAGGAAGAACAACGGTACTAAGTGACCTTAATAATTTTGTCGTAAATATTATTCAAGTTATCTGTGTCAGTCTGTAAGTTGATTAGATTTTTCTCTTGATTAGATCTCTTGATAAAGAACATTTCAGCTATCTCTTTTTTGCGAACGTACTTTTCATTGTGCAAGATATTCGGTTTCGACCAATCGAAATCGTGTCCGGATTCTAATCTATGTTTGCTGATAGCGGAGTGATTAGATTAATCATGTAATTTTATATTGTTACAATGTTCTTTCACTCGGGTCCATTGATTTGATTTTGGATTCAACTTGCTTCTCCTGATCTTCGGCACACCCATGGGCTCTCCACTGTCACCTATCTTGGCAGATATGGTGATGGACGATTTGGAGACTCAATGTCTTAACTCACTGAATTTTACAGTCCCCATGTATTACAGATATGTAGACGACGTTTTTACAATTGTACCACGTACAAAAATTGATGATATTTTATCCATTTTCAATAACTACCACGAACGTTTACGATTCACGTACGAGAAAGAAATTGATTCTTCGATTAGTTTTCTTAATGTTAAAATCATTCGTCTGGGAACCAAACTTATCACCAATTGGTTTAGGAAACCCACATGGTCCGGGAGATATATTAATTTTTACTCGAATCACCCGATAAAATATAAAATTAATACGATTTATAATTTAGTTGACCATGCTATTTTACTATCTGACGACTGTTTTAAACAAGAGAATATTAATTTAATATATGATACGTTAATTAATAATTGTTTTCCTGAACATATCATTCACAGACACATTCGAAAAAGAATCAATTTTTTAAACAATCGCGACTGCAATGACACTGATAACGCCAATTCTACTCATCCAAAACTCATTTTATCACCATACCATACGTAGAGAATACGAGCCAAGATCTTTACCGTCTTCTACGAAACAGTGGTTTCAACGTCGTCTACAAAGTAACAAAAAAACTTAATAACTTAATTAAATGTGATAAAGATACCTTACACAATAACGACAAGACAAGTGTTGTATACAAATTAAACTGTAGGGATTGCAATTTATCATACATTGGGCAAACAAAAAGACATTTGCGGACCCGAGTGAAAGAACATTGTAACAATATAAAATTACATGAGTCTAATCACTCCGCTATCAGCAAACATAGATTAGAATCCGGACACGATTTCGATTGGTCGAAACCGAATATCTTGCACAATGAAAAGTACGTTCGCAAAAAAGAGATAGCTGAAATGTTCTTTATCAAGAGATCTAATCAAGAGAAAAATCTAATCAACTTACAGACTGACACAGATAACTTGAATAATATTTACGACAAAATTATTAAAGTCACTTAGTACCGTTGTTCTTCCTGTTATGTTTAGTTTATTATATGACGAAGTCTCACATGGACACATCAGCTTTTCTCAAATTTGAATTTAATTAAATAACGTTTTTTGTATTATGTGATTACGTGTTTTACATGTTCACCAGTTAAGGTGCCTTCTGATTATTATTACATCGGTAAAAATCTTTCACACTTTAATTCCCTATGCGTTGCTATGTAATCAAACCGTTAATTTATGTATTTATAAATCTTTTTTAGTGTATACTTGATAAGGACCACAACCACATGGTCGAAACGTCGTATTAATAAACTAAAATTTTTTGGCTAGTTTGGTCGACTACAGTTTTTCTATTGATCCAGTGAATTAAATATTTATATATACCAAACGAAAAAATGAATCGGAATGTATTCGTTCGATTAATTCGTTAAATATTTACATATATAAATATTTATTGCTATGCATATATATATATATATATATATATATATATATATATATATATATATATGCATAGCGATGAAATATTCAAACGAATAGCGCAACGCTCATCTCGATATTAAAATCGTCCAAATGACACTAGGAAACTTTTCTTTTTTTTATTTGTTCCCTTTTTAAAAAGTGTATGTAAAGTCGATTACTCGAATACATCAAAGTTTATTATTGTCGCTTTTCCGCGATGCCGCGTGAATATCTTTTATTGCGCTCAATTCATGTTATGAGTAGCTGTCATTTGCGATTATTACAAATTTTGAGAGCTTGTGTAACAGCGAGAAATGTATAACGTAAATAATGTAAATGTATAACGTAATAAAATAAATGGCGCGCGCGAAGCACGCGCTTTGCGTTGTCTAGTTAAAACTACATGTGATTGCTAGATGAATTATTCTATAAACGACAATATATATGGATAAAGTTAATGCATATTAAAGTTTATTGCATTGCATATTAAGTATTATTGCCATGTATGCAATTTAAACTGTATTTTTATTTATAAGCGTGGCACTAAATTGTCAAAGTACCTAGTGCCAATTGTTAAAATAAAATTGTAAAATAAAATTGTCTAAAAAATAAAGTTGCTCGAATTTGAATACAAATCAAAAACACAATTTACATTAACAAAGAACATATGTTTTGTGTTTGAAGGAGATGAGAAAAACTTTTACATTACCTCAAAATCACAACTTTTAACAATAAAAGCAAAACAGATAAACGATCAATAGTCTAGATCTGATCGTAGACAAATGTGAACTGTCATAATTCGTACTTATAGTCAGTTATATGTATACACGAAATATCCCTCTCTCCAATTCCCTCTGCTTTCCACTTGTATAATACCATATACAGTTCATAAATTCTATTGTTTCATAATCTTATGTTTATATATACGTGTAATCCTCGCAATAGCTATTATCAGACATTTTTGATTTTTCAATATTAACTCTATCATCAGACTTTTGTAAAGTAATTTTGTAAAATTGTTGAAGAAGATATATGTGTCTTATAAAGATTGCTCGTGAGTCAAAAAGGATTGGCAAATAAACGTATGTATCGCACGGCTAGATTATGAAATGTATATTATAAGTGTGCCATCAGTAAATGTCACGGCAAAAAATGTGACCATGAATACGTCAATTCTTTCCGACATTCACCGATGACATATTCTATGATCCAGCCGCATGTTTCATGCCATCGCTTATTTGCTAATACTTTTTCGTTAATATCTTAATAATTATTGCAAAAGTTGCAAAAATAGTAAAAAATTTTTCTGTTTAGTTTATTGCACTCTAGCTGCTCATGAGCATTAGTCCAAATCGATTATTTTTCCTACTTTTCCAAGATTGACAAACTCAAACATCAGGGCCGGATTTAAAGGTGTGGCCCTGGGGCAACGAAGAGGTGGAGACTCCTAATCATTTTTAAACCAAAATCAAATAGAAATTTTTACGTTGTTTAAATAATTTATTGTGAAATAACAAGGAGTCAAGCAATATACCTTGTAAGTGTATACCATTCAATAGGAAATTTTACAAAAATTTGTGTTGTGGAGGTCCCTGGGCTTCAGTCCCTGTTGTCCCCCCCCCCCCCCCAAATCCGGCCCTGTCGAACATTTTGCTTGACATACAAAGATTTTATTTAATACTTTTAACAATGATTTTAGCTTTTCTTTTAATTTCCTTTAGTTTTGAACTTTATATCACAGATCAATTACTCATGTTTGTGACAAACGATTAATTGCATAATACTGATTAGTTCTCTAAATTGACACTTACGCAATAATTTACAAAGCATTAAGTTTAATAATAAATGTTAATAATAATTAAATGTATATAATATATATTTTATATTAATTTTTTATTTATTTTACTTTTATTAATTTAAATCAAATTTCCGTGTAATTAAAATCTTAATCATACATTAGCCCGCGTCCCGAGATTGTACAAGTTTCCGCGTAATAATAAAGTTCAATATATAGCAAGAGATGGTGATAATAATAGCAACAGGTATTTCTTTGCATGTTTTTACATGGCAGGATGTTGCACGCACAGAAATATCCATAACATTCATTAAATTGTCAACGTCCGCTTAGGTCATCCTATAGCTATCAATTTTCTAGAAATTATTTCTTTGCATCACAAACTGATTATCATCGCGTTATATAATGAGTAAATATTTAGTAAATATTAGCTTTATTAAGTAAGTTCTATAATGAGAAATATAAATAAAAATATATGCAAAAATATGGACGAAATTATATCGAGGAATTAATTAAATAAGTGACAATTAAAACAAATTTATTTAAATTAAACAGAGGAAATAAGACGCAAAAAACAAGATTTAAAAAGCAAAATGTTTTAAATAAAACAATTAAAATATGTATTATATTTTAATTGTTTATATATATTACATTTAATTGTTTTATTATATTATATTTTAGTAAGAAACTATGATATTACGGAATCAAATATTACAATATTATGCGAAATATCTTTGATTGAAGTTCTGACATTAAAAGTTGTTCTAATTAAGAAACATTAATTTCATAATGTATATGATAATAAAAGGAAAAATCCAAATATTCTTTTCTTGTTACTTAAAAAAAAAACTATTCTCTATAGAAATAAAATTGAATGTTTGAAATATCAATTCTTCTTGTTCAGTTAATTCTGTTTTTTTAATTAATTTTTCGTGTCGTTGATAAGCGATCATACCTATTTCAGGCAAACCTTAAACAATACAAGAGCAATCAATTATCAATAATATTAAGAGCGTTCTTCATTATTGTTGGTCGTAAATTACATTTTTATGACTATACATACAGTATACTTTACTAACAGAAACATCTTTCTTTATCATTTCCTTATAAAAAAAGATGTAATTATTATAACAAAGTTGTCTACCACCGATTATAATGTGTTTCAAGGCAGAAAAATCGTATTTATTGAATATTTGGTATTTATCAACTAACAATTTACTCATCAAATTTTTTAAGAATATCCAATTTACCTGAAAAATAAGAGGGAAAATAAAAACTTTGTATAATTCATACATTTTCAACAAAAGATTAAAACTCTTTCTTACATTATCTTATACTCTTGTATAGCATTACAAAAGTAATTAACATCTGACTCTGACATTATATTGCCATGTTTTAAAACTATATTTATTTTGACCGCTTTCACGTATGAAAGAATAGCGCGAACTGTCAGAAGCAAACTGATATTCCAATACAACGATTCGACCCATAGACCAACGTCATTAGATTTCATATCGGGTATCTGCTGATTCGATGGATCGGTGAAGAATGCATGCGGAAATGCCACATGTTGTTTAATCACATTAGTTGAACCAGAAGAAAACAGTATCACTGCGATGTCCTTCCTACTCTCCAATTTTGTACAAGAAAATTCATCAATTATAGTTTTATTAAAATGATTGTTTACAATTGATTTTAGGGAAATAATTTTTTCTTCTTCTTTGTTTCTTTTTTTTTTCTTTTTTGTATTCCTTTCTTCCTTTCTGCTGTTCTTCCTCCTCTTCTGTCATCGATATACACATCGATTATAAGTGTCGACGCTATATTTGGCTCGTATTTTTTAAATGTAAAAATATAAGAAGCTTTCTTATAATCAGCAAAAATTACTTTTGGACGAAATTTAAAATGATCTACAGTTACTAAAAGTATTAACAATTAAATATATCAACTGGCCTATATATACATATGCATCCTAAAAATAAATAAAAAAATAGAAATTTTGAAAAAAATTAACTTACTCAGTTGATTTATATTCCACACGTGTAAAACAGCGCCGACATATAGAATCGCCAAATATGGTATATAAGTATCCAAATGATTAGAAGTACACACTACTATACTGTCATTGCGTTGAATACCTATTTTTTTCAGCCATAATGCACATTTTACGCTCCGTTCCCTCATTTGCTGGAATGTGTTTTTTTCTCCCGTCATTGCATCCACCTATCACATATCAAAATATTAAACACATATTAAAATAAAATAATATAATGCATTATATTAAATAGAATCATGTGATTTTACATTGATAATTAATAAATTTTTTTTCTTCATACATTAAAGAAATAATCCTAATTATTATTATGTGTCATACTTGGCCGATGAAATCCGGTCTAGATTTAAATGCGTTCAAAATCAATTCTCCGGTATTAATGCAACTATCATCGATTAATTCTTCTTCACCTATCATTATGTTATTTTCTATCTTAAAAGGGATTATGTGCTAAAATATATACATAATAATATTGTCAATGCAAGAATAATATATCCACCTGTTTGAATATTTCATAAAATATTTTATGAATCGTACAAATTATATATATATATATATATATATATATATATATATATATAAATTTCCTTTACCTCAACTGCCATAGCGCTGATATTACGGTATGTTCTATATTATCGTAATAAGATATAGAATTGTAGTAATATTTAAAAGTTTTATGTTATTACAAGAAAAATATTGCACTAATAATATTGCAGTAATAATATTTGAAATGTTCTGATTTTAATCAAACGACTATTATTCCAACAGATAAGAACGATTAATATTATTATAACAGACACTTTATTACAAGAGATACTGAGAAACTAACATTTAGTCTATAACTCGATACAATATATTGTGTTTGTTGTGATGTAAAATGTCCTTTAACTTAAAAGTTATAAACGAAAATATTTTAGGCAGTAATGAATAGAAAACCACCCTCCATTTTGAAAAATTGTTTTGTTTATTTTTTGCCTATTGTTATATAAAGATCGAAGCACATAATTTTTATATTAGCATATGTGTATACATTATTTTTTTTGTAAAATTTTTATATAACACGAATAATATTTGTTAAAAATTGAAGAAATACCGAGGATGATTCGGAAATAAACCGAAATATTTAATTAAGGAATATTTTAATTTTTTTATTCCCGTTTTGTTTCTCTCGCTATACTCTTCTTAATTAATTCTTCTTTTCGTTTTGTATATTTAACCGCCAATTGTTCAACATTCAGAGTCAGAGAGCATTGTAAAAAATGAGATTGTATTTTGAATCAAAAAGGCCAGAAAAAAACAGTTAATCTTATTTGTATTTGAAAAAAAAATTAATTTTTTTTACTTCTGTTATTAATATAAATATTATTAATATAATATTATGTTAATATAAATTAATTATAAATTTGCTCGACACATGTTCTATTGTTTAGAATTGATCAATTTATAACAGATATTGCGTGACTAATCTTTAAGTTTTATCGATATACTGTTATAGCATGAGACGTCTTTAAACTTAAAAATTTAAGCGAAAATATTTGGGCCACAATTCTCTTGAGTATCCTGCAATTTGTAAGCAGAAAATTAATGCTTTGTATTAATTTATTCCATTTTTTAATAATTAAATGCTTTTGTTACAAAAGGATAGCGTAAATAAAAATAAAGTATTAATTTTCTACTCAGAAATCATAAAATGTTTTAACAGTACATCTGCTAAATATTTTCATCAATAACATTTCGGTATTATTTTGAGAAATGCTTCTTAATAAATAAATATAATAAAATTATTCAAGTTGAATGGAGACACATGGTACATAACTAGACAATTCGTTGTGCCACATGTTTATTATATATCTTTTTATCTTCCATCATCTGTAAATATCTCATTGACAATAAGAGAGAAATATTATATATATATACATAATATACTGCATTATATATAAATATATTTGAGAAAAAATATACCTACTTCACTATAAGCATCCCTGAGTGAATTTGTACTCCAATAATACGATACGTCATATATCATACATCGAATCGATAATCTCAATTTATTGAATTAACGAGTAGTTTCTTTTCTTTCAATTTTAATTAATATTATATGTATGTACTTACATCGAGATCGGAAATCAATCATGAATAAAAGATACAAATTTTTTCGATAAGAAATATTTTTTAATATTGATAATTAAAAACAAGCAATTATGAAAGCGCATATTTGACGAATGAATAATTTAACTGTGTATTTTAGTAATGGGAATTATTTATTACATATGATCAATTTTTGTTTAATTTGTAAATTAATTTAACAATTCTCACTAATTTTCCAAGTATAAGAAATTAAAGTACAACAATCGATATTAGGGTTATGAAAACTGTAGATAATCGATAATTCATTTTTAAAATGTCATTTGCTGTTCATTATGTTTCGTATCATAAACGTATGTATGTATGTGTGTATACACATACATACATACATATATATATATATATATATATATATATATATATAATTTAACAATAAAGAGAACATATTATTCTATAGTACGATATACATGAAACATTGACTTTTTCTCATTCGCATTTGTCTCTCATATATAAATATTGATTAAACTGAGATTAGTTTCACCTACATTAATTTAATCAATTTATTTTTTTTCTCTTTAAAATATGACCATAGAATATAGATAGAAAAAAAAAGAGTATAAGAATTTAAGTAATAATATATGATCAATGTTTGTGAAACTAGCCTCCTGAGGCACATAAATAAATACATCATACAATTACATTATTAAAATAATCGATTACAAATAAAATAAAGCACCACATAGACAAAATATTTTTGTCATAAATAATTTCGTTTCGCAAATACTTCACAAATAAGATAATACAAATTTTTATCTTTAAATCATGGAATTTGCTTTACAATAATATGCAAAATTGAAAATACAATCTTACTCGTTAATACATGTACTTCTGTAAGAAAAAGCCTTTCATTTTAATGTAAAATTTAGTATTAATTGACATAAATACTCCTAAATCATATAATTATCACTTTATTGAATATTATTTAATTATCTAATACTATTGAATTGACTAATTTCTCACTAGTTAACTCGCTAGTTAATTTATATCTTCCTTTATTATTAAAACAGGAACAATTTGCTAAAATCCGATGTAATATAACAAGCACTAGAAAATATGTTTTTATTTTTCCAGTTACTGCAAAGTTTGCGTATATAATCGTGAGAAAAGAAATCAATGCACTTTTATTCATCTATTTTTTTATGTCATGCAAATTACATATTGTATTAATTCATTATTACGAGTGGAAGCCCAAACATGGAAACGTTCATTGAACACGTAAAGTACCATATCCAAGCAATATGAAAATCGAAAAGTTTGTGTTGTCTGAGTGATTATTATTAATAATAACTATTATTAATAACGATCATTATATACAATCATTATATTTTATCAACTACATCTATCAATATCACACATGAGTTATTATAAAATGGCTAATATCAACTGTATTTAAAACATAGCCGACTACAAACATGTCAAATTTGAAAAAATGTATATGTATATAAATTTAAATCAAGTTACGCACGCGGAAATATCGTAGGTGTCATGGTCCGCGTTTCACGAGAAGGAAATTAAGAATAATTTATACAAAGCGCATTTGTAGACTGCTCGAGTTCATTTGCTGAACGACTTGATGATCGCTGTCAGACTCTCATATGTTCCAGTGGCGAAACCCAACAAACCGATCAGCACTATCGTTATATCCTTCGTGATTGTAAAGAAACCGAGATTAGTGTTATGCCAGCGGACGATCATCTCAATAATAGGAGGAAAGATGAGAGCAAGCGCGGTGCTACTGACTGCGCCAACTAAGGATATGAAGAGACCCAGTTGCGGCACCGCCTCTGCCAGGATAACTGAAATAATTATTTTTGAATCGAAACATCTACATACATATATATATATATCAACAATTTGAAATAATAAAAAATTTTTAATAGTGACTCAAGAATATCTAAATATGTAATATATGATATAAAGGGATTTAATCATATTTCTTATGTCTGAAGATAGAAAATATTCTGAAAATTTATAATTTGACAGATAGATTTATAATAAAATAAATTTTATAAGAGTCATAAAAATTTATAATAGTACGAATAATATAATTTAGTAAATCTCCCCCCCCCCCCTCTCTCTCTTTCTTAGATACTTACATGTGATTAAACATATGACGGAACGGAAGATAATCTCTGCAAGAACCGGCCATTTGAAGGGACCGTATCGATTAACAATGCTAGGCCACATTATTGCGATCGGGACGTAAAATTGCAAGGCATACGTAAACAATATGCTTAATGAAATGGCAGTCTTGATGCATTGCGGCAAGCTACAAAAAAATTCAATTTAAAAAAGAATTAGCTTAATGGAAATTAGATTAAAATTAAAGGAAATTTGTTCGTTATATTTTTTTCTATAAAGAAAGAAAGCTGCATGTATATATGTATATATGTGTGATGGGTGTGGCTGCGGGTATGGATACAAATAAGTTCGTCATTTATAATAAAAACATGCACGCCAGTAAAAACATGCACAAAACACATTCCTCTATCAAGTTTTCGTATAAAGCTATCTTAGTTAATATTTATCAAACACGTCAAACAATATATCAGGTAAAGACCTTATTTGACTGATAGCTGCCCCGTCCATCCTTTTGAATTACATAAAGAGAAATAAATTATAAAATATTTTTTAACCGTAATCACACATTAATTCAATAATATATTTATCATATAATTTATTACTACGAGCTTTGCTAACATATGTGACTTGGTCTAAGATAATAATTTATCGAATCGATATATAGTATAATCCATCTTGACAAAACAGTGAATTTCGATATAAAATTTGTATTCACAAAATGTAATTATATTTAGATAAATTTAATACTTACACCTCCCCTGGCGTGAGATTGAGCGTGACTGAACCGGCAACAGTATCACCATACTTTAAATAAGACAGGAAACCCATTGCGACGAACATAAAACAGACTATCACCATACCAACGTTGAGAACACCCAGCGGTTTGTTAAAATTATTAGGATTCTTCATTTCATTCTTCAATGGCAGTACCTGTACATTAATGCCTATTAGAAACACACCGTCAGATAGCATCGATATCGGGAAACATCGGTTTATTTTATCCGAACTGAGGCCAAAGGCCTCGTTTATTAAGATAAAATGTTATAAAATAAAAGAAATAATAGTATTATGATAAAACACCTATACTTACTAGAGTAATACCCTCAAAGGAATATATCACAGTGCCGAAAAACAGAGGTAAATTGTTCCAATCTGCAACGTATCTCCTTTCGTATATCGATGGTACGTCATGGCTCATGATATACATGGTGGCGATGTAACCCGAGATCACTAGAAAATTCGCTATCGAAGATACCGGTACTAGGTACTTGAGATTTCTAATCCAAGTGCTAAGCATTATAGGTATCAATATTACAACCATGTGCTGATGAACGTCCATCTCGATTCCGTGCGCGTCCAACACCTATCGTAGAAGACAAAAAATTATAATTGCTATTAATTAATTATACACAATTCGCAATATTAATAAAAGTCTTTCTTTTTTTTAAGAAAACGTCTCTCTCATTGAAAGTTTTTTTTTAATTTATTACTGAATATATAAATATCAAACAAAACCTACAATTTTCTGTAATCTAATTTTTTTATTAATAAATTATTATTAATGATAAATAAAAAAGATATACAGCTGTGTTATTTACTCAAGCAATTTTTAGCAATTCTCATACATTTTTACGATCAAAAATAAATGTGATGAATGGATCAAAAATTATTAAAACATTACGATTCAAAAAGATATATAGTTAAAGAGATATCTCACCTGCTTCATATTTTTGGAAATAAAAACGAAATACACACAGCAGAATCCGAGTTGCGTGATACACAAAAATATATTAACCATTTTTCTGCAACAAAATCACGAGAGCAACGTAAATGACATGCATATTCATAGCTCACGAATGTGCAAAATCATAAAAATAATAATTAAAAGACATGTGTAAAGAAAATGAAAATGTGTGGATAAATTGAAAGAAATTTGTGCGAATACATACAAATGAATTGAAAAAAATATATATAAGTAAGAATTATAAAATGGCTGTGTAATATTTGCTGATGTTTCTTGTTATTTGGCTTTCTAGTTTTTACTTTTTTTCTCTTTAATTATGCACCTCATGAAAGTCGAATATTTACGGAGTCCAAGGGGTCCAGTAGCAAAACACATCTCCACGGTGCCGGCGAATCCGCATGTGTTTGTGTCATTGCCAACACGGCGTGTCACCTCTTCGTTACATTTAATCTAAAAAAAGAAATTAATATAATTATCAAGAGCAATTTTATGCATATATCGCTTTAATATTTTTATTACGATATTATTTATACATATTTAATACATATTTAATATTTTTATTACAATATTATTTATACATATTTAATACACACTTAAAATATTGCAATTATTATGACTGTGATATTTTTTCATAGAAGAAAAGAATGCCCAATTATTATACATATATCTTGTATATATATCTTTTTTTATTTATATAAGTTATCGCAAAACAATCAGTTTTCAAATTATAGTCTCCAAACTATTTAAAAATATATATTAAAAAGACATTCGATAGTTATGGGACATATATAATGTGTGATTATTATAATTAAATATACGTACAAGAATATGTTGAGCATGTACGCAGATGACGCCGAGAAAAATCGTTAACGGTGGTGCCAATATCAGTCCGGCATTTTTAAAAGCGTCTCCCAACGCAAAGATGCCCGAGCCGACGTTACCCTTGAACAGATGCATCATGGTTTCCAGGTACCTGCAGTTGTCCATTCGTCCATTAGTACATTTATTACAGTAGACTTTCTTTTCTCGACTCGAGACGAAATTCCGACACGTCGAAAAATAATTGACGCAAATTTTTAAGCGTAAGCAGAATTCTTTAATTATCACAAAATTGTAGTTGTTACAAGAAGCCGAAATGTGTAGCTATAAACATTTAACATACGTTTCAAATGTGCCAAGTAAGAATCGTTTAAAATGACTGAAATTTTGGGATTCTGCCAGAGTCATCGATTTTATTTAATTTCGCTCGGGTTTGTTATAAACTTGTCTATATTTTGGTTCATTTATTCTGTATTTATCACCTAACTATAAATTAATAACATTAAATTGATTTAAATGCGTACCCTTTAATTTAAATAATGAAGTGGAAGATTATTCGCCATTTTTTTCACGATAAAGATACAAATTAAACTCTAATAATTATGATATATTAATAAACATGAACAAATATATATCTCTGATTAAAAAATATTAAAATATTAAAATATAATAAAGTCTTAAGTTATCAATAATTAAATGTTAATTATTTAAATTGATAATATTTTAGAATGTATTTTTATCGTGGTTGTTGCAAGTTTCTCTATTTTTTGAAAAAAATGTAGACTGTCGATTATTTTATTAGTTTAAATTTAAAAAATTACGTTTTTTGAAACGCGTAAGAACATATTTATCTTAAACATTTAGCGTTTAAGTTGTTTACGATTTCCAATGACAAATGGTGAGTTAAATGTAGATATTACGCGAATCGATCGCACTCATGCCAAAATATCTGTTTCGGGTGTCTAGATATCTTTCTCTTTTATTTTTACAATATAGCTAAAAGATGAATTTTTGCAACTCGGTCCTACTTGTGCACCTATATATATCTTTACATCGCGTTGTTAAAAAAAAACTATGAGAGTCTACAATGTCAAAACAACGTAACATTAATGACAAAATATGATTCTTCCCGGAAAGAAGTAGTTATGTTTCGCACGACAAATATAGTAAATTATAAATATTTGATCAAGATGCCATAGCGATATCATCATTTCCGTCTCTCAAACGATCATTTGTCATGCTTGTTACGTGTCTGTTATTATATTTATTTAAGACAGGAATTTGTGTTTTTTTACTTACTTGCTTTTAGTGTGCGATATCATTCTTGTTGCTTGTATGCAATGTGTGCTAAATATTCTTTATTTTCTATTGATACGATATTTTTGCTAATATTTATAGTGAATGTTTTATTTTATAAATTGTTTCTTAAAATAAAAATCTCTGAAAAAAGTCTCTGAACATTTTTTTCCTTTTTATTAACGTTAAACTTACGAAGTAGGATGATGTACAGTGATGCCATGCTCGTTATTTCCATCCTTGATAGCATCACCACCCTTTTCCATCGCTAGGATGGGATCTTTCGATTGAAAAGCTCCATAGGTTCCGCCATTTCTGTATAAAAAAAAGTTAATAGAAAGAATTAAAGATATATGTCGTTACATAATTAATTTTACTGCGAAATGATGCGGATGCATTCCATATTTTAAAGTCCTATTTAATTGCCAAGAGAGAGAGAATAGGAAAATTATAGTTTAAATTAACATGCGACAATCCTGATACTTTAAGTATTTTTTCACGTATAATGACGTTAATTATCGGATATGCGTATGCGTGATTTTCAAGTGAGATAATTGAATTTCAATAATTAACGTTTATGTGAGAATAATGTGAAATATAATATTATTGTTAAATATAACATTATATACGAGAAATATAATATTTATAATGATGAAATATTTTTCAAATTCAATAGGCATGATAAATAGGCATGATAAATAGGCATGATAATTATATCAATATCATTCTTGGCAATGATATGATACTTGAAATAACGTGAGCATATAATGATACTTGAAATAATGTGAGCATATAATGATATAATAATACTAGTGATAAAATAATACTTGAAATAATAACGTCTGCAGTGATTTATCTCACATTTTTTAAATCTTAATCTAACAATTTATTCTGATAGTCTGATTTACGTTATATATAATGATTCACAGCGCAGGCTTGTAGTTGGCTTTTCAATACGTATTAGCGAAACAATATTTACAGATAAAATCTAATTAAATGTAATTAATAAAAAGAAATTGATAATATGATTGATTGTTCGTGTATGGCAAAATGTTATAAACTACTTGCTTATCATAAATCAATGCTATATCGTACAATGCTATATCGTAATGTTATTTGACAAACATTTGCAATAATTATACAACTGAATGAATTGATATTCCAATGAAGTAATTAGATGATGTGACATAATTAATAATGTAGCATACTTATGTAGTGATTATGCTAATTTGCAGTCAGTTATTATCTATAATTATTCATAGTCGTTTTACATTAATTAATTTCAACATGATTACGTAATAAACTCCTTCCTTTTCTCATTATTTAATGTAATTAAAAAATATTTTTATTAAAAAAAAATGAAGACTAATCAAAAGAATGACATACGCAAAATGAATAGTGAAATCAGATGAAATTACATTTAAGAAATAATTATAATATCTTATTAATTAAAAAGTAATTAATAAAAACATTATTTACTTTTATTATTATTATTTCATTTACTATTATATTTATTATTATACTTGTTGATTATTTACTATTCTATTTATATGTTTATATAAATATATATACCCAAGTGACTGCTTAAATGTTGTCTCGTCGTCATGAATGGAGTTGTTCTTTGCAGAAATCGCAGGATTGCTGTTCAATTCCATCTAAAAACATTAAAAAATGACAGTGAAAACGTTTCAAAAGTTAATGTGAACATGCCAATAAATATTATGTAATTATATATGTAGTATATGTGTGTGTGTGTGTGTTTGTATTACATATATATGTAATATATACTGTGTGCGTGTAAATTTCAAATGCATATTTTTCTGTAATGACAATGTGCATTACAAATAGATGTCATGACGAAAGTCCTTTATCCAACCGTCTAGACTAAATTACGACACATGATGAATGAAACACGTGGTCAAGAGACGCGCTAATGTCTCGCCAAGTATGTATATGAAACAATAAAATGATCTCGCAAAAGAAATACTATGCAGCGATATTTCTTACTTGACAATGGTAAGCTTTTCTAAACATAATTTTTAGATGCAATTTATTATTTTCATTTAAGTAAAATTATTTTTACACGAAAATTGCTCGATAGCAAAAAAATAGAATTTTTTGGATTTTCTAAATTACCTTAATATATGGAGATTTACACATGTATATTCGATTTGCATGCTTTGTTTTTAAATACTGGTATATTATGACAGTTGAATTATTCGAGAAACTCTATATATATATTTAATACTTATTTCAAAGCAAAATAAGATTACTATTTTATTATAATAAATTTCTTATTAACTATTAATTAATATTATTTTTATTTATATTCATTAAAAATGTTATTTATTTATCGAGTAATCAACACACATGATGTGCAAATATTAAGAGAAAATTATACTGAATATATAAAAATAATAAGCATAGATCGAAGACTATCTCAACTTCTTCAGTATTATTCCATTATTAACAACGTATTGTCGTTCGCCAATTAAACGCACGAACTGTCCTTCTGCAAGTCTCTTTATTAATTGATTTCTTAATTAACCATAGCGTGTGCAATATTGTTCCGTGACAGAGATCGATACACATGTTGAAATATCAATTGAAAAGAGAAGAAAACATGTGCAAAATATGAAATGTGACAATTCTGTCTTAACTAACAGAATCATGACTAAGAGTAATATATAAGTATAAAAATTATCACATTATTTAAAATTATCATATTATTTTCTCAATAAGTTCTTATTTTTATTTAAATGATCGCTTGATATATTAGAGTGCTTACTTTCTAAAAAACTTGACATTCTCAAGAATTTCTTTTGTACCTGGAAAAATCTCCAGCGAGGAAAATCTCATAGAATTATTTTTCTTCAGATTTTTCAGAAAATTTTTAAAGAAATTCGCTCTGATAATCTTGCTCTTATATTGTAAATAGTTAGGATTACTATCTGCTGATATATATATATATATATATATATATATATATATATATTATATTTATTTATTATTATAAAAAGTATTACATCTATCTCTGTTTATATATTCAATACCTTAACAAATATTGAGTATACAATATTCTTTATTATAATTTTTAGTGATAAAAAAGTAAAAATGTTTATCTGACGAAAATTATTTACATTTTTATCGGTCCATTTGCATATCTATTGTAAAACTTAAATATTAACTTTATTCTTTTTCGCATTAAAAATATTATAAAATGCATACAAAAAATTTACTTTAGAAAGTTGCATCAAAAAATTTTTTAAATTTAATTTTTTTCTTTATTTAGAATTTTGAACAAAAATATCCTAGAAAATGAGAGAATTTTCAAAAAACTTTTTAACAAGATTTTTTACAAGATTTGAATATATATCTTGCATGCAATCTTCTAATTATTTATTTGAGATAGTATTACTCTTAAATTTTTTGCACTATTTTTCTCTCTGTATTACATAAATTACACAAAAATAAAACGATTTATTCTTGTAACGCGTGTTCAATCAATCTGCACGAGTAAGCAGTTTGTTCGTTATCAATTTCTGTTCTTTTTTTTTTAAATAGCAGAGACGAATGGGAAATTATATATCTCTAATATAGGAAACTTTTTAGGCAGATAAAGTGACGAAGACGGAAAAAATTGTATGCTATCTAATCTTACTCACATTCATATTTTTACGTTGTTAAATAGACACGAGTCTTCCATATATTTTAAACGTGTTTGAAAGAGATTCATAAATGCGAAAACGGAAGACGTTTCTTCAAGTGAGATAAAAAAGAATGACCTTATATATTAATCGTCATATAAAATGACGATAATCATTTCCTGAGCCATTTACTTTTAATGGTGTAAACGAGTCTAATCGAGATAATCCTCCAAGTTACACATAACTCAGCTTAATGTAAATTATTATATGGTATATGCGTGTTGGGGTTGACATCGACGTAAGTGAAACAACATGCTAATTATTTACAGTTTACAGCACATATATATAACACCTTGCGACGCGCAGTACTTAATCGATCATTATCTACAAAATACACTTTATCTGTAAAACTGTAATTAAGCGCTATTTATGGAAGATAATAATGCAAAATATTGTGCAAAACACAACATAATTGACATAGGAAAATAGCGACTAATTACAAAATTGTTCGCCAAGTTATTTCAATATTGTTTTCTTACATTAATAAACAGCGCATAAAGAATTGCAATTAAACATCTCTCTCTCTCTCGATGCTAGTTATTATATCATAACTTACATAACAAACTCATTATTCAACTCGTTATACCGATGTTCATGTATCAAAAGTTATTGATTACACTACAATGAAACAGTCTGTAAAATGTTAGGAATAATTCTATACTTATCTCTCCCTATTTGAATAAACATAAAAACACAATTACATGCATGTATGTACACACGAACATGCAAATACGCGCATCGCAAATATTTTCAAGAAGTTTGACTAAGATATTTATATTATACATTAAAATTCAAAAGGGAAAGATTTGTATAAAAATTCTGAATTTTACAGACTGTTTCACTATAAGTTATTATCAATAATTTTTGCCATAGCATCGATATAGAATAATGAATTTAAAATTGTAATTTATATATCTGCACGTTGTAATCGCGCTCAATAAAGTACACATAACAGTCAAATAAGTCACATATATGAATATAAATATATGCTAATATCGATAATTTCGTACAGTGTATTTTCTAGATATACATATAATATCGAAGATGTATGTATATGGGATGAATGAAATTATATATATATATATATATATATATATATATATATATATAATTTCATTCATCCCATTAATCATCCAATAAAATATATATATATATATATATATATATATATATATAATTTCATTCATCTCATATATATACATATTTGATGCCGCCGACGTACTTATTCAGTTAGTCAACTTAATGCAATCGTCGTAATTGGTCTCATAATTTGTCAGAAGTTTTTCAACATGCCGATTACTTGATTATGTCGATCAAAATGGAACAAAATAACGTTATTAAGACGAGAAAAATATCAATTCAATCAATTGAGTCTCTTAAATCATAATAATAAAGACAATCGCAAATTAAAAATTATTGTAATATGATTATCGAGTTTTAATCAAATATAATTATCAATCAAATTAAATTCACGATTGTCGTTTGCGAATTCATAATTCTACGATATAATATATCAGTTGAAAACTGAGATAACTGTTTTCACATGTTTTCACTTGAGGAAGCGCCACATCTTTGACAAATGTAAGTTCATTTCTTTGGCAATGTTATCGTTAGCTACATTATCAAAATAGAAGTTCACCTTTAAATGTATTAGTAGGTACATGTGTTTTTATCTAGACGCGAATCAAGATTCCTTTGAAGCGACAATAATGTTCAACGTTTCTGTTTTTGCAAAAAGATGGATGGGGGGGAAAACTTCGGAAAAAACAACAAAGATTTAGAAAAGATTCCTTATAAAAATTCTTTCTCACGAATTATAGCAGCATTTTTTTAAATTTATCAGATATCGTTGAAAGATACGACATTTGATCGGTGATTAGTGCATGTAATTACATTTCTATTAAGCTTGTGAAAAATAATCTGATTAGATAATTATTTATAACGACAAATAAAAAATAAAAAATAAGAAAAATAATGCATTCCGAGTATATAAGTATTTTCGAAAATGTTTCCAAGATGTTAAAATTTTATTAAAAACTAAACACACTCGAAAATAAATAAATATGACAGATATAATAATACATCTAATTCGAGAGAATCGTAAAGATAATTTATGAGACAAAAACTGGCAAGAGGAAGAGGAAGGTGATAAAGAGGATATGTAAAAAATAAATATTATCATTATAAAAGATATAATACACTTATAAAACGTTAAGCGATTCATACCGATTGCACAGCAATTTTTCCGCATTTTAATATCTAATCTTTTCATAGAAGCAACTTCAAAACATTCGGCATTATATTATGTATAAATATGATACATGATAAGTCAGTGATAAGTCAATATCATTACACGATAAGCCAATGGCCGACCTATTCTTATCAAAAATTAGATGTATAATCCAATGCAAATAGAAAATAAAATTTTCCATCTCACATAAAGACAAATAAATATTTCACAAATTAATCCTCAATAATGCAAACGATGAAATGATATCTCTATTCAATGGAAATTTTTTTATACGTGTTGGCATATATTGATTTCATTATTTCCTGCCTCGATATGCGATCGCAATCGCCAATTTAAATTATTGCACTTGCTATCCTTGAAATATGTTTCCACGAAAAAAGGCATTTTTTTCCATGTGTCAACATTTATAAAGGTGTACTGGCGTAATTCGTAATAATCATATCATGTGATATGCACGTGATATGTATTGCAAGATATGCAGGTGCATTGCCTAAGAGACGTTCGAACACAGAATTTGCGGTTTAAAATGATGGCAAATATCCTTGTTCAATCGCATTCAATGGTAAAAGCGTAATAAATCTTATCGAGTGGATCAAGTGGTATTTGTAATCAAATCTTATTTCGGTGCTAAACTTAACAACTCATTACGTATAATGGATGCTTGCCAGAAAATCGTATTACGCCGAACAAAATTGCAAATAATACAATTGGTGAAAAGAACTTTGAAAATAAAATTCGATACGAACATTTACTTGTAAAAAAATATTAACCGCTCAAAGGAAGTTTATCTTTGCATGACAAATATTGTCATAAAAAATGATGTCTCTTGCTGTCTCAATGTTGGCAAAATGCTCCGAAAAATTATGTGCGTACTTGCGGTTAACAAAGTCTGAAACAAAAAGCGTCCTTCACTAAACCACGCGGTTATCTTGTGATAAAAACTTGAAGTATGAATAATAAAAATTGATGACAATAATCGCGTCAGAATACAATAATTATTATATTTGCAGATAATCATTAATAATAAGATTCATATTTCCATATAAGATAGAATAGATGTAATTTTAATATAAAGAAATTATAATTTATTTTCTTGCAAATTCTTTCAAAATGAAATATATAATTAATAAAATATAAAAATATAGTAAAAAAAATATAAGTATATAATTAAAATTTAAAATTATTGCTGCTGCAATAAATGACAAAACTGCAGAATCGATTGTTTCAATGTCAACGAAAACTTTTAATTCTCATTATATTATTTATGAAAATATTTGCATGCAATGATACAGTTCGATGAACTCATACATTAAGTTTAATCATCAAGATAGTATATACTTTGTAATATTTGCAAAATTATATAAACATCTCCAATTTTGTTTTGAAAGCGAAAGCTATACGAAATCCTGTCAAAACAAATGAACTGTCACTGCTAAATTATCGCATTTACTCTTATCAGTCATGACAAGTAAATATGGTATCGATATAATTGAAGCGCCAAGATTGATATATGTCAAAATTTGATTTTAATCTTTATGCACATCACGCATTGAATTCTTGGAAGCGCATTGTCCCCGTGTATGATATGTCAAATTAATTTCAAGGAAATCCACTCATTCATTATTCATAGTTACAAACTATGAATCGTTCGCGATAATAATAAATCTGAGGCCTAACACGCGCCGAAGAAAGGTCAACAACTGACGGTATTAATGAAGACATCAAATACATATCAAAAACCAATAAAAACAAATATAACGTACCTTTTCGGAATCGCGTTAGTCAGTTTATTAGTCGTAACCAGAGAATGGGACGCGGATAACCCATGGATGGTGTCCGTCGTCGTTTCCTACGGATACGTGCAACGGTCGGCTGCTTACACACGACTGAAACGGTGTCAGCGAAATCAAGTAGTACTATTCGCGCCGCAACACTCTCCGAAGGCTGTCTACTTCCTTCTGGCTTCCTTCACTCACCGCCCGGTGCTAAAATGCCTCGTTCCGTGTATGTCCCTTTATTCTTGGCACCAGAGCAGAGACTGTGTCGGTTTCGTCACGGACCGAAAATTGACCTCAATCCCACTAGTCCAAGTAGCTCTCCCCTAATAGGAATACCCCGAGCTAGCTACTAGCTATGCAGATTTTCCCGATAAGTTATCAGTTATCAAAATTCATGCAAAGAGAAAAAGGTGTTAATGAAAAAGTATGCATGGAGGAAATAATGAAAGATTCAATCAAGTATTCCTCAAATTGAATAAGACAGAATTGTAATTAAACGATAAAAAAATCGTCAAAATGAAAAATGAAAAAAATAATGAATGATTCAATCGTAAATAATAATTCCACATTTTATACAATTAAATTTAAAAAAATTAATAAAAAAGGAATGTGCAAATTTATTAGCGTGTAGACGGATATAAAATGAATGAAGAAAGTCTTATAGTGAGCTAAAGAAAGATTATAAGCGAGCAAATTAGACATTGCTTGAAAGCATATATGAATAGTCCTATACTTTCTCGTGAATGCAATCACTCAAAGATTAACGAGTCGGAACAAAGCAAGAATATTGTTATTTATTTTGAGTCTGACAATGAGACAAGTATAAAAAGATCTTTAATAGTCTGCAATCTGCAAAGATTGATATATAACAGCATCTTATAAAGGTTCGCTTCAATGATAAAAAAAATTTGAACTCTTCGCGAATGTATCGATCAGAAAAACGAATTTTATTTTCAACTTTCGAAAAGTTCACTACTCGCAATGAAAGATGTTGAATTTAACGATTCGATCGAACGACACGCGTAATTAATTCAAGATGTTGTAACATTAAAAACGTTTAAAATAATATTAAAAAATGAGAAAATTCGACCTTATTATTGATGCGTATCCCCGATATGAAGATTTTTTTCTTTAATCCACTAAAAGTAAGAGTACATTCGAGTCACGACAAGGCACGTGTATGAACCGCAACTAAAATCAAAAGAACGCAAAACTGATGTGGAAGAAATGTAATATGAGAGATAAGAAGTGCATATAGTGTGGTAACATTCAAACTAGCGATAGCAAATTTGCGAATTCAAACAATGAGTAACTTGCCTCTAATCTAACAATATAGATACAAAAATGAGGTCACACATACAATTTTATGCGTGGGTTGACCTTAACATGTTCCACCGTAAATGAATGGATGTGATGTTGATCTGTATGCACGAATATATACTTGACTTTTTGAAAGGATTTTCGTTCTATTTTTTAAAGTGCGTACTGTCTTGACGGAAGCTGTAATAATAAATAATTGGAACAAAAATTATTTACAATTCGCACAACAAATAATTGATATGACATTATTTCCTTTTTAAAAAAGGAATAAATAATGTCATATCATTGATTTTCATTTTAATAAATTAATTAATTATTTGTTTTTGCCATTAAATTTTTATATTTGTAATTAATTATATTTTTCTCATTAATGTATCAAAATCTCATTAATTTCATCTCATTAATATATTCAACAAAAATATTTTAAAAACATGATAAAAAAATTTTTTTTTCTTCATGTTTTTAAGTTAATTTTGTTGAAAAAAATATTTCATATTAAAAAATAAAAGGAGATTTACCATATTAATGCATTTGCATAAGATATATAAAAAATTGAATATACGTATTAAAATGACGCACGCTTCTAAAATTCTATCATAAAAAAGAACGCACCTTTTTTTTTGCGTGTAATTGTTTGAGTGTGTTTCTTTTTGCACAATAAAGGATATATGTTATGTTAGTGAATGTCTAAAGATATGTTAATGAATTTATAATAAATCACAAATTATGAACGCAAAATCGTTTAAAGCTTTTCGAAAAGCACGCAAGTAAGAATTTCTTTTGGCGGCTTTCTTATAAACATAATTGCGTTAAATCTTACGTCGCAAAATTTACAAAATCTCTAATGAAATACAAATATCGCGTAGTAGTTAATCGGAAAGCTTTATTAAATTGCCATAATAAATGATTTCATTACTAAGCGTAATATTATCGCACGATTAATAAATCTGCTCTATCATGGCTTATCAGTTTATCAGCCACTGAGACTATTCTACTCAGAATCCGCGCAAAACTATTTCGCAATCGTAAATTTCACCTTGAAATGTTGATATGCGAATGCACAAGTTACTCAATAAGTTACACGTGGCTAAGTCTGTTATCTTGAATTTGAAATGATTCAAATATATTTCTGAATTATCATAAACTATAGTATAAAATAATGTGCTATTTTCTATGTAACTTAAAAATATTATAAATATACTTTTCCTTCTTTTTACTCCATAAATTTCTTGCGAAGATCGTTGTTATTAATTTAAAAAAGAATATTGAACATTTAATGTATATTCTACTAAATAATAAGATATTTTTCGTTGCAATATTTTTTCTACAGAAATCGAATTTTCAAAATCATTATTCATTAAATATTCATTATTCAAAATCATTATTTATTAATTGTATTTTAACGATTCGAGCGATTTTATTTGATCTTATCACTAAGATTTTTATCACTGAAGTTTTAGAGTAATGATAAAAATTGTTAGCAAATCAGCTAGTATGATTGCATTATGATTGCAGGATAATTTTCAAAACAAAGAAACTGATTAAATAGATTATAACATAATCAAATTTGAAATTTATGAAATGTGTTTATACGCTTGTTGAGCATTATCTTCATTCAGGTCAAAGAACTCCGAAAAATAAAATACATAATGATGTTGCTATTAATGCAGTAAATGTTATGGTTTTTACAACATGGTAATTTATAATATTTTGCATAACTTATTTGTTAGAATATAACCGGTCCTCAATGCTAACTGGTCCAGTCCACATAGTCAATGGTGAAATTTTCCACTAGAATGACGCATAATATCTCGAGAGAGATATGTATATCTTTGACACAATATTTCCAAATAATACGTAATAAATAATTCTAAAGATTGTACCATTTGGTTTATCAGAAGATTGGCTCGAAATAATTATTTTTGGCTTTTTCTACGAAAAGATCCCTGTATGTAAAAAACAAATTTGGAATTATTTTTTGCCCCTGCACCTTAAATTGCATAGTATACATTTATAATATTATAAAACATAAATAACATAAATAAAGAAAAAATTTAAATTTTTATGAAGAATATCTTTGTCATTATTGTGCGTCTTTATAGACAAGTTTATAGATAGCATGCTCTATTTTGGAATAATATTACGAATCGTGTTACTGGAGAGGGAATAATTTAATTTTATATTTTAAAGTCACTATTTTGAAAGTCGTGCCAAGATGTATAATCTCTTGGAAGAGGATTCAAAATAACTTTCACTGGTCACTGACCGTTTGTATTTTTGCAATGATAGTGCAATATAATATATTATATAATACAATAACACAATTTTTGCATATAATAAAAATTTAATATACTCTCTCGAAAGATAATGGAATGCTGTAAAAATTAATTATAAACGAACATTTATGCAAAACAGATGTGTTAATAATTTATTATATTCTCCTAGTTGTTTCCAATTAAGAAAAATAAATATTTTTAAATTTTTCAATAAACGTAATTTTGATTAAATTTGTTTTTAAAAAATATAAGTATATTAAATAATTAAATATTCAAAAATTATTTTTATTTAGAAACGCGAATTATCCTCAATCAACAAATATTTGAATCAATCATAATGAAAAGTGCACATATCGCTATTTATGAAATTACATGAATAATTCCAATCAGATATACTATCTTTTATAAATAAATATTATGCAAAAGATATATTATTCCATCAAAATAATTAATATCACCAAAGAGAAAAAGTTTCTCAGATTGTTTCTGTTTATGTTAAACGACATATATTTATTATTAATTGAATAATAATACATATAAACGATAAAATAAAAAAGTAAAATATTTTTTTTAGAATGTTAAAACAAAAATTCGATTATTTTAAGTCGTTTTCGTAGTTTTACGAGTATTTTTCTCTTATAAATTAAATATTTGTAATTATTTGTTGTAATATTAATAAATTTATTTCGACTGACTCTTTACTTTATAAATTGATAAAGAATACGGCTCTATGTATTTAACAACATGATAATTATGAAACGAGCGATAAGAGCCTAAAACCGCGGATGGTATTGCGTATTTTTTTTTTTTTTTTTTTTTTTTTTTTTTTTTTTTTCAAACATTAATTGTTCGCGAAAATTTTTTTTTTTTTTTTTCCTGTCCACATCTCTTCAGGGGGATAAAGAGGGTGTTATAGAAGTCTCAAACCAAGAGAATCTATATCTTGGCATATACACCAAGTAAAATATATGTATAAATATCTTGTGCACAATTAATGTTTGAAAAAAAAAAAAAAAAAAAAAAAAAAAAAAATTACCCAATACCATCCGCGGTTTTAGACTCTTATTGCTCGTTTCATAATTATCTTTACTTTATGTTAATCTTTACCTTTATCAACTGCATAATATCCCAACGTGACGTAAATACGTCATTTGTGAAATATTATTTGTCGAAACTTTATTAATGAAAAGAAAAATGTATGCAAGGTATATAAAGTGATAATAATTAGAAGCGAATGCTAATAAATATTAGCATATTAAATCTATGCCAAATGAAATATTGTATGCTAATTTATAATCAATTCCAATTTGCATATAGAAATATCTCGTTTTGGCAGTCTTTCAGTTTGTTACGTAAGACTCAATGACCTTGACTGACAGTATTTGAAGTTTGTTTTAAAGAGATCTTTGTGTACACATATATAGCATCTCGTACACATGTCACTTTATATTTTCTGATTTTTTTCCGGTCAATTATACGTGTTATACTTTCTATATTATTAATTCTGATATAAAAATTACATATGGGAGAAAATATATTAAAAGTTTCAAGTTTGTAGGATTCTTTCAATAAAAACGGTGCAATAAACAATTGCATATATAAATTTCTTTCATTGACGTGTTACATATTGTCGAAAAAGCTGGCAAAACTGAAAATAAATGCGTTGCCGAAGCGAAATATGTATAACATTGTAACATGTAAATAAATTATTTGAATTTTTCTTAAGTTAGCTTAAAGGCGAATGCATTTGGAGATGGCATTTATTCACTGGCAGTAAGGGCGATCGCCGTGAAACGCACCTCGGTCGGATCGCGCTCCATGTATTCCTTACATACACGAGCAGCATCGTCCAACAGTGTTTCGGGCGTAGTCGGACCGTGATTGATAGGAATAGGTTTCCGACCATCTAAAAAATTTTTGTTATTATAATACATTCTAAGTAAGGTGACGATTAGCTCCATGCTGAAATTGTTGCTCAATAATTGGTAACATCAAGTTTTATTCTATATATATATATATTTCTGATTAAAAGAATTGATGAAATTTATCTATTTGTGACCAAATCAGTTTAAATACCGCAGACGAATAAAATCGCTCTCCTATTATTATTAAAATTTTAACCAAAAAAGTCAATATAGATAAAATATATACCTAGTTCATATAGAGAACCGTCTTTATGTACAAATGCAACAAAATGGTGGTACACTTCCATATCTTCAGTTGGCGCCTAAAGAAAAAAACAAATATGTATACTTATAATTCACGACTTAAGAGGCAATAATTATTTTCAACTACAAAATGACAAAGTACCTCAGTTTGTCCTTCCTGGGCAGATTCCATGTGAGTATCAATAATTTCTTGTGCATTTTCTAGACGTTCTCCACGTTCAGCGTACGAGAGTCCTTTCGTTTGTTCCAAAAATGTCTTAAGAAACCCATCCTCCAATTGTATCCTATAAAAAAAAAGAATATATATACATTTCCGTTTATGTATATATGTGACTTGTGAATTTGATTATAATTGATAAATTGATTATAATTGATTATAATTGATAAAAGTGCTCACACATCCAAATTATTGGCCACACTATGAAGTAACGCAATTGTTCCACATGCATTTGAAATACATTGCTTCATATGGTAAATAGAATCTGGAGCATCACTTTTGCTGTCCTTAACTTCTTCTTCTTCCTTTCCTTCCTCGGTCTTTTCAGTCTAAGAACAATACCAAATTAATTTTATCAAAATCAATGTTTTAATATATATATTAAAATAGGTTCAAAAATGATATTCCCTATTTTATTATGGCGTTTATTACTTATGCATAAAATGGACTTATTGTGTTAAAATATAAGCTAATAATTACTATTTAATATAATTTTCCAAAAGATTAATGCACTTGTCTTACACTCCAGAAGATTAATACACTTGTTGTAGTATGAGTTTTAAAATTTCTTCTCGATGAACTCTTACTCTTGATGTTTAATCATTTTTATAATAATAGTCTGTTTATCTAATCTGTTTATTTATATAATAGTCTGTTTATTTATATACTATTATTCAGAAATCATCTTTCTTCAAAATATTTCTTTAATAGCCCAAACAAATCAAAATTGAAAAGAATTAAATCCAAACTGTAGAGTTCCATAATTTTTAAATCAAATGATTACAAAAGTTTCTGAATTGATGTTTAAATTAAAATCTGACATTATCATGAGAAAAATTTACAAGAATTGTTTCTTTGATACAGTACAGAATGCTATTCAAAAATGACTTAAATATCAAGAGTCAGATTTTGACCAAGAGGGCAATCCATGAATCTTCTCAGATTATATTACATATTATTTTAACACGATAAGTCCAAATTGTAAACAAAAGTTGTAACAAAGTAGAGACTCTTATTTTTTTATCTATTTTAGCATATATACCTTTGCGGGAACAGGATAAAGCAGCATAACAGCAAGAACAGGTCTAGGGATAATCGCCAACAAGTCAGAGTCAAAACTATATACATCGACGATCGCCCATTTCTTCGGAACACCCAACTTGTAGAGGAACTACAAAAATAGATGCTTTATATATACATACATTAAATTTTACAAATTTTAGAATTGCATCGAAAAAAGAAATCGAATCGACCTTTTTTCATGAGAAATACATCATTAATTGAAAAACATGAATTATCGTACGCAAAACTGAAGATGTCGAGGAAATAACAAGATTAATCGATTGAACGTGATGCGCTTACCTTCGTCATAACCTAAAACAGAAAACATGTTCGTATAAAATCCGAAGAGGAATACTCGTTACAATTTGACAAAAAGATCGCTCACCTCTGAATTCGATTCTAAGGGTACCCAAGCCATATTGAATTATGATACTTCGAAAGAGCGAGACAGAAGGAAGTTCCGCTTCGAAACGCCGGTAAAAATATCTATTTATTAACGAGTTTCCCCTGCAGAGAAAGACTTTTTGATTTAAATTCATGCGATCCTATTTTCATGACAAACAAAACGTCAAGTCACGTCAAATCTCGTTTTCGAATCGCGCGATACATCGTCACGAAATAGGATTGTTGCGCGAATATTTCGCACGATACGATTGGTCATGAAAAATGTTATAATACACGGTGTTCGGAAAGTAACTGTACGCTTATATTTTACAAACATTAGAAGAGGCATTTATCAAGCACTATTAAATTCTCTTTCTTCTATGCAGAAGCATATCGCCAAGAGAATTGACGATAAGAATAGTTTTTGATAACAAGATTAAGACGAATTAAAGCTCGTTTACATATTCGTGAAGTCCACATCTTTTGTAAAAAGAAAATTAATTTGCTAAAATAATGTTTGGTGTTTTTTTCTTTTTTAACAAATTAAAATAAATGTATAATTATTTTTCAGACACCCACAATATACATATGGGTGTATCTATTTCTCCTTCTCTGTCATTTCTCTCGCCTACGTGTAATTGTTGGCCATTTACAGATATGTCTCCAAATATAAAAGAATATAATGTGATACATATGTGGAATTAGAAAGAATGCTAAAAAATGTGTCGCAACATAAGATAGATATTTATCTGAAGAGGAGAAACAAATTCTATAAAATGTAATAATATACTCTTTTGGTATAAATAATGGATATAGCATAAACAACTTTATTTTATCTGTATCTCTATACTAGATTACATCTCAAATGATTTTTTATTTATATGTATATAAATGCATGCATTCGACATACAGATAAATACCAAAAATAGAGTGAAATGAGAATGAAAAAATAAGGAGCCTTGAACATGTGATTATCTATCAGACTGATAAAAGATAATGTAATTGATATAGAGATAATATTTGCATTATATGCAATATTATAAAATAAAAATGTTTATTTTTTTTAATTATATGAGAATTATATGAGAAACTTATTGATTATAAGATATGCACAATTATCAATTTGAAATATATAAATTTTTCAAAATTTGAGAGAAAATCTTATTTATACTACTGTAAATTTTTATATTTTTCATAATTCAAATATTAAATATCAAAGATTGAAAACTGATATATTTGCATAAATTATGTTCTAAAATTAATAATAAAAAAACATTCTAATCTCTTTCAATGATTATGTAAAATAATACATTTTCGTAAAAGTGTACATAGTTATATACATAAATTACAAACAATTTATAATCTTTGTCTACAAAAATATATCATTGATCTAATCTAATCTCAAAATAATATACCAATGATATAAAAGACACAAGATACATTGATGTCCATTATTTTCATTACAAGTCTTTTGTTGATAGGATGATGCTGTTTGTACATATTTTGTGCGCTTTGCTGATTCTTTGTATATCAGTGGAGGCATACTTTAATGTGATAGCGAAAACAGATGAGGTCAATTTTGTGCTTTTGACAAAAGCATCCAAATATGTTCCAACTTGGTCTAGTCTAGACAGTCGACCACTTCCACCTTGGTATGATGAAGCAAAATTTGGAATATTTATTCATTGGGGTGTATTCAGTGTACCTAGTTTTGGCTCTGAATGGTTTTGGAATAATTGGAAAGGTTGAATGCTTTTATAAGTTTTATATATTCAATATTTTATATATATACATATATATATATATATATATATATATATATATGTGATATTAATAATTATATGATATATTATATTGTATTTCTTATGCATATTTATTGTATAATATTGCACAGAGGAGACTACAAGTATGAAATATCATGATTTTATGAAACAAAGATATCCTCCAAATTTTACCTATCAAGATTTTGCACGTGATTTTACTGCTGAATTCTTCAATGCATCTGAGTGGGCTGAATTATTTAAAGCATCTGGTGCAAAATATGTTGTATTGACAAGCAAACATCATGAAGGATATACACTATGGCCATCAAGATATTCATTCAGTTGGAATTCTATGGATGTGGGACCTAGAAAGAATCTTATTGGTAATATAGATGTAAAAATAAAAGATAATAGATATTTATAAAAAATATAATCAAATTTGTTATATTAAATATATAAAAATCTTATATATTCTCTGATGAAAACAGGTGAACTAGCAGAAGCTATTCGACATGACACAAATATAAAATTTGGCTTGTACCATTCTATGTATGAATGGTATAATCCTCTTTATTTAACAGATAAAAAAAATAATTTTACAACAGATACATTTGTAACTCAAAAAATAATACCAGAGTTACAAGAGTTAGTAGAAACTTACAAACCAGAAGTAGTTTGGTCCGATGGAGATTGGGAAGCATCAGATTCTTATTGGAAATCAAAGGAATTTTTAGCATGGTTATACAATGAAAGTCCTGTGAAAGACACAGTTGTGGTGAATGATAGATGGGGCAGCAATATACCATGCCATCATGGTGGTTTCTTTACATGTACTGATCGTTTTAATCCTGGTAAGTAAAATTTAAAATTATATAGTACCAAAAAAAAGATTAAAAGATATTATTAAGTTAATAAATATATTTTTTTTAATTAATAAGATTTTGCTCTTTTTAGGTGTACTTCTTTCACACAAATGGGAAAACTGTATGACTATTGATAAAAAATCTTGGGGATTTCGTAGAAACGCTGTTTTATCCGAATATTTAACATTGGCAGAATTAGTGAAAGAATTAATAATCACTGTAAGCTGTGGTGGAAACTTACTGATGAACGTTGGACCAACAAAAGATGGGATCATCTCACCAATATTTGAAGAAAGACTGCGTGGAATAGGTAAATATGCTGTATCTTATCATATTTTTCATTATTAATTACATTATTAATACATTATATTGATCTTTAGATAATTTTATTTATATATAAACTTTTTTTTGCTAGGTGCTTGGCTAGCAGTTAATGGAGAAGCTATTTACAATACTAAGCCTTGGACCGTACAAAATGATACCTTAACAGGAAGCACTTGGTACACACAAAGTAAAGATGAAAAACAACTATATGCCTCAATTTTAGAATGGCCAGAAAATGATATTTTATTGTTAGGTTCGCTTAAAACTTCAAAGAATTTCCAAATACAATTAATTGGCCACTCATCAATTATTTCTGTAAGTATGTTTCTGCTTTTGTCCAATTTTCATAAAGAATGTAATAAAATAATTTCATGTAAATTTTAGTGGAAACAATCCGATGATAAATTAGAAATATATTTACCTGCTAATGCACATAGAGGACAACCAGCTTGGTTATTAAAGATTACAAAGTGATATATAAAATATTTTATATAAGAGAACAATTTGTTTTAGAAATATATATATATATATATATATATATATATATATATATATATTTTTTGCTAAGAATATTTTGTTAGCTTTAAACATTTTTTATGCAAAACCTTTACAAAATATCTTTAAACCTTTATACCTTTAAAAAAAAATTTCTGTAAAGAAAAAAGATGATTAAAAATTCATTATAATTCAATGTTTTGCACTTATAATTAAAAAATTACAGATATCTGAATGTCAGACTGTCTAAATATATGTTTGTAATACGAAATGCCATATAACTTATATCCTTGATAAATAAACTTCAACAACAAAATATTACACTTGAGCAACCTCATATAAGTAAGCTCCAAGTAGTTTTGTCTGCAAATAAAGACATTAATTATAATTTTAAAATGAAAATATTCAGGATTAGTAGATTTTAAAAAATTGCGCTAATTCAATTATACTTACTCCTTGGATGTAGTTATGTACGTTCAATTTTTCGTTTTGAGAATGCGCACCATCATCGCCTTGTCCAACTGGTAGGAGCAATACATTTTTACCAGTAACTTCCTGGAATGTGAGAGTAACTGGAATTGATCCACCTTCACGAGAGAGATCGGGCTCCACTTTGTAAACATGTTGAGTAGCTCTTCGACCAGCCATGTAATTCGGATGTTCAGGATTCTCGGTCCACGGTTTCCCACCGTGATACATATTTACATTCATGTTGTTTGGACTACCCCTGGCTTGCCATTTTTTATTGATATATGCGATTACTTTCTCGGTTGTTTTATCTGGAGTCATATGAGGTACTATCCTGATTGAAAATTTGCCAATAACTTTGCTCGGAATTACAGTTTTCGCTCCTGATTCACTGAAAGCACCCTGTATTCCATGAAGGGATAAACTGGGTTGCCTCCAACGATGCATCAAAAGATGAATCTGCAGGAAGAGATACAAATTGGAATACCAATATGTTTCTAAATATATATGTATATATATGAACATATATATACCTTGTCTTCTTTATGCAACAGTTGCTTAGATCCAACTGTTTCCTTAAATTCACCCACATCAAAATCTATATCTTTATAACTAGCCAATTCAGCTTCAGTTATTTTAGCTACATCATCATAAATACCATCTACCAAAATATGGCCATTAACATCAACCAAAGTATTCATTAAGTAAATCAGATCTGCCATAGCTTCATGTACACATCCACCAAAAGTACCACTATGCAAATCCTTGGCAGCACAAGTAACTTCTATGAAGAAATAGCAGATACCTCGCAGACCATAAGTAATACATGGCTTTTTAGTACCCAGCCAATAGTTATCAGATATGCAGACATAATCTATATTCTTTAGGAAACTGTCTTTCTTTGCCCAAAGAAGCTCATCTAAACCTTCACTTCCACTTTCTTCCATTCCTTCAAAAACAAACTATACAAAAATTTTAAAGATTTAGTACATATACAAAGATAATAACAAAAGAACTATTAATTGATATCGAAGTTGAATATAATATCTTTAAATATCTTATTAAGTAATACCTTGAGATTAACAGGAATATCAATTCCACTTGCTTTGTAAGCTTGCAATGCATGTATCCAACAGAGAACTGGCCCTTTGTCATCAGTACTACCTCGTCCAAAAAGCTTTCCATCTTTTTCAATAAGTATAAAAGGTTCGGTATCCCAGCCATCTTCTTTTAGTGCCGGTTGTACATCCAAATGTCCATACAAAAGTACAGTTTTCTTTTTTGGATCAGACCCAAGATCTCCAAGTAATACAGGAGGAAGCGGAATTTTGCTATCATCAGGAAGAGTCTGTTTGCCTATGTCAACTAATTCTGTAGTTGCTCCAAGATTTTTCAATTTCGCTTCTGCCCAATTCATCATTTTTATTATTTCATCTCTATGATCTGGCCATGCTGATACAGATTTAATAGCTACTGCTTCTTTCAAATTATTTATATATTCCTGCTTATGGTCATCTATATATCTATAAAAATGTGAAAAAAAATAATAGTTAGTTAGGGGCAAAGAAAATTAAATCTATCCAAAAATCTCTCTTAACAAATATATGCATTCATATAAAATATAAGGCACAAAACATACTTAAATAATGTTTCCAATGTTGATGGTAATGCCATGATTGTTAAACAATGGTAATATGTTCAGAAACACAACAGTATCAAAATTAATGCGTCAGCTGGATAGATGTAATGAACACTCACTTCAAACTCCTCCAACAATGCTGATATCAGTAATAACGTGATATCTTATCTCTCATACCTTTTTCCTTTCACACCAGCGAACGAGCGCTGCCTTTGTTATTGTCCAGTCATCTCGAGCCGAGGGAGACAGTATCTACTTGGTATTGCCGTCTCTCTTTTTAATGTATTACCTTAGCTAAAATTATATGTCTGCGCATTAAAGTTGTGTACAGAATTTTTTGGGTGGCACCCGATTGACCACGTCGCCAATTGGCCAATTCAAAATAGGACTCTCTGATTGGTTAATCGTTGCTGGTTACCCTAGGCACAGGTCGATATAATTGGCTGTGGTCAATCGCAACGTGATCAAACGCTCCAATTTTTTCACCAAAAATTTAACAAAATAGAATTTATACTTTATTTTACAAAATAGAATTAGACATTATTTTATTTTTTTTATTGTCGCCATATTTCCTTAAATAATTCATTTCATTACAATATTTTTTGTATATTCATTATTCGAACATATACTGACTAAGGTATGGGCACAGATAGTACATAGTCATGAAACTATAGGAGAAATATACTATAGCATGCTAGTTATTATTTTATTATATATTATTATTTATTATATATTATTATTAAATATAATATATATTATTATTACATTTTAAATATAATATATATTAATTTTATTTTCCAGCATTTAATTATATTCGAGTGCGCATTTACCAGGAATTATGTCAACAATATACGTATTACCACTCAAAGAATAATTTGACATTTGACTCGTCGCGCGCGGACCAGCTTAACCTGACACCTGACTTGTCAAGCCCGTTCCGCGCAAGCGCATTATGCTGTGCAATGTCAAACGAACTGCATCTGAAGTCTCTCTTCTTTCCAATATTTGTTCAAATTACACCTTACGAATCCTAAAAACGAGACAAATTTCGAGCATGATGTCGATTGCTGGGAATGCATCGTGCGAGCGACGTAATCGTGATCATTGATGCGATTCACTTATTCTCCTTGTGTCGTATTTACGCTGATTTGCAGTGACATGCACGCTTGCGGGAATGTCAGTGAATGACGCACCTGCGGCTTCGATAGTCCGAGGCTTTACGGAAGAACATCCAAAGAATTATCGCTTTCTCGTGGAGCCTGCGAACATCAAGAGTCATTTTATTAATATTGATGTGCATGCGATACTCTCGGTAATCAATAATCAGTAATGACGCTTACATGTAATTGTCAACGAAGTAAAAACACTCTGATGAAAGTATAAAAATATAGTATATTATATATATGTATATTATATTATAATAATGTTGTGTTACGCTACATAGGTATAGCATAAAAAGTATAGCAAATATGGTGCGTGTGATAACAGTGCACAATTTCCTGGGGCAAAATGTCACCCAGATCGAGGAACCCACGGCAACGTGCACAGCCACCAGCCAGAGGCGAGAAATGCTTCTGCTGGCATTATCTACACACTGCGTGGAAGTGTGGGAACTGATGAATTCGGATGTCAAATTGCGCACTGTTTTCCCCACAGTAGACATGATCAATCAAATGGTACATTGCGCTAAGGGAGATTACATTGTGACACTGGAATCAAAATATCTCAGAGACACTGTGAGCAATAATCATGCGAATAAAGTCACTTCTAATTTTGTAAGAATTTATGTGAACTGGGCTACGGTGAAGGATCAGAGTCAGCCGATGCGAGCCAGAATCGCCGGACGTGTTACTCCGAGTTTGAATCGACCCTTGAATAGCTTGGAGATGATAGAATTACCTCTAAATATGCAACCTACATTGATCGCCTGCTGTCAGAGCACCGGTAACTTATTAGTAGCCTCAGGAAACACTGCTGTTTTACACGAGTTCAAGATTGAAACGCAACAAGTATCAAAAATGAAATTTATAGATTTTGAATCTAGACCATGGTCCTTGGGATTTTCGTTCGCACCGACACACATGGAAATTGTAGAAGATTTTATAGCAATTATGGATAATGTAAATTTGTCCGTTTTTCGTCTCACAAATTCAATGTACGAAGATATTGACCAACTTAGCTCTTTAGCTTCTACAAATTCCTCTTCTGTCGATAAGACATCCATATCCACAGATTCATCTCTAGTAGAAAATAGTAATAGCCTTGGGAATGAAGATATGTCGCAAGGAACAAATACAAAACATAAATCTATAGATCAAGATTACCAATACATAACATCTGAAAATAATGAGACAGTGATAACTAATGTAAAATCCAAAGATAAAAAGCACAAGAGCACAAAAGGTAGTGCATGGTATAAATTGGAAATCGCTGACTTTAACAAAACAAAATCAAGCAACGATAGAAATTATATAGACTGGGAGTACTTAATATGCAATGAAAAAGATGAAATGCATAGACTAATTACGCATGGAATAATTGATCCCACTTCGCAACCACTTACAGTGAATTTACCATTAATAAGTTCAGAAAGAGCTGGACCAGGTCATGCTCTCAGTCCCTTTATCCTAAATTCAGCAGACATAAGAATCTTCATCAAGACAACTTCGCCTGACATAGGTTGGTCTGAAAATTATATAATAAAAAATTTGTTATGTCTGAAAATCAATGCTGGCAATAATAATATCAAGATAGATGGAATTTTAGATATCTTTAGATGCCTGATATTAAAACCATTATACATGAAGAGAGAATGTAACGTTACTGGCGTGAAGAAATCTATGTTGAAATCTGACAAGTACAGATATTTGCAGGGTGTGAGTTGCTTCGTTTGCACTACACAGGAGGGATACTTGTATCACTTTTCAGCAGCAAGCAATAATTCCCTGGACGCGACGTGTTTGACTACTTATCCATTTACTGCACCTGTTCATCATGTAGCATTGGAACATACAATACTTCATGCATTGACCGAGGCTGGTCTGGAATCCTACACATTACGTCTTTCTCATCATATTGCAAAACTTTCAAACTGCATGGATGGCATTAGAGTAACTTGCCCCAGTATTACCGAACCGGTAAGTCTAATCGGTTTGAGGCCGTTCCTAGGAATACAAAAATTATTGCATACAAAAACTTACATAGTGTTGTTGGCTAAAGCTGATAATTCTTGGACCATGTACTCTCTAAATCTACCTAAACTCGAAAATATATATTTCGACATCTTGAATGCGGCAAAAAATCATAAATCCTCCAGTCCAAGTACTTATCGACATTTGCTGGGAGAAGCACATACCTTGATACGCTTGGCGAAAGATATATCCAACGATCCGGATAATGAAGAACTTGACGATACAATGCATAAAAATGATCTTAAATTGAAGAATCTCTATAATCAATCCTGTGCGTTGCTCGCAGATTACTACATACGATCAGAGATTGAATCGGATTGGGATTTGTGTATTCCTTACTACAAGATGTCTGGATTGAAGCCTTCGGAAGTATTATCTAGAAAGTGTAGTCAGGACGCGCCAGGACTCTTAACATTCTTGACGGATGCGCTTTTTACGATGAAGAGCGGACCCGAGGCGGACGCGCTCTTCCAAGGGTATAATATTATAGAAATCATTTGTAAGCTGGAGAAGGAAGATTTGTTGAAATTGATTTTCAGCAGTCCTGTACTGAGGGAATACGCTACTGAGAAATTAATCAATCTTCTGCTAACACACGAGACCGATGACACTGTCAAACTTGCCTTGGCACTCTTATACATCCAAGCCGATAAGCAGGAGCAAGCGGAGAAGGTGCTGGAACCAGTTTCTGTGCAATGTATTAAGCAGATCATCCTGGCACGTTGGGAATTGCTGTTCGATATAACTGCAATGAAAAAAAGAAGTCCTATGATCCCCACTTTTTCGGATTTTGCTGGTACATTGATGCTTATAAAAAATACCACTTTCGCGGATATTCTCATACAGATAATAGAAGATGAAGGTGCGTTATCGTTGCATCAAATCATACAAGTATTCCTGGAATATTTACCGTCACGAGTTGGAAGAGACGGACACAATGCGGCTGCTACGTTGCAAGTTTTTCTCGAAAAATATCTACATGATTATTTCAGCTCGAAGTCTATGATTGAGTGGCCATCAGTCGTAAATAAAAATCAGATACGCTCGGACTTTGCTCTCGTCGAAGCGTTCAAATTGTTAGTGCGATCATATCTAGGTAAATTAACTCAAACAAAAGTATATAAAACTGATTTCCAAGATGATGAGGAGAAGAACGATAAGGAGTACTTTATGTTCGCCAAGTATCGACCCAGCTATTTGAATAAAATGCCACCATATGCTAAAGATTATCAGAAAATTTTAAACATGAACGATTTTAAAGATTTGACAAATCTTAATAATGCATCCGAAAGCGAAAAGATTATACCTAAAGAATTGTTTAAATTGCAATCTGTATTGTCGTGTGAATTTTTACCAGTTGAATGTTTGCACGAAGTCAAGCAATTCCTTGAAACGCAAAATATTGATGGAAACTTATCTCTCAAGACTTTATGCATTCAAAATACAGAAGAAGTAACGACAATTCTGATGGATAATTGTCCACAGGCTATAGTACAATATGCAAAGGTATTTATGATATACATAATACTCTAGATTCAAATGTGAATCTTGCCCGAATATTTATTTCATTGTTTTTCTATTTCAGGATAAATATACAAAAGATACCGAATGGAAATATCTTATTGAATTAACACAGGATAAAATTGCTGCCTCAATGATGCAACAAGAATTACAGCTCTTATATACACAGATTATGAAGGGTAAGTTAATATATATAAATAATATATAATATATGTATAATAAAATAATCTCTTTTCTCAAATTTATAGAGATCTTGAACTATTTGCCGCATACGTTACCTATGAAAAGTCTTCATCGCGTCTTGCCTCGAGATGACATGGCAACGTTTCAACGATGCACCGAAATGTGCAATCAAATAATGCACGCGGATCACGTAAAATCGTTGATAATGGAAACTGGACAACAACTTTTAACAACTCTAAAGTTGTGAAGATAGGAATATTCATTAAATATTTATTAGCTAATTTCTAGTCAAAAAAATGATTGAGGAATTACAAATATAAATTCCAATATCACGTTTTAACAATTATATTACGAAAGACTACTTTATGTGCACTTATAATCGCAAATTAACTATTTCTACGAATGTTTCAGACATATGTTCCTGATCAATGTAGCCACATAAGCTAATGTTCGTTAGTTAATAGTTGTGCTAATGCACCCATTTTTAATAATGAATAATTGTCATTAATTATAAAAAAGAAAAGCTCGGAAACAAATACTAGAAAAAGAATTTGTCTATAATTAATTGTTGAATCGTGTTTTATATAGATATATTGCGACTAAAGATATAAAAAGAATCTGTTCCAGAGGCGCAATAATTTTAATATACAAATTTGACAAATATTAACGTAAACCAATAATATTTGAAGCATATTACTTCTACAAAAAGTAAAATTTATGGAATATATTAATTATATCTTGTTGATTTTAATTTTATGAGGAAGAGAATAAAAAAGTCTAACAAAAGGAAAATTACCTTCATTATAGCAAAGTGTGTTAAGCATCGAAAACACTCACACACACTATGCTTGAGCAAACATAGATGCGTGCACAAGGTTTTTAATTAAGTTATATATAAATGTGTGCGTTATTATCTATTATCTATAATCTATTATGATATGAAAACAGTGCGATATTAATGCTTATAAAAATACATGTAGATGAAAACCAAAATTAAGAAAATTACTGTAATTATATTATAATTAATTGCGTGTAGAAGTAATTATATAAATGTATGAACTATACACACAGAACTATTATAGCATTGTATCAAGATTTTTCGTAATTATCAAATTTGTTCTGCTTCTGGGACAGATATGTCTTTAGTAAGATGAATTTTATTAAAATAGTTTTTATCAATCTGTTGATCCTAATGAATAGTTTTATGTAATCAATTTTTAAGTGTTACAGAATATGTAACTTTGATGTGCCTTTAGGAATGATTTCTTCTTTATTGTAAATCTAATTATGTTAGAATTGATCAATAATATTTATAATTCATTATAAAATTTAAAAAATACATAATATTCAGCAATTGTTCTTTTATAATTTATTTATATCTGTTGCAATCCTTAACAAGATAATCAATAGTTATTAATAATCATTAATAGATCTGTTAAAAAAAAATATATTTTAAAATTTATTTTTGTTAATATTACGGTAATCTGATATATAAATAAATAACAATAACAATAAATATAAAAATACACACACATAACTTTTGATAAAAACGTTAATGTTGTGGGTAAAATTTTTTTTCCCTCTTGAATTCAAATATGTAATTAATTATAGAATGTTCCATTTGAAATTTTAAAGTTATTTTCCATTTGTTTTAGAGAAACCTGAACTTAATTTAATTAAAAAATTTTTTTAAAATATACTTTTGGATTTTTAATTGTGGATTTATAAGCTTATAACATTGTGATTCACTTTGTGTGTGTGTGTGTATATATATATAATTGTCCCTTAATATTATCAAATGTGTTCATAATTATATTGTTAAAATAATATAGAAACTATATTATTAAAATAAAATTTAAAATAGTTAAAAGTTAATATAGTTTCTATATTATTTTAATTAATTTTCTTAATTTTTTTATATTTTATTCACATTATATCAAAAAGCTACTATAGCTATTATTTCAATTATATTGAATAAACTGAAAATGATTAAAATGGATATTTATTTTTGAACTGGTCAAAAAATCAATATGTGAGACAATGTTCAATAATATCTTTTATATTTGCATATTTTTGAATATATCTTTTATATTTGCATATTTTTTGTTCTTAATTATTTAAAATATTTCAGATTTTATTTTTGCAAATTATATGTATTGTATATTTTACTAACGTATATTGGAAAAAACATTTTTTTCATTTCTCACCTCTACAAAATAATTTATATAAAAATGAATCATATTGTGTAATTCATTTTCAGATTGTTTGATTTGATAAATCATTTGCATCCATTTATATGATTTCAAATTCCTTATTTAACTTAGACAAATCTCTGAAAAAAAGAGAATAACATATTTTGAATTATTGTTGTAAATCCCTTCTAATAGATTATTCTAATTGTAAAAAATAAAATGACTACAAAATTACCTGTTTTCTACAGCTTCCATCAATTCATATTTATGCATCAATGATATAACTAGTCTTAATGTAGACCATATTGTGTTTGACATTGCTTTAGGGGATACAGTGTTGGCCTGTGGACCTCTTCCTGCAGCTTGTTGATTTAAGGCTGTCAAAAGATGTTCACCTGCTTCTCTATATCATATGATTTTATTGATACAAGGCAATTTCCTTCATATTTTAAAATTATAAAAAAAACAATAAAAAAATAATAAAAAACAATTAAAAAAAAATTATATTTACTTATACACTCCCAGATTAACACAAGATATGCCGAGATTGTAACGTGCTCGAATAAATCCTGGCGATAGTTCTAAGGCACGATGGTATGCATTTACAGCTTCTGCTGATCGCTGACCGTTAGCCAGAGTGGCACCTAATCTATTCCATAATCTGGAGTCCTTTTGGAAATGTATAGTTAAATATATTGATATAGTTGAGTAGTATCAAAGTATACTGGTTAGCCCAATATAATAGAAAAAGAAACCAAAATAGAAGTAAGTTACACTTACATCAGGACGTACTTGTAAAGCTGCTTGGAAACAATCTACAGCTTTATTATAATCACTTGACAAATTAAACAATATACCTAGTCCACACTGTACATCCGCATCAATTTCATCTCGAGGATTCATTCTCGCTGCTTGAATATATAAATCTTTGACTTCATCATATACTTTACTACAACAAAATGTTATGTTGAAAATAATATTTTTTCAGCATTAAAATTTATTTTTAACTTACTCATATAATAAGGTAGACACACTGAAATTCTGTTGCTTGTCTTTTGTAAGATTAGACTCTGGAATTGATAGATGCTTATATTTTTGATTTTTTAGTAACCACTCTTTCAATGTTAGACAGGCTTGTTTCTGATAGGACTCATTTGCATAAGAAGCTGCTAATGCCATAAGAGCAACACTGTTAGATGGTTCCAAGCACAAACAACGATTCAAAGCAGAGATAGCTAAAGGATCCTGTTCATTCTCAGCTTGTGTTTTACCAAGAAGTAGCCAAGCTTCAACATTATTTTCATCCTGCTGAACAGCTGCCTCAAAACAGAGTACAGCACTTGGTAAATCTCCTGCTTCTAACCGTTTCTTGCCTTCTGCTAGTGCATTTGGTAAATCCTTCATAGGATTTGTTTCACAAAATTCATATTCTTTGTTAAATGGATCATAATATGTATCAAATTCTGATACCCATGGATGTGTGGAAGAGAGCTCGTCTGCAGATACTTTGTCCCATTCATCTTGAAACCGCTTCCATAATGAATCTAATTTATATTCTAAGATGTATCATATTTTTATATTTATCACAATATATTATACACATACATATATAAAATATATATTTTCAAAGAAAGGCTAAAAATACCTGAGGATGGATTTTCCTTTTCAAATTCGTCTATCCATGTACCCGCAGCTTCTAGTTCTTCTTCTACCTTGTTTAAGACTGTACCGTCATAATTAATATTATCAATTGAACTATCTTCTGGTTTTTGTTTATGTACAAAATATTGCTCTAATTCTTCAATTCCATCATCCAAGTTGGCTATTTCTCTTTGCGCTTCTATTGGAATATCACCTTCCTGTTTCATAAATTTCATAAATCTTGAATATGCATAATTTGGATCTTCATCTTTTATAATTTGTGCATTATTTTTGTTAATATTATCTTGTACACTGTTTATGTTATGTTCCAAATAATCTTCCACCCATTTTGAATCTAGACCAAGTTTGCTAGTTTCAAGAAACTGTGTGTTTTCTTCTTGAGTGGATTGCATTAAAGGTGTATTCCATATATTATCCACATGATGTTCCTATATTTTATTATAATAAGTAAATATTTTAAATGCTAAAAAGATATATAGAGAGAAACTGTACGTAGCAAATGAATATTTTATGAAATTACTTCAAATTGCTTAGCAGACTTAAAACATAGATTTTCCCAAGCTGTATCTAAATCACTTAATTCTTTGACGACTCCAGGTGCTGCTATCGGAGGATGGATATTTTGATCGATATCTCTCATTTCTTGTAGTAAATTGTCCATACGAAATGTCTGTGGACAGGCAGGCTCTTCTAAAAATTGTTGAACTAATTGATCCGCATCCTGTGTTTGAAAAGTCTCGGATGGCCTAAAAGGCTGAATTCCTTCCTCCTTGAAACCATGATCTTGTACATAATGTGATGCAAGGCGCATTAAAGAGCTGGGACCTCCACAGTCTCCTTCCACTAATTCACGAAATGCCATTTTTTGTATATTGTTATTAGAATTTCCTACAAAAGAATAAAAATTTGGCAATTTTTTTACATGTCAAACTATCTTATGTGCGTACATTACATCTTATATATATTACCCAATATTCGTATATCAAATCCAATATTTATACTTCGATAAGATCCGCACAGTGGTCAGCCAAATAATAGTTATCAACTTCAATCTCTCGTAAAAATAAATAATTAACGATCACCTGACAATGATTATTTCGTCGTACTCACTTATTTTGCGTTAATAATATCGTTACGTTATCGTCATATGTATTTATCAGGCATGAATAGCAAGAATTATGTTAATTCTATGATTGAGACTTTGGACCAGAATGGCTGGAAAAGGGAGGGGAAAAGCTGGACGAGGAATGTGTATGATAGATCAGCGAGAGTAAAAAAGAGCTCAATGGATAAAGCCTGTATCAAACTACGTTGAATACGAAAATTAAAGATTAGAGATTAAAGATTAAAGTTCGACCAATCACAACCAAAGGAGTTAAAATTTCTTCGTTTTAATTGGTCAAATTGCAATCTTCAATCTTTAATGCGTAGTCTGATACAGGCTTAAGGGCAATAGAAAAGTTTCAAGTTTTTATAATTATTTAATAATATATATATTAATTTATATAAAACAATTATTTTAATAAAGAAAAATCTCTTATAAATAAAATATGATATTATAGATATAATTTTAAATAAAATATATGTTATATTGTTCAATTTTCACGTTTCTCGCTAGCAGTCTTCGAACCGTATTTTACTTTATATAGCTGTTCCAAAATGGAACTACGAGAAGTTCTTTGGGTTAGCACCGCGGAGCTACAATCGAGTTCCTAGTAACTCTTAGCTCTGAGGAAGGTCCCTGGACACGTGGCAGAAAGTGCCGTGGCTTAAACACCATCAGCCTCCGCCATCTCACGTGAAGAAGGGAAGCTCCGGCTGATCTTACGTGTGCAGGTGTGAGAGTATTGGTCAGAGCTAAAGTAATGTGTGTAAAAATGGCCATTACCCGACATTGAACCAAACAGGGCCTATCAAACCAGGAAACTTCGTCTTTTTTTTCTTTTTTTCTCAAGATTTAGAGATATCTACTTCGAAAAATAAATTTTTTTTAGTCGAAAATAATATGTTTTAATAATTAATTTCTAAAATTATTACAATAAATAATAAGACAATAATGTATGTTCGACTTTCAAATGCCTCAAATGTTATCGTAAAATAAAATTTATTAAAAAAAAAATCATAAAACAATAACATTTATTAAAATTTATGTTATTTATATTAGTATTACTTATATTTCATTCTCTATAGTAATATACGTAAAGTCTATACATATGTACTTTAGATATATATGTATAATTTTCAAATAAGAAAATTTTCTTAGAAAAGAATCTTATATAACTTATTTCTTAGAAATAAGTTATGTAAAATATTTCGATTAAAATCGACATATTTTAAATCGACATATTTCTAACTTATTTCTAAGAAATTATTATAATTTATTCAATATGAACTATATGCGATGTTTTAAAATGATTATATGTCTTGAGATGTCTTCCTCTCTTATTATCGATCTTATTATCGCACTACCTTATTATTGCATAATATATAATTAAATAAAATATTGTAAGTTCACATGATAGATGATATCGTGTTGATATAACATAAACAATATTATAATATATTATGTGATCTATAATATATTATTTGATCTATACGTATATCTAATTAAGAAATTATAACTTGGAATTTCATCTCGCAACATATTGATTATTTTTCAATATTCTATACCTTCAGGAGTGAATTGAATTATTTGAGCGATTACCAATTGTTTTGAATGTATCAATGTAAATAAAAATATAAACCAATAAAAATTTAAACGAAAATAGAGATAAATATCAATTTTAAGAATATCTATTTTCGATATTATACAATTTTCGTTGTTCAACGAAAAAGTCTATGTGAAATTATAAAAATAAAAATAAAAAATAATCAAGATATTATTATTTATTTATAAATTTAACATTAAATTTGAAGAGTATTTTATTTTTAATAATTTATAAGAATTGTTGATTGTCTCTATTTGCGTAAAAATTTTAACCGATTATACGGAAACAATCTGTAGATATGTAATACATAATATTAATAAATTATAATATAGAAAAGATATAGAAAGACGTTTTCGCAGATATAGAAAAACGCAGATATAGAAAAACGTTTTCTTCACTCAATTTCCGTAGTAACGTATCATTTTAATGAAAATTGGTATCATTTATCTGTTCGAAGAATAGTAATTATAACTATTAAGTTTTTTTTTAAATTGACGTTACAAATAGACTATCGGCATTAAATTGATTTATTCATGCAATATTTTTTTTATCTTGCATATAGTATTAACAACTTTTTATTTCCATCAAAACATATATAAATGGACTGCACATACGATTCGATTATTCTTTCTTCGAGAGTGAAGTATCTTCAGTACCTTTTTCACGAGATAGTGAAAACGAAAATGGCTCAGTTAAATTGCATCATAATACTTATTAGTATTGCGTCGTGTGTTCTCGCAGAAGAACTTTATAACGATCAGTACGATCATATCGATGTAAATAATATTCTTAGTAACGACAAACTACGGAATCAATATATTAATTGTTATATGGAAACTGAACCATGTTTAACAGCAGATGCAAAATTTTTTAGAGGTATGTTTTTTTATTTATATACAAAATATTTTCATGTGTTTCTTCTCCTTACAATAAATTCTTTGATCAAACTGTAGAAATAATTTTTCTTTAATGAATATATAATATCTTTATAATGTATTTTAATAATAGTCAACATAAGTGTGTATAAAGTTTCTGGTAAAGTAAATATATAAAAAAAGAATATTGACAAAATTATGTTTTCCTTTCTCTCTCTTCTTTACGATTAATCTTAAATATATAAATTTTCTTTCATTAAATTTTAATTTTTCCCTTAATTATAACGATATATTAAAAATAAGAAAATTCTAAATATTGCAATAACGAAATGTTTTAAATTTTTTCAAAAAGAGAATTCTATAATTTATTCAAAAAATTTATCATTCAAAAAAATAGTACAAGTAAGAAATATAAAATATTCTCTATAGATATGTGTATATGTGTGTGTAGGAAATATTGCGTACTATATATATGTATTTGTCAATTAAATATACTAAATATACTAAATATTTTTACTTCTACAACCATATGTTATAATTTTTATAAGCTCCGTTCATAGCGTTGTATCAAACAAAAGCTATAAATCTTGTATTCGTTATAATATTAAAATAAATTTTACACATTTTTTGGCTTTAGATATGGCTAGCGAAGCTTTTCAAACAAAATGCAAAAAATGTACTGAAAAGCAAAAGGAAATGATGGATACAGTAGTTGATTGGTATGCACAAAATAAACCTGACGAATGGCAGAAGATCGTTGCAAAAAGTTTAGAGGATATGAAAAAGAAAAATGCTGGTCAATAATTGCTGACAAATGCTGTAAAAGATGGCAAGAATAAACGACGGAATCCGAAATAATAATTATCTATAAAATTATCAAATTATTAAATTTCTTGTATTTAGAGATCTTTCTATTTAAAGCAATGAAAACTTCCTAATGTTATAATTTGTTATAACATATTGTTGTTATATAACCTCTCAATGATTGTATTGTAGTATTATATTATTGACATAAAGTGCAAAATAATTCTAACTTTTTATATATATATTTTATTACGACCTTCATTTTTCTAATATAAATTGTATTCTCTATTTTCTCTATTATCTGTTAATTTTATTAATTATATATTTATTATTTGTTAATTTTTTTAATTATATATTTTTCTTATTTGTAATATTTTTATTTTAAAAGAATGCGTGCACAGGCCAAAAATCGATTTTGTAAGATATTTCCAAATATTTCTTCCTTTATAAATATAAAAAATATAAATGTTCCACTTTAATATAGTAAACTTTTTTACATTATTTTATTACAATTTTTAAAACGATTATGATATTTTGATTAAAATCTGTGCACTCTATGTAACGTAATATATTAAATTATATAAAGTATAACATATATAATTACAAAATAAATACAAAATTATTAAAATAAATATTAAAGTTATTATTAGCAGGTTTTGTACAACTGCAGGCTGTTTTTTTATTCCTAATCACTCCTATTCAATATATTCTATTCTTATAATTCTTGGATTGTTAGAATTTAGATTTTATTCATGTTTCCTAGTAGAATAATTTATAATTTAAATTCCTCTTTTTCTCTTTCTCTCTCACACACACGCACATATACAAACGAAATGTTTTGCACTACTATTTTACTGTTCGAATGTTACAATAATAACAAGTTGTGTTACATAAACCATAGCAAGCTTCCCTCTAGTACTTGTTTATACTGTCAAGACCATGTTATTAAAAATTCTACGGATAATATTTTACGTACTCTATAATTTATATGTATATACATGGAATATTAAATTGTAAAAGTATTTCAAGTTAAAATAATTATTTATTAAACAATCATGGAGAATTTTTTATTATGTTAATTATTCGAACCTTCATTTCGATGTATTCCATATTTTAATAATCGAAAAGTAGATTATTTCATTACGATCTACATGAACAATAATTACTTCATTAATAATGCAAATGTAGTCAAATATATTTCGTGATAAAGCATAATCTATTATTTTAGATTTATATAATGATTTTTAGAAAGAGAAAGAGAGATTCAATAGATAAATTATGCGAAATCTATCGCATAATATTATATACAGTTACATATTATTTATAAAAATTAATTAATCATTAATTATATGTATATTATATGTATATTGAAAACGTGACGATATATCAATTGGGTAACCATAATTTTGCTAATTTCACGATTACATTTTTTTTAATTAAAGGATATTATGAATGATAAATAAAAAAATGTATATAAATCATTTACCGCGCAATTTCGTTACTCCGTATGTTGCCTTATGCTTTCCCCAATCTCTTTTTTCTTTCTTGTTCCTTGTCCTTCGCTTTCTTCATGGCACTCACTCACGAAAATATGACTAATAATAATTAGTCATATATAAAACGATTGCGAGACACTTTGTACGGCACTCCCGATCGCGAAATAATGATACGTAACTTTAAGAAACGTACTTTATTGTATTGTAAGGGATAGAGAACAGGGATACAATTTGCTCGACATTTATACGATCAAATTCAATATTATTCGTTATAAATTCTATCTTCATTGTTAATATATATTAACACGAATTATAAAATCGATAAATTAATGTGATTAAAAATCATGATATAATAGTCATTTAATTGATAATTAATTTGACACATGCGTAGTATTTCGCATCACTATTTTATTGCTCAAGTATTGTTGTACGAATAATATAGGTATTAAGGCCGTGGTATGTAAACACTAGCGCGCTATTGTTTATGTACGCCGCCAAGACCAAACACTTTATTGTCTAATTCGTCGTCGAAATATTTTATATACTTTAACAAATATGCACGCGGAATAATATTAGTATAGAAGTATAATATTAGTATAAGTATTATATATATAAATATGGAATTATATATTTTAAATTATATAGATTTTAATTAATGTATCACGAAGCCATTTATTATGCTAATTATTAAAATCCATGATTCGATTGTTTTATTATTACGCGTTTTTAGTTCGAATTATATTTAAATATGGTCGAAAAATAAAATGATAAAACGGCTGAATTATATAACTCGAAATATCATTTAGGAAATAATATTTTTGATCGTAACAATTGATTTTCTATATAAAAAAAATGATAATTTATTATTTTGGATATTTTAACAATTAATATTACGCGGAATATTAAAGTACAAAAATATTATTTAGATTGCGTAGATTAATTTTTATGATTATTTATTAAAAGATTAATGTATCACATGCAGCTTTTCATTTTGTTAATTATTTAAATTTACGATTCGATTGTTTTGCTGCGCGTTCGCCATCTGAATTATATTTAAATGATCGAAAAAAAAACGATAAAGCATCGCAGACGAATTATATATATTCGATTCTATAAATTAAAGAAATAATTTCTGCTTGTAAAAATTGAATTCATATGGAAATAATAATTTATTATTTTAGATTTCTGTTACGATGATTCTTAGTTTATTAAATGAATAAATTACGCGAAATATGCAGTTCGAGAATTTTTATCGCGAATTTTATAAGTATTTTATAATTATATAAGTATTTAAATTTGTTATTTGTAAAATTTAATTATCATTGTTATATTGTATTTATAGTAAATAATTTTCCGATTGCGACTTGGAATAAAATTTAACAGAATGTCATTACATTACACGTTAGAAAATATTAAACAATAATATATGGAATTATAAAAATCATTTCACAACCGATATGCAGATATTATAATGCTGTATTTCGTAGTAATTAATTTGTGCGAAAAAAGCGCAAAATCTGATGAGTCATTTTCTCCTATTATATAAAATATTAAAATTTGCTTTCTGTGCGCGATATAACTCAATAATTTTTTAATTGATTTTTAATTATTATTATTTGAACCATTTTTTTATCTCAATTTTAATATTTATAATATTTAATATTTAGAAATAAACTAAAATATTTTCTTGTGTTACACTTTATTTTCAATTAATGATTAATCGTTATGATATATGAACCATTACGTGATAATGGCGACGGCGGTGGACGATGTGTGATTAATATACATAATATGAGATAATATATTAATAATAGAGAGAGAAAAAAAGAAGAAGAAAAAAAGGGAGACTACGCAAAACTTATACATATTAGAAACTTATTCAATATACATAAGCGTTTTGCATTACGACACGTGTTACCGACATTCATGCACATAGCACGGAACACAACCCGAAATCGCTCATTCTGTATCACCGATTGTAAACATCGGGGATGGCATCGTAGTTCATATCCACGCGTTATGCCTAGAGGGCGCGTGGAGGATCTAGAGACTAAAGTCACTAGATTAACAAAATACCGCAATTTTGATCTCAATAAGATAAGCTGGAGTGACTTTACCCGCGAGAATGTCAAGATTCGTTCGAACGCGTGACGCGCGTAAACATAATACACGCATGTATGTGCGTCAACAGCTCTTTTAAGAAAATATTCAGGACTGAAACAGTTTCAGCAACTGGTCAATTGACGAGTTTTTTGTATCAGTGATTGGTAGAACTGTCTCATATATAAAAACTTTTTTGAAAAGTTTATTCGTCGTTGTCGCGATATTAACGTCCGGAATAAGTGGAATATATTCGTAAGTTATATACAATTTTATTAATAAATAGTTGATTGCTCTCGAAATACGATACTCGATTATGCGATAGGAATCAAAATTATAAATTATTACTTTGTTGCAATCTTTACGAGCAATGATTATTCTTCTATTTCTATTACGTTTCTATCCTAATATATATGTGTACACACACACACACATTTAGAATTCTAATATAATAAATAAATATTCTCTCTGATATTATTTGATCTAAATATAATTTGATTCAGAACGCGCAATACAACGATCGAATAAAAATCGGATAATTAACATAACGAAAATATATATTTTTAAAGTTATATACAAGTGTATTTATATACAAGTATATCTTTAAAGTCACACACACACACACACACACACACACACACACACACACACTCTCTCTCTCTCTCTCTCTCTCTCTCTCTCTCTCTCTCTCTCTCTCTCTCACTCACACACACTCACACACACACGTACACGTACACACGAATTAATTATTTATTAAACGATTAATATACTTCGTGAAGTTATTTCCATTTTTATTTGCAATTATGATCTTTAATAAAGATTTCTTATCATAATAAAAAAATTTTATATTGTTTATCAAAAATTTAAATTAGATTTAAAAATATATTATTGCCTCTTTTCGATAATAATTGATTATTTCACTGTACCTATTTCGTGAATAGCTATCATTACAGAGATCGCGTAGAGTTTGATAATGCAATAAAATTAATAATAAAATTCCAATAAAATTAAATACAAATTAATTATAATAATTAAATATAAATTTGTTTATAATTAACTTTTACTACGTTGAGAAAAGTTCTTCGTTTCTTTTGGAATATCTTAAAGATTCTTTTATAATTAAATTTTACAAAATATATAACTATTAAATTTATAGTATTTAATATTTAGAAATAAATAGATAATCCATTTTTATATAGATTAAGTATACGATATATTATTTATTAAAAGAACTAATATATCTTTTATGGATCTTTTTGTTAAGTTAATTATTTAGATCTACGATTCGATTATTTTACTGCATTTCAATCCGAATTATATATTTAAATGATCGAAAAATAAAACGATAATAAAATAATAAGCAATATATCTATTTTAAAAATAGTATATATAAATAATAAATAATAAATAATTTTTATAAATTACTCACCGCATGTCTCTGCTTCAGGCTCTTTCCCTGTTTTCTGACTGTCCGATACTTTTCCAGATGTTCTTCTCTTTTTTTGTTTCATCCTTTATTGTTTCCTCGTAGCACTCACGTATTCACTCGCGAACAAACAATTATATTTCAGTTAATTATATTTCAGTCATATACAGAAACGATCGCGAGACACTTTGCACGGCACTTCCGATCGCAAA